AAAATAATTTCTCGCGGCTATATGGGTAAAAACGCATACATTACAGGTTGTTGGGTATAAAAAATACCGCGTGCGTGTGCGCGGTGGGCGCGAGATCGATATTAAAAGTTTCGCAATCGCGAGAGACACGAGTCCCCCCTTGGCTCGATAGACATACGTACCCGTAGCGGTGGTACTTAAATACTTTACCCAACGTGAAATACGAATTTGCATATTTTCATACATGTAAGACACGAATATTAAAGAGGCATATACACGCGTGCAAAGAATTCATATTTAGTTCGTTACTCAAGTGACGTACGTACCGAGCTCTGCGTCGTCGTCGTCGTCGTCGTTTTGTTGTTATGTTCGATCGACGCACATATACACACGAGGAACCTTTGCCTCGTGGTCTTTCTCTAACTCGACGCGTCGGATCGTGTCACTCGCGCACCAAAACTTTGAATAATTCGCAAACTCGTGGCGCGATTTTGCCAAGGATCGATAGAGACAACGGAGCGCGGCCCGCGTTGCCGATCCTTTTGTACGAACGAAGAACTGCCGCAGCAACGGAACGCGATACATACAGAAGCGCGGCGAGAGAGCGCGAGAGGAGGAGGCCCCCGCGAAGCTCGCTACCAACTGACTGACTGACTGACTGACTCTACTGCTGCTGCTGCTGCTGCTGTAGCGTATACATGCGGCGGGGCGCGCGCGCGAGCCAATATCAACAGGCATGAGCGGCGCTCGCAGCAGCAGCTCTTACTCGAGAGCGTAAGTATATGTATACAGCGCTGTTGGCTGCTCTCCTCCCGAGCACGACTACATACGACGACTACCGACACGCGACTTGCTGCTGTACCTACCGTTGCTCCTTTATACATACAACCTTTGAGTGTAGATGTGTTTTAGCTTTATGGCCGGCGTTGCTATTCTCCGTACTGTTTAGGATCTAATCACACATGCTCGCCGCGATCGATATACTTTTGATATCAATTTTTATCGATGTATCAGCTTGGTCATCGCTCGAAACGAGTTGAACACACGCGGCTTCCTACGTACCGATTTTCGAGTGTCCGAGATGGCCGTGAACGATTTTTGGAAGAAAAAAAATTAGCTGTATAAGAACAGCCACGTGATATAAACTTCATTATGATTTTTTGTACAAATAAAATCAAAGTTATTTTTTTTTATTACATATTTTAACGATAAATAATATCCCCATCAAGCTGTAAAAATACTCGTTTCTTTTGGAAATCAGATGCAGAGGAGTTGATCCTTCCTCGTTGCTTGCATTTACATCGGCGCCTCTTCTTAGCAGCTGCTTAACTACCCCTGCGTCGTAGCCCGACTTCATAGTCAAGTGCCCAATAGTGTGTTGGCCGATCTGTCGCGAGCGTCGATCTCCAAAGACTGGCCCGATTCGTCGCAGAGCCGAAAAAAAGTATACTCCGACAACCTGTCGCTTACGGTCGTTCTCGCCTGGCAGAGGACACCCAGAGGAGTCAATCCCCCGGCTCAGCAACGCACCCACCAACTTTCTGTAGTCCTCGCCCTCTAGATCCCAGCCGTCGCGGAGCTCGTGGTCGTCGTCGCGCGGCGCGTACAACTTGCGCCTGGCGGTGCAGCACGCCGCGTTGCTCGTAATTGGCGACGATGTGCAGAGCCGTCGCGCCCTCTCCATTGGCCAGATTCGGATCGGCTCCGTGGCTCAGCAGCAGCTCCGCCACCCAAAAATTGTAATGAATCAGAGCCAGGTGCAGCGGGGAGATCTCGACTCTTCCAACCACGAGATCGGGATTCTGACCGAGCTCGAGGAATCGACGAACCGCCGGCTCGTAGTCGAGCTTGCAAGCCGCGAGGGAATGCGTACGATTAGCCTCGTTGACGTAGTTCACGTCGTATCTGTCGTAGATCTGAAAGAGCTCGTGGATCACTCTTCTACTGATGTAAGACTTGCGACTGGCTAAGTAATGCAGGCCGGTGCTGCGACGGGCCAATGGCCGGCCGTCGTCGTCGAGCTCGGGCTTGTCCTTCAATAACTGCAGTGAATCGAGAATCTATGTCGAAATTCGAGCCCTTTAAAGAGTCCGTGAGAAGCCGATCGATTTCTGCGGGACGAAAGACGACTCGGAGTCCGGGAAGTCGGCTCTGCCCATTGGCTGGTCCCAGAGGCTCAAAATCCTAGAGAAGTTGGAGTCGCTCGTTCGACTTCTCCCAATCGTTGACTCGTTCTCGTAGTCATTCGACTCAAAAAGTTCATTTCATCGTTTTGCGCTACGCTACACCCTCACACACACGATACACAGTATTAGAAGACACGTTTGTACAATAAATAAAATTTACTCGAGTTTTTTTACGAGATTTACACGTGCTATACGGACGACGATGAGATATTTTTGTTCTTACGCTGCAGCGTCACGACTACGACACACACAAGACGATCCATGATTAAAAAGAAAGACAAAAAAAACCTACGTGGACGCAACTCTACACGAGGTTCTTTCTACATAAATTTGTATCGGGTAAAACATAGATGCGACACCATACATTTTTTTGAATACATCTTTGTTTTGGACGGAAAGTAGATTTCCTTTCGACCGATGTTATTTTAGAACTAGCTTGACTTTGGAAAAATACGGTTTAAAATGAAGAATTTACAATATAGTTGTGAGCATAGAGAGACGGTTTATTCATAACTCTATTTCTAAAATAGCAAGTCCAATCAATTTTTTTACACGATAAAATTAAACTGATATAAAAATTTTAGCTGAAAATTTTGACGATTTTTGATTTATTATCAGTTTTCTTTGGTCACTCTCATTTTCCTGACAGGATCAGTTTTTTTCGGGTTGCAATAAAAACTTTCTAATGAGGAAGTTTTCATTCTTTCAAGTACCTAAAGAAATACTTAAAAAAACAATTGTAAATCCAAAAATTTAAGGAAATTATCACTCAATCGATAGCAGCTTCAGTATGATGTTTACGAGATAATTTTCATTTTTAAGAAAAATTTTCGCTCGCACATTTGAAAATTTTAGTCTGACGTAGATCAATTTTCACCCAATTATTGTGCATAACAACATCTATTTCTTTAAGAAAACTCGTTGTTTTAATCATAAAACTAAAGGAATTGTGGATTTTCGAAGTGTTGCACAAAAAAAACATTTTTCGTAACTTTTTCTTATTTACCTCGCGAACAAGTAATCTGATTGGATCAATTCACGGGTTAAATCCTCATACCCAACGTTGCACAAAAAGAAGCTTCACCTCAACAAAACACGATACCGATGCTGCGATTCGAATCCGCAATAGAGAGTCTAAACTGCATTCTTTGCTCTATACTTCTTTCTCTCTCTCTCTCGCGGGAATATATTATAAATGCAGAGCTGCAGTGCAGTTAAACGAGGTGCACCGCTGCTGCTGCTTCTGATACGGCTGCTGCAGTTCGAGCCGGACGAAGAATAAATTAATTTACAATGTATGCACGCGCGGTGTATAATGGCCGAAGATGTTCTACTCGTGTGCTTATCTAGGCTTTGCGCGATGCATAAGTTTGATTTCTCCGCGAGTAGTGTACGCTGCGCATTTCGATTGCTATTATACACGCGGAAAAAGGGGGGATACTCGACGATAGCGATATTTTTTTTCAGCTAATCGTCTTCGATTATGCGAGTGATTTAGGGTAGACACCCGTTAACTAAACAACTTGTGAACCTATCGTAATATACCATAGGAACGTTTATTTTATTAGGTATTAGACGATCGTCCATCGATTCTTGATATACGACGCTAATCAATCGGTGTATTCAAGTTTTATAAATAACTTTGAATAAGATATTGCCATTGACTCAAATTATACAATTTGAATTTCTAATCTTCCATAGTTAAGATTTGATTTATGACGTCCAATATAAAGACGATTGTAAAGTGTATTCTCATCCGATGAGGATATAATAATGATTACGAAGAATTTTATTCACTCTAATGCGCACGAAGAAAAATTTATTATCTTAAAATCAGTAACGATTTTTCGCAAAAGGAAAATTGATATTTTTCCCCGTATCCACAAAACTTCGTTCGTACGACGAGAAAATATTTTTTCTCTCGTAATTTGGTCGAGGATCGCGCGGCGTGTTTTAATCGTCCGTGTACATGTATCGTTTCCTTTAGCGATTTACCCATCGACCGGAAATAGCCCACCCCCGCCTCGCAGCAACGTCGTGCATTATAGCAAGTATATACACACATATTGCATTTATAATATATATTATGTGCCTGTACACATGCAGCTGTGGTGCGTCTTCGCTCGTTCGCTGCTTCTGCACACAGAGAACTTCAACACTTATACGTATAAAGCAGTTCGGCAGGAGCAATGACGCAAGGAGCTCTGTCCCACCTTCGGGGCTATACGTATGTATAAGCAATCGACTGATTAATCCGCGCTCGTTCTGCGTCTCTCTATTGTGTGCACAAAGGCACACGATCATATATAGGATGCAGCGAACGAGCCTCGCGTGTTTATCGCCGCGTATCGACATTTCCTGGCAGCGAGGAGCATTTCTTAGGCAAACTCGCGCGTTCGGATTGTACGCGTTCGTTAATCCTCTCATTTGCCTCCTACTTCTCTTCCTCCTCCTGCCACAGCAGAATTATCATTACGTTTTCGCTTCTCTGTTTGTACAATACGCGTTTATTATCGTCTCGAGAGTCTCTTAACTTTGACTCGTCCTCTATTATACATTACACAGCCGCCCCGGAGGCTTCTAAACTGATCCGCAAACGTCAAAGTAATAAGCGCGCGTGTTCGGATGTACAATACACACGCGCTAATCATACGATAAACACACATAACACGCGAGAGTTTGTGTGTGCATATCCTAGGCAATTTAAATTTAGTTCGTGATCAAGCCCAAGCGCGGCAGCACTTGCCGTAGTAGTTCGGCCTGTCAATTTTTTTCATCATCATCGTCTCGCTTTATACGCTTACACACACAGCCGGCGCAGATCCGAGGTATGTTTGTGTTTACGTTCGCGCAGAGCAAACCTCAAACTTTGTTACAGGGCTTGATAGCTGTCTAATTTCAGTCGACTGCTGTTGCTGCTGCTGATGATGATATTCAGCAGAGTGTGACAGGTGATTGGCCTTTCTATATCTCATAATTAAAGTGGTATTGCAATTTCGAGACGAGTCTCGAATCACAACCGCGAGTGCAGTCTAGTTTCTTGACACCGTTTGCCGTGCTGTTATCGATTCATACTTTGCTGGTTCAAAGGAGAAAAGTCAAGCGTATATAGAAGAGGTCAAGAAAAATATGAGTCGTCGATGAGAAAGTGAGTGAGTGCAGTAGGCAGTTTTACAAACAAACAACAACAAAAAACACGCACAATGGGTTCGGAGCAAAGCTCGCACGCCCTCGACGGCCAGAACTTGGCCGGCACCAAGGGCACACCCGGACTGAGACGTGGGAAGAGCGTACCGAATCGCGAGGCCATACCCGACGACGACACCGACCCACCGAGGTGCGCCAGTCCGGGTCCGAGCGTCTGCTCCGACTCCGATTTACCCTACATATCTTACACGGTGAATAGGCCCATAGGCGATTCACCAAAGATGACCAATAAACAGTCGCAGCTTTACAGAGGCAAGAGCCTGGGATCTCAAGATGCTGCCAGAAGAAAGTCCAGCATAGAGATCGGCTCCAAAAAGATTACCTCTGGAAAAGCTCACAATATTGTGGTGGTAAAAGCTGCTGCGTCAGATCCTACAGCTGATAAAGATGCGGATCTCTTGAAACTCAAAAGCATTCCTATGTTTCTACCTATCATGAGGGGTACTGTTAATTTACCACCCAGAGTGCGTGATCCAGAAGTTTTAGAACGATTGGATCCATTAGGTCTGTTCAATCTTTGCGCAAGGTATCAACATCATCTCAATAATACAGCCCAAACGATTGCAATGGAGCAGAATGCCTTATGCGTCAATCTCGACAATGATTTTAATCGAATTATGTCTCTAGCGACGGAGAGACAGAAAAAGTTTGCAAAATTTGCAGAGCAGCTGGGTAGGGTGCACGACCTCAGTAGGCAGCTTACAAAGTGTCATATGTTATTGAACCAAACTCTGGAAAGTTTGGAAACTCTTAACAATGTACTGCCGATAGAGGAAAGATTAGAGCCTTTCGTATGGACAACAGGATAATAGTTTATACTATTTATAATAAGTTGAATAATTTTAAATTGTGTCTATCTATGGAAAAAAAATAATGTTTCGTGTATGTTTGGTTTCGTGTCAACTTTAATACAATAATATGTAAAAAAAACTATATTAATATATAAAACAGTCTTAACCTTAAATCGATATTCAAGCATTTGCTGATTTTTGTGCCTTCAATCTTCTGTATGCTTCTATAGCATTGCTCTGCTCTCTTTCCAAATTTCTCCTCTCGCCAATTGGCAGATTTTTTCTTTTACCCGACTTATCAATTTGAACATTTTCTTTTTTACTGGAACTCTTCTCTTCAAATATTTTATTTAACAACAAATTTTTTCCCTGTAAAAAGTATATATTGAAATTAATCATATCTTTTTTTTTTCTTAACATGTAGTAAATCATTGTTAATATTCACATACCTTGTTATTGGTTTTTATTGCTTTTCTTGGAAGACTTAATTTTGGCGGTGCCATAGCTACTTCACCAAATTCAACTTTGTCTTCATATTTCTGGAAATCATCAGCATTATCTTCTAGTTTTTTATTTTTTTTCTCCAGAAGCCTTTGTTTCCTTTTCTGACCACTGCTCAATTTAACTTTAACTTCTCCGTCTTTGTCTTTTTTCTTTTTCCTTTTGATATTTGAATGTTTTTCTTGTAATTTTTCTATTGCTATTTGATCTAACTCTTCCTTTGATTTCATCCGGAGACCTTCCAATTCACCGGTAGCTGCATTACGCTTAACTTCAATATTATACTTGAGTTCAAATTCAGTCTCTTTAATGAATGCCTGTGTTTCTTGATTCACTCTATCCCAAAATTTATATTTATTTTCACCAGGTTTTTGATTAAATAATGGAACAACTTTTTCTGGTCTTGCCTTGGGAGCAGGTAATTTGTAATTTATTTGTTCAGCGCCAAGTTGAATGAGTTTTTTGGCACTCTTTGTTTTCTTCTTCTTCTGTTTCTTTCCTATGTTACCATCTTTGACTGCATTTTTTAATTTAATCACGCGTTCCAAGCTTTTTGGAATATCTTGATGGTCAATATTTTTTGGAGGAGCATTGATCACTGATTCAACTCTGCAAAAGGTATAAAAAAGTATGAATTATATCATGGTGTTTACATAGTGACATAACCTCAAAAAGTTGAAGTGCATAGTTATTGATTTTTTTGTGGTTACTTACGCAGCTAGACGTTTGGCTTGCTGTTTTTCCGGATCCTTTACTCCTCTGTGTTTTTTACCAGGAATCTTACGGCCCATTTCTGTTCAATATCACCGAAGCAATATCATTAGCATCCGCGCGTTACAACTTCACGAACGATACTGCACTGCACGTGTGATTATTTTTCTTTTCCAATTCTCCGCTACACACACAAGAGAACAGACGACAAAACAACACAACTACTCTTGCCGCTCGGAACGGGTGGAGTGGGAATCGAATTTTGACCAAAACTATAACCGAAGACGCGGGACGAACGGTGAAAAGAAAAGGAATTGATCAACCGATAAAATACCGAAACTAAAAAATGAAAAATAAAACGGAAAATTGAAGGCGATTACTCGGGAACCATAGGCGGTCTTGTCTGTAAGAAAACATCTTCCGAACTGTCATGATGTTATTGCGATGCATTGTTGCTGTGGACGTTCCGTGACGACGACAACCCTCGTAATCGACCGTCAACTATCTAGCAGAAGGAAATGTTCCGTCGAGTGTCAGTAAGCTGTCAGCTGTTATGGTACTTGCAACATTTATCTATTTTCTTGTTTTTCATTGACAAAGTGAACGAATATCTTATGTAAATAAACATCTTTTTCAGCTGAAATGAAAATAGATATAATCCATTAATTAATGTTACATTCATGAGGTTAGTGAACAAAATAAAATAAATATGCAAGAAAAAAAATTATAAAATGGATATAAATTATAATTAAGTCTATGATTATTACAGAAATTATTCAGAAACCAAGCATGAATAAATTAAATAAATTGGGACCACTCTCGCTGAGAAGTTCCAGACAGCTAAATCCAACATTCAACTGGTGTAGGATGTTTAGCGACGATGAAACTCCAAAGTCAAAAGTTGAACCTTCACCAGATTTAGAAAAGAAAAAGAAAAAAAGAAAAAGACCAATGTACAGTCCAACTCCACAGATACCATTGAGATTGGAAGATCTTGAAGAACCTACCAACTGTTGTATGTCTGGATGTGCTAATTGCGTGTGGATAGATTATGCAGAAAAACTCAGTATTTTTATGAAAAACAGTCCTGGTCATGTTCAGAAAGTATTGATGGAAAAAGTTCAAGACCCTAACATGAGAGCGTTTCTGTCAATGGAATTAAGAGTCAGAAAAATCATTGAATGAGTCAGACGTAGAAGAATTAAGAAAACTAGGAAAGATTTTTAATCAATTGTTAAACCAGTATCACTTGTCAAAACACAGTATTGATGACTTTTTACTGGTTTTGAAAAATTTTAGCTGCAGTCTATGGACTACGGTGCTAACAAGAAATAGATATGTTTTACTTGTAAAAATGTAAATATTTTAAAATATGTAAATAGTTGTTCTGTTGCAAAGAAAAAGCATACGATGCCAAATAAAAATCATAAAATAAAATGAGTCTGATGTAATTTATTCCAAACATTGCCAATGTTATATTCATAGCTTCGAATCTTGAATCAACATGTAAATAATTGTATGAAACAGCTTAGCCATGGCGCAGTGAGTCTTTTTTTATCTCGAACGTAGCAGTTAAGCCTTATCGCATTACGTGTGTTGCTCGTTGTATTATTATGCATGTTAAAGTACGGAGCAAACGTTTAAGTCACTCGGTCGAAAAAAAAAAAGAAGAAGAAGAAGAAAGAAATGAGCGAAAGAGAGAGCTTCGATTAGCTTCTCGAGGTTTGCGAGCCGGGCGGAAGAGTAAGTCGTCGTGGTCGGGGGACTCTTAAAGCAGCTCTTTAATATACACGCACATAAAGCTCAAGACATGTGTGCACGACTATCAGACTCGACGTTGTTGATGTGTGCGAAAAAAAAGGGGGTCAGAGTGATAGTTATTTTTAAAAGTACGTTTGCACGATATACATGTACACGACTTGCCGTTATGAACATATAAACACAGCGACGACGACGACGACGACGACGAAAAATACAAGTATCGTAACGATAAATGCGTCGAGTCAGCCGCACTGCAGCAGCTTACGATATAAGTACAATGGAATAGCAATAAGATATCTGATACACGCGTGCAGGTGTTTGAAAAAAAAAAAAAATAGCAGACTGTAAATCGAATAAGAGAACGATTGGGTACCTGCGAGCGTTGAGAGTCGGAGATTCGGCACGTAGTACACGATGAGCAGTCGATCAGTTTGGCGGAGGTTGTCGGTAAGGAATGGCAAGCGTGTCTTCTAGCAGCGAGTTCTGATATACCTCATACTCTTGCCGCGCGTTTCTGGCCTTGGTGGTATACAACACGAACTGCAGCACGAGGCAGGATGCACTCATGTGCGCTGCTCGATCCGGCGGCTGCAGGCAGATATCTGTTCATCGTAATCCATCAACAGGTGAACGATAAAATATATGACGTGTGTGCATGTGCTGCTATATAGTGGGTGCTTCAACGCAATAATAATATAATGCGAGTTGCATAACGCGAAAAAAATGTTTCTACCGCCGCCGCGGACCAGCAGTAGCGTCTACAAGGCCGGCTCGCGTTGCTGCTGCTGCTGCTGCTGCTCGTTGTTGTAGGCGCGCGAAGCCGCCGCAGCAGTTGCAAATCGTTCGGTGCATTGTTTACAGCTTCGTTTATACGAGCTAAAGCGACTTCTTCCTATTTAGTAGTGCTGCGGGCGAATTATACATACAAATGAGTGGTGTGAGGCGTTGTTCGAACGCGCGTCTGTGTGCAACGGTTTTTTTGAATTTCTCCGATTGCGAATTCGAATAGGCTTGACGGTTGGTGGGCCCGCTCTGTGATCCTTGCGAATGTACAAGAACTACGTTAAAGGGTCTCATTGCTAAACAAGTAGGTAGTTGGAAAAGATATATTATATGTAAAAAGTAACTAAATTTTGTGTACAAACGAGATATTATATAGTGCGTCTTGTGTTTTGAACTTCGGAGTTCGGATCATCGTGTGTTGCGGTGATTGCGCTGACTATATTTAACGACTTAACCCGCGAGTGCAGTTGACTTGGCTCTTGTACTCTCAGCTAATGGTAATTATTCAATTACTAAATTTAACAAATGTTAATAACGTTTTGATCGTATACATATAGTATAGCCCGAGCTAAGTACATTATACAGTCGATCGAGCGCGATGATCCATTGTTTTCGCGCGCTTATACCGCACGCACACGAATGCGAGCTCGTCGATCGCGTCGTATATCGACAACAGTTTTCAAACACATGCCCGAAGCATTAACAAACATTTTTGTATATATATTAGATGGAAATTTCTCATCGCTCGTTCGCAGCTAGTAGTGAGTCATCGAAATACGTGCACGTTGCACCTGCAGCTTTTTCGCTGTCTCTATCCTTTGCCTATATATATATGTATGATAAAAGCTGTGATCGTCGGGCGTGCGTATAATTATCAAACGAGTCCGTCTGCAGCGAGCAATTATTTACTATCTCTTACGCGGAAGGTTCTATTGAATACCGATCGGCAGTCGAGGGTGATTATCACCGGCGAGTACCGGTTCCGAGGGATATATAAAAGTAGCTTATCGATCGCTCGCGCGCGCGTGGATCGAGAGAGAGAGTATAATATTATAGGTGTACACGACACGCTCGCGAGATACGCACCAGTGCGCGGCCCGCTCGAAATAGAGAGAGAGAGAGAGATCGACGTCTCTCTCGCCCGCCGCGCGCGCATTCGCGGAAAAAGCTTCGAAAAAGCTCAACCGCCGTGTTTATTAAGAGATTTCGATCGCCGTTGCAATAATTATAATATTAATAATAACAACAATAATAGTAGCTTCTGCACGTGTGCAGCAAGTGACGTGGAGTCTGGCGCGCCCCGACTCTCAATGTGTCGCGCGAATTTAATAGATTGCACGCGACCTATATAGTAATAGCGCCAATGTTACATAGGCTCGAATTACACGAATATAAGAAACTGACTGTCGATATATCTTCTTGCTCGTGGACTACTATAGCCATATAGCTACACGTCGGAGTGAAAGCAGCAAGCTCGACGCGTGTATTCGTAGTGTCGTAGCGGTGGCCAGTCGGTAGCGGACCTGGTTAGCAGCATGAGCTCATGGATCGAGTCGGGAGTCAAGCCAGCAGCCTCGGCCACGGCTACGGCGCCGACGAGGACGACGACGAGGACGAGGAGCATCATCGTCATCGTCAGCAGCAGCAGCAGGGAAACGTCGCGGCTCCGGTGCTGCTCGGACAGTCGAAATCTCAGCCGCTCATAAGCCGCGGCAGGAATCTTCGATCGAGGAGAGACGACAGCAGGATCAGCTTCAGAAGCGAGTCGGCCGTTCTCGTCAACAATGGACACAGGTAAGAGACGGTTACGATACACAAACGGCACGTGTGTATTTTTACGCGATAGATGCGCCAAAGATCGTCCTTGTGTTTGTTATCTTTATGACTCGTTCGCGAGAGATTATCGCGACTGCAGCGGATAAGGACCTGGCGAGCGCACTGCTCCACTCGAGTGCATAACATAATAATAAAGCTAAGCTGATACATACTCTATGATAGTTGAGCTTTTGCTCGATATATATAGCGAAGCGCGTGTCGAACTCTTCGATCTGCACGCGTCTGACTCACGCGTCTCTCTCAATTATAGCAACACGTATACGGTCGAGGCAAAATTTTTAGACAAAGTGACGTAGACGTCGAGAGTCTTGCATATCTGTGTACATAATAATATCTAACATCAACCATCCCTGCTCTCTTCTCTCTCTATTTCTCTTTCTCTTCTCCTTCGCGCTGATCTCGTATATGTACAAGCTCATAATCGTGCAAGCCTCGAGCAGTGCAGCATAGAACCACAGCTGCAGGTAAGAAGCATCTCACACACGAACCGGCCTTGCTTGGCACGCGTATGCGTGTGTACGCGCGTTCAATTTTCGCATCGCTGGCGTGGCTCCAACGCAGCGCATATAGAGAGAATCTTACAAGACTTGCGTTATATTATAACGCAGCGCGACCGAGAGCGAGCGAGTCTCGCAGCTCTGCAGTTTGCGCGCGAGCTTGCGCTCGGGCGGCTCTCTCGTCCACACGTCGCCAGGTCTGGCGCGCGATTCCGCGCCTCGGGAAAATTCTTTCAACGCCATCTCGCGCGGACGCGCACGTCCACCCACGACTGACATGGCTGAGAGACTCGGTAACGAGCCGCCATGAGCTCGAGTCTGCCGGAGATGAAGAGGACGGCCACCGAGTCGTCGCTGACGACGACGACGACGACCGAACAACAACCGCGTCGACCGTCGCCACCAGCGATCGAGCAGCAGCAGCAGCAGCATCATCAGGCGCTGACTTTCTCGGCCGGTGGACTGGCCGGTGGCCTCAGGCGGGCCATATCGCAGGTCTCGCTGCTCGTCGCCAAGACCACCACCTCGAGCGAGGCTGCCTGGCGCGACGAGTTCCAAAGGTATACACCGATCGTTTTATCGCCCGAACGGCTGCAAAATTATGCAGCAGCATCGCTAGAGTCTACGAGTATACGTGACACGCATTTCAACCGCTTACAACTGGATTCGCTCGTGGGCTGTGCGCGCGTCGCTCTCCAAAAATACCAATAGTATAGTGCAGCGATGTGTCTCTCTATTGCCGCGCTCACACCTGTGCTCGGCCATTCGGATGTTGTGCAACTATGCGCTCGAGAAAAGTCCGTGACCCGCGAAAAATAGAGAGAGAGAGAGAGAGAGTTGAGATTCTCATCAAGTTCTGGCAAACGTCCCGCGGCCGATATACCCACGATCCGACACCACGCGGTCTACCTCTGCGCTATAACTTTTTCCCCGTCAAAAAACTGACACACATATATAATGTATAATTCATTCACCGAATTTATCGTTACACACGACTGCAGGTACCGACAGACGCGATTCAGTTCGCGGCGCGTCCGCAAGCGGGTCGTCTTCAAGCACGGCGACTGCAACGTCGTCCAGGGTAACGTGGCCAAGCGCCGGCGTCGCTATCTCCAGGACATATTCACGACCCTCGTGGACGCCCAGTGGCGCTGGACCCTGCTCGTCTTCGCCATGACGTTTCTGCTCTCTTGGCTGGGCTTCGCCCTGGTCTGGTGGCTCGTCGTCTACGCGCACGGCGACCTCGAGCCCAGGCCCGCCGCCGCCTCAGGAGATGAAGGCAGCGCTAACAACTCGACTAACTTCGTGCCCTGCGTCGAGGACATTCACGGCTTCACCAGCTGCTTTCTGTTCAGCGTCGAGACCCAGCACACCATCGGGTGAGTCGCTCTTACTCTTGTTCCTCGATGGTCGTGGCTGGAAATGTCCCCCGCTTTGAACGGGGCCCTTAGAAACGGGTACCAAAAGTGTGCCTTTTTTTTAAATATTTGATGGACATTTGGTATTGTCTATCTATCAGTGTAAAAATATGAAAAGAGTATGTAAATATGTAATATGCGAGAATTCTCGTTTAGTCATCAAAACAACGTGTAGCATTACAACTCAATGGTCAATACTGGTATTAAAACTGTACTTGGTGTTATACTATCATATTGACTTTGCCACTTGCAGATTTACACATAATGGTACTCGCCATCTAGTGGCGAATGCTCAAATTGATATCATTGCATTCAAAGTGATTGATTGAAAACTGGTCGTCATTTTTTGAAACAGTTCAATTGTCTTTTTTAGGTTTATTTAAAATGCATTTTATATTTTTAAAAAGCCAATTAATACCCATTTTACGGTCAGTCGGTTATTATTAACGTTGAGCATTTCTACCAGTGAAACTACATTCGATATCGTCAGCAATGACTGTCGCATTGTTATCAAAATATTTACCTCGATGTTTTTCTTCTTTTCTAGCTACGGCTCGAAGCACACGACCGAGGAATGTCCCGAGGCCATATTCATCATGTGCATCCAGTCGATGACCGGCGTCATTCTCCAGGCCTTCATGGTCGGCATCGTCTTCGCCAAACTGTCCCGGCCCAAAAAACGCACCCAGACCCTCCTGTTCTCGCGCAACGCCGTCATCTGTCAGCGCGACGGCCAGGCCTGCCTGATGTTTCGCGTCGGCGACATGCGCAAGAGCCACATCATCGAGGCCCACGTTCGCGCCCAGATGATCAAGCGCAAGGTGACCCGCGAGGGCGAGCTGCTGCCCTTCTTCCAGACCGAGTTGAGGGTAGGGGGCGACGGCGACGAGGACAAGATATTCTTCATCTGGCCCACGACCATAGTGCACAAGATCGATCAGAGCTCGCCGCTGTATCATCTGTCGGCGAGCGACATGCTGCGCGAACGATTCGAGATCATCGTGATGCTGGAGGGTGTGATCGAGTCGACGGGAATGACGACTCAGGCTCGCTCGTCGTATCTCCCGTCGGAGATCTTGTGGGGTCATCGCTTCGAGCACATCATCACCTTTCGCAAGGAGACCGGCGAGTACGAGGTCGACTACACGCTCTTCAACAATACCTACGAGGTGGACACGCCGCTCTGTTCCGCGGCCGAGCTCGATCACATGCGAGCTCTCCACCGAGCCAAAGGAGGTAATATTGCATCTTTTTGAGACAATCGGTACATCGGTTAAAATTTTGTTGTTAAATTATTAATTATTAATATTTATTATAGAACGATCGAGCTCGGCGACGTTCGCGCAGTACCGCATCGACTCGAGCAGCTCCCTGTCCACGGCCTCGAACTCGGGCTCGAGCTGCGCCTCGTCCGTGGGCGGACTGCACATGCGTTTGCAGCATCAGCATTATCAACACGGTGCGACGCCACCCACGCCGATTCCCGTTACGGTGACAGGGCCCGACGAGCCCAATTCGCGCAGGGGTAGCCAAGTCGACCCGTTGACCCGAAGTAGGCTTGCTACTTTTTATACTCTCGATGAGGTACTTTCTTGCTAAATATTTTTACTTTAAAAATGGCAAAGTTTGAACGCGTGTTGATGTTTTTAGGCAACAGAAGCGCCTGAAGAGGATCCAGTAGTATTGGCAGTTCAGCGAATCGTCCCAACTCTTCAACGACAACATTCCGAAGAAGGAGACGAGCTACCTACGATATTATGCCCACCTCTATTTGAACCAGGTCAAATCGTTGAAGACCCGGGTATGGTCAGAATTCCTATCGACAGCATGCCTGAAAACCCTGTACTCGCTACAGTTGGTCCTACGAGGTAGAACATAATCAAATACGTTTATCTAAACGCCTGTGCTTCTATTGGAATAATAACTCGATGCTTTTTAGGGAAGAGAGACCCGTGATGCGCGGCACGTTAACTCATTCCAGTTCTTTGCCCGAGGATTCGTCGAACGCGCACGAAAAGAAAAAAACAACGAGCTTCCAGCTGGTAGCTCCAGAAGTCGACAATCATTCTGCCAAATGCAGCAGACCCAGTGAAATAGTCTGACAACCGGAGAACAAAATTACAGCTGCTCTCGATTGTGAGTGAATCCACATCTCGAAAATTCAGTTTGATCCTGTAGAAAAGTAGGCTGCGATATTATATTTTCATTCGAACCTGCAACAACTATAAACCGTCACCAGGACCGTCCTTGCACACACACATACACACACACACACACACACAGTTGCGTCGTGTTGCGTTCTCGTGCTCCAGATAAAAGCACAACGTGCAACTGCGTGGCATCCGGAGCATGGCAATGCTGCAGTGCGAGTTGTAGAGAGCAGCTAGCTCAGCGAAGCGCACGAAGCAGCACGCGACGCGCGCAAAATTGATAAATTGATTATAGAGTCGTCGTGTGCGCCAGTGCAGGCACGCACGCACACTACACACGCAGGTATTTTATATCATGTGTGTAATATAGTGCGTGCAAGTACCTAACTATTATTGCGCCTCCCTCGACCTTGGACAAGTTGCGGCTGCTCCGCAGCAAAGTATTGTAATAATGATCCGCGACATGTTGTAGCGAGCGGATGCCGCGCGCGCATGGATTACGAACGCGAAGGCGGAGTAAGCATAGATCTCGCGAGCTGTATCGCAGCAGCAGCAGCAGCAGATGTTTTCGCGACTATGTCCGAATTATCGAGCGAGGGGCGCGTGCTGTGTGTGCTTTAATTTCAGTCCGAGCTTCTCTTTGCCTCTCGATTATACACATTTCGCGAAGAGAGTATCGCGCGGGACACTGTAACTCGACTGCCACTTGTTGCTGCAGCTGCTCCGCGCGGCTACTATATCGCGTTAATTCGTATCGCACATCGTGCAATGTATACACAGCGAGATCGAGCGTCATTGCTCGAGCAAAATCAAGCTTTACTCTTTTAATTCGATCAAGCTCGTTCAGCTCTTGTGCAAGGAAAAAAAACAACGGATTTTCGAGAATTAAATTATCACAGTGTGTCGGATTTATCCTATATCGTGACGCGATCTCCGACACGGTAAATACGGGGCCACGACTAGTAAGCGAGCGCGGCAGCGTCTCTTACATGGATTCAGGAAGAGAAAGTATCGTACAAAACTAGGTATAAAACGATTGCATGAGAAATAATAATAGTAAAGACCAGAAGTCCAGAAGCGCGCCCGCGAATGGATAACAACGATTGTACGATTGTACGATATGTCGAGATCGAAGGAAAAACCGGTTGGCAATAATAGGATTCCGAGACAGCGCAGACGTCGATCGCTCAATCAGAGACCAACGACCCTTATATATATATATATAATCTGCCGCGGCTGACCGATGCGCTTCTTCCGCGTATGGTCAGTGTTATATATATTATTATTACATATTTCTCCTCCGATTACGCGCGACGTTGACGAGGTGTCTAGACTCGAGGTCCTGCTTGCTACAGAGCTACAGAGGGGTACGGGTCCATACAAAGGTACATTTATAATATACGTATACACAACGCTGACTAAATCGGTGGTATAGGTCGAGTTCCGCGGCCTCGACATTACGCGCGCATATAGCATATAGCATAGCTAGCTCGGTGTAAACTGTTTAAATACACGCTAATGTGGCACTGGACATGGTGTAGATGAGGAGGTCAAGGTTCAACGCGCAGTTGATACTGCACACGTAGAAAAGAGGCGTCTCGGCCGTTTTGTCTCTAAGTAGTGCTAATTAATAGCGAGTATACCACTACCTCGAGAGATGAGCCGCTGCTGCTGCGACGATCCGGCTCGATCTTGTTAGATGTAATGACGCTCGTGCTCTACGAGGAGTCTCTACGTTTAACTGCGAAATTTTATAGCGTTTGTTACGATATGGAGCTGGAAATTTTCGGTTCCCTTTTTTTTGATTCTCAAGCAGTGACTTCTTTCGCACCGCATACCGATTATTAATTAATACGAGCTCAAAGTACAGTCGAGACTAATCTATCGTATCGAGTTAACGACGATCCAATAATCCTATCGGTACACAGTCGATGCGTTTTCGGCCCGACACACGATCTTTAAAGTACACGAGCTAGCTAGCTAGCGATCTTGCCGAGCCTCCTCTGTCTAGGAGAGCTAAGTGTATAACCCGGAAATCTCGCACGTCGGACGTAGAGTGGCATTTTTCAAGCTCGAGCTTGTGCGGCCAATTATTGTATTCCTTCTCGACTTCGGTACAGTATATATAAGATAAAAAGAGAGAAAACTATAGTAGTTGTAAAGCGTCGGCGGTGTGTTCGCGTGTGTGTATAGAGGTAACGAGATAGTTGGAGGAGAGTATCGGGTTCACCGGCGTGTGCTGCGGGGAATCTCCGCCCGCAGTGACATTGACCGTACCCACTCCGACTGAACGACGACGACGACGACGACGTACGTCGAAGAGAGCTATGCTATGCTAGTATACGCGATTACGAGCGCGCGGAAAATCGTCGGCTCGACAGTCGTTGACGAGCCGCGCCCGCAGTAGCAACGGCTACATATAGTACGGTATAAGCGCAGTGCAGCCGATTTCAGTCCCTTCGCTACACCAGTATAATCAAAGCAATGACGAGCAACGGTAGCAACGATCCCTGAGCGCCAAGCCATGTCTTTGGAAGTGGAGCAGCTGCAACCGCAGCGATCCCCGAGGGCCAAGTTGTTTCGTTTATCGAGCGAAGACGAGCCTTCTTCTCGAGGAAGAATCGGTGGCGGTGGCGGCGGTGAAGGCGAGAGCAGGCCCGAGTCGCCGCTGCTGCTGGCTCGCGACAAGAGCGCCGCTACCCTGCTGCGCGTCAGCACCCAGAGCAGCGCCCTCAACGCCAACTTGGGCCGACAAGACTCGAGCAGGTGAGGTGTAAATACACAGCGGAGCGCGTGCAGTCGTTGTCAATGGAGTAAACTTTTGGACTCGACGTAACGTAATGTAATTCCGCCGCGCGCTCGTTTCCTAGAAAATCGCGTAAAAATAAAATCGATCATTATCAACGAAGATGAAAAAAAAAAAAACAATAATATTGTCAGCGCGAAGATGAGCTTCGCGCCGCCGATGAATCGCGTTATAGCGACACATAATAGAATAAATACGCGAGAGAGCTCGCTAGATAGGTTTATATATATGCGCGCGTATACGTGTGCGCGCACATGTAACATTCGCGCGGCGCGGCGTGCACGGGACCGATGATTTATCGCCTGCAGCACGGGCACTTTGTAATACGTACATGTAATAGTGACATTAGCAACATTATTATCCTCTCCTACTATATATATAGATAGGTATATTTCGCTCTCGCTATATTCGCGACGTCAGAATTAAGTCATTCAAACGTGTGCAGCAGAAGCTCGCTCTTCTTTTTCTTCTTCTCGTTTTGTCTGCCTGCCTCTGTACGAGATGATATTGACGCGGATCGCGTGGGTGGGTGCTTGAATGCACAGATGATCGTGACTTACAGACCTATATATGCTGCACGGCTCGCTTTAAGTGGTGGACAAAAGGGGCAGCGTGCATCTGCTGCTGCTGCAAAAGAGCAAATCTCGCCTCTCGGCGTCGTTATAAGATTCGCGCCGCTGCTGCTCACTTCGGACTCTTTGGAGACGCTTATCGGCTCTGTCTGTCCCCCTCTCGATCGTGCTATAACGCTACACACGCGATCATGCGTGTAGAGTGGCATGTGCATACATACCGAGGCAACGATCGGCACATCTCCGTGTGTCAGCAGCAGCAGCATGTAGATCCATCTCTTAGCGCGCGCGCGCGCACACACATCGGGTGGGCTTTAAGCGAATTCAGTGCCGCGATCTCTCCTCTCGATACAACACGCGCTCGATACAACGATACATAGCTCATCGCGTCGAAGTTTCATCGAGAGCCGTTGCCGATCGTCGTCGCGTACAGTTGTCAAACGTCGCGCGGACATGAGCTGCAGTCGATCGTTTTTCCGCAATCCGGGCCGAGCTGGTGCCGCCAACAGACAATTGTCCCTCGCCATGCAGAAGTTCGCGGTGCTACTGGCCAGGAAGAGGCCGCCGGATCAGCCGCAGCAGCCAAGACGACTGCAGCAATCGAAGCGCGCCAAGCGCAGGGACAGCTGGTTCGTTCGATTCAGACCCCGGCAGCAGGTAGAGCGCGTTAACGAACACACACATATACACTGCACACACGCGCGCGACGAATGCACACGAGATTCAATTTTCCGATATAATAACAAATCATCTCTCTTTCTCGCACCTAGACTCGATTGCAGAGGTGCGCGGGAGATAGAGAGAGAGAGAGAGGGGGAAAGCGAAAAAGCCTGCGATGATGCGAGAGTGTAACGGAATTCTTTATATCTTTGCGAGAAACCGATAAGAGACGATCGCATCTTGCCTCGGCTTTTGTCAAGCGCGCTCTTACACACATTGCAGACACACAAGTACGAACGTTCGCGAAACGACGACAACAACATTGCCATCGTATAAGCAGCTGCTGCAGGAGAGTAAAAAAAAGAGCAGAGTGATTAGTTTGTATATATTATGTGCGGGCATGCAAATCGCTCGGGCGCGCTAACGTGTGATTTTTTCATAATTGCACCAATTATCGGTCTACATATTGTCGCGCGCAAAATCATTACACGGCGCAACACATAGTCGCACGTACGCACACACCGATACACTTAGGCGATTCATGCATCACGCATCTCGTAGCTGCTTCTGCGAGCGAGAGGATGTAGGTAGTGAGCCGCTGCAAGATCGTTATTAATCCGACGAGGCGCGTGTATATATCGAAGCTAATCGAGAGCTTCCGCTCGGAGCTTGGAAATACGCGCGCCCGGGCATCCGCAGCAGCAGCAGCAGAAAAGCTTAGTACAAGGGAGCTTAGTTTGAGTAATACATAATATCATAAATTAGCAGCGAGTCCATTTGTTTAATCGATTTACGACGTTGCGCGCGTTGACCAGCTGTATCAATCCATAGATCGTCGAGTCGAAGCGCGAGAAGACGAGCATACAGACGTCGTTATCGCGTTATATCGTCGTCTGTTATGCGCAAGTAGTCGGCGGCACTCGTGACGATGGTTTACACAGAAATTAACTACCTTTTACGAGAGAGAAAAACAGAGAGCTCCTCGAGTGTATAAACATGATACACGTATAGCTCGGCGGCGCACGTGGCCCCGCAGCAGCAGTAGCAGCAGCAGTAGCGCATCGTGAGCTGAATGTCGCGCGCGAATCCAGAGGAAAGTATACAACTACCTTATACATAGTCGAGCTCGCGCGCGCGATCGTGTCAGTGTGTCTCTCTGCCGCGATAAGACGCGTGTGCCGCCGCAGCCGAGCAGCTCTACACTCGCGAGCCTGTCACCTTTTTCATATACATTATATATACGCGACTATTCGCGCGCCGTCGCCGCAGTCGGACGCGTAACCTCGGCGGCGCATATACCCACAAATAGAGAGAGAGATTGTATATATATAGCGATCGGAAAGAAGCAGAGCTTAAACGTTATACCGATACATAATACCGATCTTTCGTGATCCTGTATTTTCACGTCGATATGAGCGATGGCGGTGGTGGTGGTGGTATCTCGCTGTCCGTCGAGCGTCAACAGCTACTCGGATTCCCCGCTGGTCTTACGCCGCCGCCGCACAGTCCGAGCCCTTCGTCACGCAGCAGGTACACACACACACACACACACTCGCAACGAACACACAGCACCGGAGAGATTATATTATTATAATTAATTGTTATTGTGATCGGTATACGCATCGATATCTTTCTTAAATCGCACTGTGACACGATGTGTCTGGCGTTGGGGGGGAACAACATCCTTTGACAGATGTGTTTATCTTTCGACTCTTTTGTTTTTCATATTTTTTTCTCTTTTTTTTGACAGTGGCGTCTAAATTTCATCGAGTGTTTTTGTCGCGTTCGAGCCACGGACTATATATCATTTTCGCTCGCTCGTTGCACGCAGGCAAGGTACTTGGTCGTAGCGCCGTCGTCGTATCTGCAAAAATGCCAAAGCAAACAAAGAGAGCGTCGACGACAATCAGTATTTGTACGACGTCTCGGTTGTTTGTACGAAATTCACTCACGCTCGTCCCCAATTTTACGTATGATAATCGACAAAAAAGCTCCGCGCTCGACACTTGCCTCGTGTTTTTTGCAAAAATCGTACCTACCTGAACTCGTACTCTAAAGCGTATCTCTGTTGCAGGAGCAGATTTCGCCCGGGCCCGGCACGCAAGCTTCGTCGTCGCGCCGTCCTCAAGAGCGGCGAGTGCAACGTCCTCCAGAGCCGCATCTCTCGGCGCTCCCTGCGCTACCTCCAGGACATCTTCACGACCCTCGTGGACTCGCAGTGGCGCTGGACCCTGCTCTGCTTTGCCCTCAGTTTCTTGCTCTCGTGGCTCGTGTTCGCCGGCCTCTGGTGGTTGATCGCCTTCACTCACGGCGACTTCGAGGAGCGACACTTGCGCGACGAGCACTGGCGACCTTGTGTCGTCGAGCTTCACTCGTTCGCCAGCTGCTTCCTGTTCAGCATCGAGACGCAGCACACGATCGGTTACGGTGGTAGAGCCACCACCGAGGAGTGTCCCGAGGCCATATTCGTCATGTGCATACAGAGCATCAGCGGTGTGATGATACAGGCGTTCATGGTCGGCATAGTGTTCGCGAAGATGTCGCGACCCAAGCAGCGCACCCAGACGCTGCTGTTCTCGCGCAACGCCGTCATCTGCCAACGCGACGGTCTGCTGTGTCTCATGTTCCGAGTGGGCGACATGCGCAAGAGCCACATTATCGGGGCGACGGTTCGCGCCCAACTGATACGCTCCCGACAGAGCAAAGAGGGCGAACTACTGGCCCACAGTCAACACGAGCTCAGAGTCGGAGCCGACGGCCAAGCCGAATCGTCCCTGTTCTTCATTTGGCCGTGCTCCGTGGTGCACAAGATCGACGCGGACTCGCCGCTCTACAACTGGTCCGCCGAGGACATGCTCGCCGAGCGCTTCGAGATCGTCGTCATACTCGAGGGCACGATCGAGTCCACCGGTCAGACCACGCAGGCTCGAAGCTCCTATCTGCCCCAGGAGCTGCTCTGGGGTCATCGTTTCGAGCCCGTGGTGAGCTACAGCAAGGAGCGCCAGGGCTACGAGGTCGACTACTCGCTCTTCGACTCCACTCAGCAAGTGGACACGCCTCTATGCTCGGGCCGAGAATTGGCCGAGTTCTACAGGCTGCAGGACGAGCTGCGTAGACAGCAGCAGCAACAACAACAACAGCAGCAGCAGCAAAGTCAAATGTCGCCCTACTCGCCTACTCCTCCAGGTGCGCCCGATACGATTTTTTTCGCTTTTGTCACGTGACCGCTGATGCTGTTCGAGAATTGCTTCCTCGTTCGCTCGTACGCACGTCGTACAGAAAATCTGCCGTGTGCACGCTAAACCCATCGTATCGTCACGAGTGCTCTGCACAAAAATTTTTGCTGCCGCATTTATCACCTCGCGGAGAGCCGAGAAATGATAAAGCAAAGTTGACAATATAACATTGCAAGTGTCGCCGTCGTCTTCTCGACGTTCGGTGTGTTAAAGAACATTTATAAATAAAATTTGCTTTTCCGGTTTTTATTATAAAAAGTCGGAATATATATCAACGCGGCGCGGATTTATAAGAATATCGGACAACCCATCATCGCTTATCATTATCAGAAGCAATTAATCGATTGTATAGCTGTAATAATTCATTTTTGAGTTTTGGATGCTCGTATCTGTCAGTATATAAATCAAAATATTTACGCCCGATGACAGTTTACAATTAAAAGCTCCATCATGAGAATTCCATTGCTTTAAGCTTTATCGCTTCCGTAGTCCAAATAAGTTGGCTTTAGAAAAAATGCACTACAAAACACGGCCAGCCGCCTGCTATCACTGCCTATACCATCGCACGTGTAGAGCCCGGTTAGTCGATTGGGCCAAGATGATGATCGGCAGACGAAGATGACTCGCTGACGCTTCGTGTCCTGTGTTGGTCTGTGTGCTACAGGTGGTGCCGCTGCTGCGTTGCCGACGACCCTCGACGGTCTACGCATCGACATTCCGCTCATCGATCAGTCGCCTACGGAGGCCTAATATATACTACTCAACTCTATCGTGGATTCGATTTTCATTATATAATCCAACTACTACATAATGGCCGGTGTGTGTGTTCTGTTCTGCCTTGAGTGTGATTACATTGGGCATTTTTGGTGCAGGCTCTATGCATCTCTCTCTCCATTCTGAGTTGACATCGATTCGAAGTAACACGTACCATAGTGCCAACAGACTCTCGAGGTCCTTTTGCAGGTTTTCCCATGGACGAGGAGCTCATGGTTGCGACCACGCCGAGTCATCTCTCCGACAGCAGGCAGTATCTGCGAGCCTACTCGGAGGGCTCGGGTCCACCACCCTACGGATGCGGCAGCAATCGACCGGCCGACGGCGAGGATTCCTCCTCGATCACCGCAGCGACGACGGCCGTACCTCAGAGTCCGGTACTGCAGTTCAGCATGGCGCGTTACTTTCTCCAAGCCACGCGGAGTTCGTCGCTACGGTCGCTCGACGGCTCGCGTCACTTCCTGCCCAAACATCGGTCGCCGCTGCATCTGCAGGCAGGGGGCATTCAGCAGCAACAGCAGGCCTACTCGAACAGCTTCGCCACGCTGCCCACGAGGAGTCGCACTACCTCCTCCTCGACGACGGCCGTGCCCAATAACAACAGCGGTGCCGGAGAACAACCGCAACATCTCAACAACAACAACAACAACAACAGTACCGGCGCCGAGTCGACGACGACACCCTCGACGCCGCTGCTCGTCTCCACGAGGCATCGACGTAGCTACAGACACGCCCAGCTCAAGGACGTCGTCTCAAAGCTGGACCCGGCGCGAATCGCTGCTGCCAGAGCTGCTGCTGCTGCTAATGCTGCTGATGATGACAGCAGTGACAGCAGTGAAAGCAGCAGCTCTTCCGAGTCCGAGGGAGCCCGGACGACGAACCCGCCGACACCGGTGGCGAAAAAGAGGCCGAAGCCCAATCTACGACTGGACTTGCCGCCGTTACAGTCGGCCGCCTTCACCGACGTCTGAGCTTCCGGCCTTGATGGATAAGCAACGAAGCAACAGCAACACTAGGCCACAATATAGGGCACAAACGTGTGTGTGTGTGCGTGTGTATCTGTGCCCCTCTCGAATCAATGTGGAACGTTTTGCAACAAAATATGTACTATTATGACAAAAATGAATTGAAAGAAAGAGAGAGAGAGAGAGAGAAAGAAACGAATCGTGTGCGCGATAAGATTAAAAGCGATGTTCAAGTGCGTTCATTAGGTAATAAGACTGCCGCGCGTGTTTTGCGATTTGATGAAAAGAAAAATAAAAGAAGTGAATCGATCGGAAGGCACTTTGTGATATGTTTTCGCCGTCAATCATTTGCTTTTTTTATCATGGTTATTATATCGAAATCCAATTGCAATCCGTGCGGCTCGAGTGCATGTGCAACAAGTGTGTATGTACGTGAGTGCATGTGTATTATATGCGAGTCTCAATGCAACGAATCGCTCACATTATCATCGCGTCGTGTGTTGTTAGTGAACGAAACGAAAGAGGCGTATTTTTTTTATTTGTATGTGAGCATCAAAGGCGAATCGTTCGTCGCATGCGACACATGCAGTACGCGTGTACATTTTTTTCCAGATATATACAATAATTATTATAATAATACACGGGTAGAGAGAGAAAACATTAAATATATATATCGAAAAGATCGCTAGATATATGTAACGAGTCATGTATAAGGGGGGTTTTATCGATTGAACCGCAAGCCGCACCGATGTTTTCACAGTGATAATCAACCGATTCGTCGTTTATTTTAAAACATCATAGTTTGCTAAAATTAGCTGCGTTTGGATTATGATAAATACAGTCGATGCGCGTGTAATCGAGCGGAAAGGCGGTTAATAGTAAAACAGTGTAAATATCTATATTAAACCGATTACTTATAAGGATTTGCGAAATTATATGTTATAACCGAGAGCCGATAGATTAACGATAGATTTTTAGCCTAAAAAGCATGTTATAGATTATAAATTATGAATTACATTATATATATTTTTGCGCTTTCGATAAGCCCAGAAGAGAAGAAACACATAATATACGATCGAGTTGTATCGCTGGCGATCAACTTAGTCGCCCGCGCGCGTATTATTATTATATTGTAATAATGGCATTGGACAAAATAAACGAAATGCATCAATCAATAGAACATACAGATGTGTCTGTGTTATATATTTTCTGTATGCGATACCAAAATGTGCGTGATTATTTGCGTGTGTGTATTCGAAATGTAAATTATAATGACATCGGAGAGTCGAGTCGAGGAAGCTTACCTCACGAATTACGAAACGGCGATCTGACCTAGAAAATCGGCTCGACACAATGAAAACAACGGCGACGACGACGATGCCGAGGATAACCTGCAAAGCCGAAAAAATGCCGATGATCGCAACCGTCAGCACGACGACGACGACGACGAGGAGAAATAATTAGCCTGCTCAGCAGTGGAATTATCCTTTATTGACGAGTGCTTTAAGCGAAGTCAAAAATTGTCTTAGTCTTGAGCGAACCATACATATATAACCCGCGTATACGCGCGCGAATAATGACGCGAGAGGACGATCTGGAGTCGATACTATGCGAGTCGGAAACGAGACGGCGAATCGTGCTTTTAGGTGTATCTCGTACACTGCGGGAATGGCCGTCGAAGCTGTTCCAAGGCCTCGTCGTCGGTGCCGTGTTGAGCTTGATCGTCTTCGGATTGACGGTGCTGTGTATTTTGGGCCCGCAGACATGTCACGCCGCTCGGTTCGTTCATTTTCCTTTCAATATATAAGCCGCGCGTGTTCGATTCGAAATGTCAAACTGTGCGATGACGACAGGGTATCCGGAGGCAATTGCGATCTCGGCGCCCCCACGAATCTGCACTTCATCAAGCACGAGAACCGCAGCTGGAGCCGAGACGACTACTGCCACATCGAGACCGTGGCGCGGAGTTACCCTAGACACAACGTCAGCATAGTTCAATAGTGCAATGATTATACGTGATGTTGCTACTTTTATGAAATTTACTCCCGTAAGTTTCGATTTTTGTTTTCTTTTTAATGCAGATTTTCGTGACCAACCTACTGGAGAACTACGATGAGCGGCCCGGTCTGAGCTCGACGATCGACTACCAGCTGTTTTTCGATCACTTGACGACGATGGTGCCTTCGAGAAATATCGAGGACGAGATGCAGTCGAAGCTCAAGAAGATACCGAACGTGCGCATAGTCAACGTGAGCATCGAGGACTTTTTCAAAAGGTAAGCGGACTTGATAATTTTTATTTTAAATACTGGAGTATAACTGGAGTCACTTGTGTAGATCCAGTTTACGTAAACGAGTGTGGCAATTGACCAGAGACCAGCTGGAGCTAGCTGCCAAGTACCAGATCATCTGGAACAGTCCGGGTATATCGCTGGAACCGTCGGCCGCCTGGCAGCTCGACAATCTCGATCACCTGATCAACAAGATCGACTGCGAGCCCGACGCCAGCATACAGCTGGACAGCGATCTGCAGGCGTCCTCGGCCTCCTGCCAGTCCTTCGTCGGCCTCGTCATGAATCAGATAGCCCGGGACGGCGGATTCTTCGATCGTCGCAGTCTGCTCAAACGCTCGCTCGAGTACTACTGTCCGGAGTAATCGTCACCTTTCTTCGTATTACATTTTTTTTTTGTTGGAATCCTTTCTGTTTCTTTTTATAACGAGGTAAACGCGCGTTTTCCAGATCCAACGGGTGCAGCGGCGTTCGAATTTTACAAGCGGCCTCGGCGCCCAATGAGAACTACACCAACTGCCCGAGCATCTGCTCGCTGTTCGACGTGGAAGCCGATCTTTAGATAACAGGCACGATGTTGAATATGCAATGTAAATTTGTTTTGTTAATAATACTGATTGGCGAATGTCCGTTTGTGTGCGTGCGCGTATTATGAGGGTCAAAAAGGGACCGTAAAAACGCATACGAAATAAACTGCATTTACTGTCGATTTTGTCGAAGATAAAGCCTGACGAACTTCATTCAATTGAAACACAAAAAATTAGAATCTATAACCTACTAAAAATTTGATGCTGGACTTCTAGTGGGAGAAAAGCTAGAATCGAAGTGGATTTTGCTGATTTTCAGAACAGATTTCCATTAATAAACGAGTGTATTGCTTCCTAAATGAGGAAACTATATGGTAGGTCTGAAAAAGAGATTTTGAACCAGATGTCTTAGAAAAATTTAATTTACGTTTTTGTAAACTAGATTGATTAACCAACAAATGTCTGTGAGTATGATGGCCTTTTCAGCCCTTTGGTTGAAATTTTAATTAATCACTAATCTAAACCCTGATTCGTTATCACAAGAGACTAAAAATCTTTAGTGATTCGAATACGTGCTTTTGCACCAACGGAGATGATAGTAATTTTACATTGGCCAAGTCCGGTTGAATTGACTTCCTTGTGAAAATGATGCAGATTTATCTGCTTACTATAGCGTTGAAAGGGTTCGTACTTTTTTCCAAAATTGAATCAGTTTCTTGAGAAAATTAATTTCTTTAATATTATCTATATACTTTTCCATTTCGATAACTTAATTATTTATGATTGATAATTGAAATTTGAATTATGGTGGCTTCTGCATGATGAACGAATTCAAATTTAAAATCAGTAATTAATCCATGTTAATCACTTTGAAAAATCTGATATTATTTGATTAATTTTTAAAACTGTTGCAAAATATTTTTTAATTGAAAATTTTATTGCTTCTGGTATTTTTTTTTAAATTGTATGTGAACTTTACCTCATTACATCGTTTGGCAATTGCTGATTATTAATTTTACAAAAAATATGGTACAAAGAAGTTTAATTATCTGTATAATTGATCGAAGTAGATTGACCGATGCAAAATAATTAGATAGAGCTTTTACATCGACCTTTGTAACTGTTAAATCTTTGCGTTCGTCAATTTTGGGAGGCCAGTCAAAATAATTCCAGATTCGATGCGGGGATCTTCTGATGAGCAGCAATTACTTGGAAAAAAAATTCAGCCATTTAATAGGATGTTGAAAGTTCGTTTTTTGAAAACAAAGGTATTTCATAGAACAAATGCACGTGAAACCGTATTAATATTTGAGTTCGTGTTTGAAAAAATAATAAAAGATTTTCACGGTGACGACCAAATGAATAACAGTTTGAAAAGGTTTATTGTTCATGACAATAGTTATCTAATATTACATAGAGTATAACCAGTTTGATTACAAATTTGAAATAAATTTCATACTTCTAATGTTTGTTTTCCTTATGTACTGTATTAATGTGATTTTCGAGACGATTCTTGCGGTCAAATGACTTGTGACAAGTCTCACATTCAAATTTTCTCCGTTTATGAGTTGATCTTACGTGATATTTGAGTACACTCTGGTATCCAAATGATTCGTGACAAATATCACATTCAAAAGGTCTGCTACTCATATGTATTGCACTCATATGCGTTTCGAAGGGGATTTTGTGTCCAAATGTTTTGTGACAAGTATCACACTCAAAGGGTTTGCTCCGCAAATGTACTGTACTCGTGTGAGTGGTGAGCTCCCATTTTCGTCCAAATGATTTGTGACAAATCTCACACTCAAAAGGTTTATTCTAATTATGTACTGCATCAATGTGAGTATTGAGATGACTTTTTCGTCCAAATGATTTGTGACAAATCTCACACTCAAAAGGTTTATTCTGATTATGTACTGCATCAATGTGAATATTGAGATGACTTTTTCGTCCATATGATTTTTGACAAATGTCACAATCAAAGGGTTTACTCCGATTATGTACTGCCCTTATGTGTCCTTTAAGGTGACTCTGGTATCCAAATGTATTGTGACAAATTTCACACTCGAAGGGTTTGTTCCGCAAATGTACTGCACTCGTGTGAGTAGTGAGCACCCATTTTCGTCCAAATGATTTGTGACAAATCTCACATTCGAAGGGTTTGGTACGTTCATGTACACTCATTATATGAGTTTTAAGTTGACTCTGGTATGCAAATGTATTGTAACAAATGTCACACTCGAAAGATTTGTTTTTATCATGTACTTGATTAACGTGTCTTTTAAGTTGATATGGGTATCTAAATGATTTATGACAAATTTTACATTCAAGTGATCCATCGTCCTTATTCGTCGTTTCTATTTGTCTTGTTAAACTCGATTTATCTCCAATGGTAAATTGACGGTTTTTCTCGTAATCGAATCCTTTTTTAATTAAAATTGTAAGCTTCTTTCCATTCGAGTCATTTTCTGGATTTTCTTCCTTTACAGTAGCTTGGCAGATGGTCGTCAATGAGGGCTTAGGTTCAAGTTTTACATTTTCGGTCTCCAATTCGATCGAAATTTCATCCTGTAACGACATCGACTCTTTAAAATTGTGTTATAGTTTTTTCATGGTGTAAATCAGATTATAAATTCAAAAGATAGAACTTACCGATGATTCACTCGTCGATGATTCATCAGAGTTTTCAGTTTTCACCGAGAACCCCGGATTTTCTTCCTTTACAGTAGCTTGGCAGATGGTCGTCAATGAGGGCTTAGGTTCAAGTTTTACATTTTCGGTCTCCAATTCGATCGAAATTTCATCCTGTAACGACATCGAGTCTTTAAAGTTGTTTATAGTTTTTTTATGGAGCAAATCAGAACATAATTTCGAAAGATATATTTTACCGATGATTCATTCGTCGATGATTCATCAGAGTTTTCGGTTTTGACCGAGACCCCTGGATCGACACACTCGTTAGCTACATCTTCCCAATCGTTACGAGGCTCCTCTTTAACGCTAAAAAAACGATCGTTTAAAAATATATCTTTGGCAAGCATGAAAAAGTGTATACCTAACTATTAAATCCTTTCTGCTTTCCATCGCTGCGTTACAATAATTTATCTTGAAATTATTCAAAATTAGATTCCTCGAGTAGCCAACAGCGTATCTTATTTTCACCAACAAACGTGTACGGATATTATTTGTAAACACTTCTTACAGCAGGAAATGATTGATAGCGACTGAGAGTAGACAGTTTTGTACAACGATGAGTGGCTACTGACATGTAATTAACATTATAGCGAGATCGTAATGAAATTATTATTAACTTAGGCACACAATTAGCTTACACGAACGGGCGATATGTGCGAAGAAACAATAGCATAAAAAGTATCTTTCTTTTAAATTTTAATTATGGGCATGAATTTTTAATCTTAAAAAATTATGAAATTGTTAGTTCTCACAACGACAATCGAGAAAGCTCTAACAAACTTCTTTTTCTTTCTCTGGTTTAAATTGTATTTCTTATAATTTTCGACATTTTTTACGTTCTTCTACATCCCACATAGGATAATTTAAAAAGGAAATGTACTCTGACACGAAACGTCTAGTTTGGAAGGATTGTCATAATCGTGTTATAACTTTTGCCCTATTTGTTGTATTACATGATACACAGATATATGATCAAAGTCTGAGAACCCGTTGGTAGGTTAAAATTTGTTTAAATCTGCTCCATATTAATATAATTATATAATTACTAGGGGGGCGAGCCCCCCTGCGCGCTTCGCGCGCCAACCCCCCTCGTTTACAATTTCATATGAGTATATGTTTAATAATATAAAATTTTATATAATACTTCCATTGTACAGACGTTCTCATCCAGTTGAAAGATTAGCATTACACTTAGAAAATAAACAAAATTTAATTTTCCCTGAAAATGAAGAAGTATTGATGTCGGTTTACCAGCGTTACGTAAATGTGTTATTACGTAATCGAAAATTAATTTTTGATCTAAATTCATTTTTTTGTATCTAAGAAGATATTCATTTTTATAAAATTCCAGTTGACTATTTAAATCTTCTTCATCAACAAGAGTTTTTAAAAAATCCAGATTCGGTGCTGGTAAACCGACATCAATACAGCTTAAATTTTCAAATTCTAAAATATCATTTATTTCTTTCAAAGCTCTGTTTTCATGATTATCTTTAAAACCTTCCAAAAAATATTTTTTATAAGTTTGCCAAACGTCTCGAATCATTGGTATATTGTTAATAATTATAAACCAAGGGAAAAATTTTCTAAGTTGTTTCGGCATCATTATTAAACAAGCTTCGTCAATATTTTTTTTATTTCTAGATCGCTATCTACTAATCCCATTGCAATCGCCGTTTCTCTAAATGTATCGTATTTAATACCCTTATAAGTTCTTAAATCGTCGAATGATTTGCAGCCTTTAGCTTTGTGTAAAATTAATTTTAAATAAAACCGTTCAACATCTTTTGGCACAACACTAACTATTCTTCCCAATGTATTTGAAAATTGTGATCTCCGTTCCCAAATTCAAAATTTTTTATTGTACTTATAGTCTTGTAAATTATTTACGTACGTGAATTTTCTAGCATGAACATCATTTTTATTTAAATCAAACCACGCTGTTAAAGTAGTACCAGGCTTTTTGGCTGCTTCTACTTCTTCATTTTCAGGGAAAATTAAATTTTGTTTAATTTCTAAGTGTAATGCTAATCTTTCAACTGGATGAGAACGTCTGTACAATGGAAGAAACCAAAATAACCAAATTAACCATAATAATTTTTGGTTCTTGTACAAAAAATCAAAGTAACCATAATTATCACATTTATGACCCTATTATTTAAATTATTTTTGTACCAAATGAACGAAAGGTCACGTGACGTAATTATGTGATCGTCGCGTGATCGAAAGTTCAAAGTCACGTAATGTTAACGTATAGAAAGGTCAGTCACTTGATGATCGCGTTATAGAAAGGTCAGAGTCACGTGATGATCATGTGATGATCGAAAGGGGTCAAGGATCAAAGTCACCATAATAATCACCACCTGATCAAAAGGTCAAGGTGTCGTGATAATCACGTGATCAAAAAGTCAAATTCAAATATTTCGATCGAAAGGTCAAAGGTTCAAATGGTCAACATGGCAAAAGGTTACATGACCTCATTACGTGATCATCATGTGCCTCTGATCTTTCGATCACGTGGTGATCACGTTATGACGCATCGCATGATGAACGAATTATAACGCTCAAGGTTACGTTATCATCAAGCGGTTCGTTACTTAACGTAACGTTACTTAAGCACGTAATCGTCACGTGAACGAAAGGTTAAAATCACGTAATCAAAAAACCAAAATAACCATAATTATCACATTTATGACCCTATTATTTAAATTATTCTTGTACCAAAACGCGCAAGGTTACACTATAATAAAATGTTTAAAATGGCGAAAGGTAAAGAGGTCACGTGACGTAATCACGTGATCGTCACGTGATCGAAAGGTCAAAGTGACATAATCAAAAGGTCTGTCACTTGATGACATCGTTATAGAAAGGTCACATGACCTTTTGATCACGTGATCATCAAGTGATGACGTCATATGATCATTCGACCGAATCACGTGATCATCACGTGATGACGTCATGTGACTTTTCGACCGAATCACGTGATCATCGCGTAATGACGTCATATGACCATTCCACCGAATGGCGGCGATAATGACGTCATATGACCATTCCACCGAATGGTGGCGATAATGACGTCATATGACCATTCCACCGAATGGCGGCGATATTATCTTATAATATAGAGAGATATAAATGAGATTTTACTTTTACAATACTGGGAACTTTTTTGGCGTACTTGGTTTTATAAACCAATTAAATTCCTCGAATCATCGCCAAACTAGAAATTTGACATATTTCCCAGATATGCGGGCAATATATAAACAGATAAATTTTTGACTTGATTGTAAATAACATGATCATAAACAATCACGACTACGCCTTTTGAACACCAAGCACATTTCTAGACGATACAAAACATGCATTTTAAATTAAACCAAAAGATAGATTATACTCGTTCAATTATTTCCGTGGCACTAAATAGAAGAATCCAATATTTAATTTAAGAATCAAAATGCATAAAATTTAGAAGAAATCCGATGAAGTAATCTCAGAAGACACTTCATTGAAAACGACATTGTTGTTTCAGACGAAAAAAAATACGTTTGCGATATTTGTCAGGAGGCATTTACGCTAAAATCAAGCACATTAACCCACCAAGACACAATTGACAATGAACAAAATATTACGTATGCGAAAAGTGTGAGCCGAAATTTGGAGATCGAAACAATGTTAATAAACACCAAAAAACAGTCCACGAAGGTCGGAAAAATTACGATAAATGCGAGATCGAATTTAGACAAAAAACGCATTTGCTGAGCCAACATAAGACAATTCACCAAAAGACTGTCCATGATGGTCGTAAAGATTACCCATGCGACAAATGCGAGAAAAAATTCAGAAGAAAATCAATTTTGCTCTCACACCATAAGACAGTCCATGAAGGTCGCAAAGATTATACATGCGACGGGTGCAAGAAGAAATTCGGAGTAAAATCAGAACTGATCAGACACCAAAAAACTATCCATGAAAGTCGCAAGAATTATCCTGGCGATGAGTGCGGGAAGAAATTTCGACGAGAATGTGATTTGCTTACCCACATCAAGATAGTCCATAATAATCGCAAAGATTTTGCATGTGACAAGTGCGAAAAGAAATTTGGACACAAATCGAGTTTGATTATGCACCTGAAGACACACGAAGCAGTTAACGAAGGTACCAATGATTACGCAAGCGACAAAGTGCGATCAGACATTTGGGATTCAAAGCAATCTGATCCAGCCCGACAAATTAAACCACGAATGCCGCAAAAACGACGCATGCAATGAGAGCAAAAATAAGTCTGGGCCTTCATCAATTTTGATCAAACGAAAAAAAAGCCAAGAAATTCGCAAAGATAAATTTTCCGATGGGTGCTATAATCGTCTAATTTGTATAGTTACAACCGATCAATGTCCATTGTCCAATCGAAAAGCCGGAGCATAAAGATAAAGAAACTTTAAGTGCTTTTCTTACTCAATCGCCACCATGCGCAATTGCGTATAATATCAAGTGAGACGATTATCAATTTTTTATAGTACAAATAATATCATATTACGATGGACTCTAACTTCGCGATGTATACTGTATTTTCACCGATGACCGCAAAGCACAATTCATTATTAATCATAACTGACGATAAAGTAACTTTCGGTTTGAATATTATACTTTGTGTTATCTTATTATTTTAAAAATTACTATGGAAACGTCCTTACTTTATATGTGTGACATTGGGCTAAAAATGTAAAAATGACGCGAAATATTCGAGTTTTAAGTAAAAGTTAATGCGCACAAATTTAAAAATTTATTTAAGCCAGAAGTTTAGTGGTTTGAGCTAATTTTTACCACTAACTTACAGTACTTTATAATATTTTAGTATTTTTACAAATACTAACAAAACTTAATCAAGGCGCACTTTTTTTATAATTTCAATCGTCAATTTCAATATCTGTCATTCTCGTTCCATTGGAAATGTTTAAAAAATTGTTCACCATAATCTATCTTCCGGAAATACCTGGTTTAGTAGAATTAGATAAAAACTACGGAGAAAGTAAGCCATATCTCATCGCAGCGTTCATATGGCCAGGTCAAAATGGCTTATCGCAATATCTTGGAAGATTGTTCACATCGACAAATTTTATAACAGCTTTAATTTTTCTATTTCATACCACATTTTATGTAACTCAACCGCCGATCAACTGGGAGTTCGCAATACAAAATCTTTTCGAACTATCTTTTGTTTTGATGATGTTTTCTATGTACTTCATACTTGGAAATATGCAACGCGAGGTAATGGTTGAATAAATTGCGCAAAGAAATGATGGTATTTTTTACTTTCATGTAAAAAAAAACAATACGAATATATTTTAGATTCACGATTATACTTCGATGACTGTCAATTTTTGGGATAGTATAACGGATTCTGACCAAAAAGAGTATATGTTAAACATAAGCCAATTTCATCGCAGAATAGCGATACTCATTAGAGGTTTGATAACAAATATTTTTTGGAAACTATGAATTAATGATTATCGATTCATATTCACACCGAAATAAATATTTCTTTTCAGTTATAATATTTACTAGCTTTATAGGATTCGCTATATTTCCTGTATCCGTCCCATATGTGATTAATTATATATTTCCAAATAAGTATAATATAACGCCTAAATTGTGCACTACTGCAGGCTCTTATCTCTTTGATCATAACAAGCATTTTTTTTCTTTTTTTTTGTGTTCCTTATTGGGTATGATCCAGGCAGCTATCGTTGCAGTTGGTCTTTGCTCTTCAGCTGCATTTTTCATTTCTAATGCTCTCATCAGATTCAACTTGTTGGGGTAGGTTTTGTAAAACTCAATCGAGTCGACTGAAGAACGTTATTCGAGCGATTTTTATTTTTTAGTTTTCGTTTGCGAAAATTAAGTTCGCTCGTAGAAAGTGATACTTTTATAAATACTAAATCAATGAATGAATATATTTTTGATGAAGTTAATAACTTACATCAGAGCCACTTGTCTGCTATAAAGTAATGTATCACATACGATGTCATAACATACTTTATCTAGGGTCACTGTATTAATGAATGTTTAGGTACTTTGAAAAGTGTGAATATATTGGTCGCAAAGTACTAATGATTCTCTCTACATACGTTTTGGTTGCCTTGAGTTTCACAGGAACTATGGTAATACAATTATTTTTTAATCCATTTGAAAACATTCAAAAAATGAGCGTAATTCAAATTTCAGATACTGTTCTCGTTGAGCGTAAATAATTATTTTCTCTTATTAGAGATGATCATTTCATTTTTCTCAATAATTTTTACAGCATTTTTAACCGCTCATTTCGGACAAATAGTGATAAATGCAAGCGATGATATATTTTATGATTGGTATATTAGCACTCCTTTACTTATGCTAGTTAAAAAAATGTCATGGTAATTTTGGTACTCGATATTATATTATTATACATTATTATTGCAGTTACTTTTGTGGATGGTACAAATTTCCTTCAAACACTAAACCATACATAATAATGATGATGATTCGAGCACTCAGCCCTTGTGAATTAAAAGCAGGCCCGTCTGCGGTCCTTACCATGAACTATGAAAATTTTAGTGCGGTAAGTTATGATCAGTTTCACGTCCAGTTCAACAAACTAAAACCCATTTAACTGTACACTTTTTTTATCAAGATTGTCAACACAGCAGTATCTTACATGACAGTCATGGCTTCTCTTATATAAATAATATTATATCGATTTATTTATAAATAAGATAAATAAAATGAAATAATGAAAGTCAAAAATATTTTACTAATCTGCATTCTGACTTGTGGAAAATGGTAAAAAAATTATTGGGTACGCATTGCCGATCTCTTCGTAGTATTTCAAGAAGCAAAGAAACTCGTAACAAATGAAATTTTTATAGACTATACTTATGAAACAATTCTGCATGCAAGACATTTTCCTAATCAAAGTGCAAATAACGCACTTTTATTACAAATCGATTTTGCCAACATATTTGTTTTTTCCCTCACAACGACCCTTTCTTTTTTCCAATGCGTAATTTAGTGTATCTAAAGTTAGCTGTAGAGGATGAAGTTGATTCGGATTCATTGTCTGTGCTACTTCATAAAATATAGACAAACCAAGATAGAGATGTAAGAAAGCGTTAATTTATGCAAAGTAAAAAAGTTTTATTGTTTCAATTGATTTTGCTAATACGTTGGTTTTAAATTCATTTCTTTATTACATTTAATTTTGATGGTAACATTATTTCAATTTGGATTCAAATGAATTATGTATTAATTTAATGGATACCTCCCAGTTTATTTATAAGTTCGAGCTGTGAGTAAAAAACAGCGTGTAACAATTTCAGTCGTTCAGTGTTTCCAATTTTTCGTTGTTGTAATTTTACTTATTCACCCAATCGATTCGATATGTATACACCTGTACATTTCTCGATTCTGCACGCGAGTATTACGACGACTTCAGAGCACTGCGTTATTTCAACGCGCGCGCGCGTGCGATTGTACCAGCTGGAGCAACAACAACTACAACAGGCTGCGAGTTATCGCCGCGCATTTAAGTCCGCGTGCGGGGCCCCGGGTTGGAAAAGGCCCAGAAGACGATTTCCGACACATCACGCAGAGACAGAAATCTGGCTGACGAGGAGCCGCAGCGGGCGCCGATCGCGAGATGGGTTTCTCCTTCAAGCGAAAGAAGGCCAGTGGCTACAGGGTTAGCGTGCATTATATTGATCGAAAATCGATCGATCGATTAGCATATGCGTGCGATAATGCGTTACACGCGCGATTACTACCACTACTTTGCAGCGGATGGGTAGGCTGGCCTGCAAGATGTGCGACTACAACTTCATGGGCAGCGGCTTCTACGTCATCCTCGTCGGCATAATCGGATCGGTTCGTTATATACACAAGTGTCTTTAGCGCTCGACATTGACCCACACATTTATATCAGGTGATAACGATCTCGGACGTGATCAGATTGATGAACTCGACGTCGGCGAGTCAGTCGCCTGCTCTCTTCAAGCCGAGCGGCGTCGGTAAGTCCGAGCTCTCTAATGGATAATTTATCGTTCGTGTACAACGAAAAGCCCCGCAAAATCGGTATCCGTCGTTTGCAGTGCCCATCCAAGTCGAGCGCGATCTCAAGCTCATGACGTCGATCCTCGGCCTCGAGCACTACATGTTCCTCGTCATAGCCATCGTCACGGTACGATGAACTCCATAGCGAGACTTTTTTGCTTGTTTGTTCGTTTACTTTTTTGATCGCGTTTCATCGTCATCGTCATCGTCGTGTTTTGCCAATGAAGCGCAGGAGTACCCGATGCTGCACGTGCCCTGGCTCCTGATGCAGCTCGTGATAATCGGCGCCGAGCTCTTCGTCTTCTTCGTGCGCGTCTTCATCGAGGGACTGCACGTGACTCGCGACGAGATCGTCTTCTCGCTCATCACCCTGCACAATTGGCTCCAGGTCTTCTGCCTGTTCCAGTGGCAGACGCAGTCGCGCGTTTTTTGACTTCCGATGCCGCGAGAAGCTCGATATAGGAATTGCGCGCGAAATTCAATCGGTGCGACGACGGAAAAAAAATACGTATACAAACATGTTGGAGCGCGCATGAGCGAGTAGCGCAAGAGCGATCGATCGATCGCGCGACGACTGTACTCTCTCGTAATAACAAGTTACATATTCATCTCTTCCTTGGCAATAATCTATTTTTTGCTGCTTTTCAAGTTCAATGCGAGTGTAAATTAAAACATTTCTCAGAACCGCAGACAGATCGGGAAATACGTCAATACTTGGCCACCAGCCGTAAACGCGCTTTACAGGGTGTAGGCGGAATAGGCAAAATCGAAATAATTGGCGCGACCGAGTCTCGTCGGTTTGTGACGTCGGTTCGCCGCCGCGGCCCTCCTCCGGTTGGTTGGCGCGTGCGCGTCCATAACACATTTTGGCGCGGCACACGTTATATGTATACACACATTGGCATAGGCACTGCTGCAGTTATAAGCTTGGACGATTTGGACTGCACTACTGTGTCGCGTGCATAATAGAGCGACCGCGCGAGCTTATGAGCGTTACATAAGCACAGAGAGCTTGTTTATACTACCGCGAGCGTAGAGCGTTTTTCCCCATATTGTACTACCGTCGAGTTTCGAGAGTGGAGTTGGAAGGAAAGAGACGACGGAAAATATCAGCAGAGAAGCAGCGAAAAAAAAAACTCAACGCCACATAGAGCTTTGCACGGAGCAGACGAATTATTATAGCACACGCTAGTTTTACGTCTTTCCCCCCCTCTTCTATACATTTCGTTCGCGAGTCGCGCTCGTTCGTTCGCTATACCGCAGCAGCAGCGAGCAAAGTCTAGCAGACAAGAACAGTTGAACGGTTATTATTAGGCCATTGGAGACGGAGAGAGAGAGAGCCCCGCGCTCAAAACTCACACACGGGGCCATCGTATACGAGCGCGCGCGCGAGATCGGTCGCGATTCACAGCGAGTGCGAGAGAAGAAAGTAAAAAGTAGCCAAAAGTCATCCTCCTTCGAGGACACTCCCTATACAAAAGCAGAATATACAAGGCAGCGGTTCGAGCATGAAAACCATTTGGATAATCGGCGGTCCCGGATGCGGCAAGGGCACCCAGTGCGATCGCATCGTCAAGAAGTACGGATTCGTGCATCTCAGCAGTGGCGATCTGCTGCGCGAGGAGGTGGCCAGCGGCAGTCCTCGAGGCGCCGAGCTCCAGGAGCTCATGTCCAAGGGCCTGTTCGTGCCGACTGTAAGTTTTTTTTACATAAAAGCACATAATAATGTACGCTATATACGAGCCGAGAGCGACGCGATACATGTACATGTCGCACAGTCATCATCACGCGTCGCTTTATTATTTATTTTTCATGCTGCTGCCTCAAAGTGGCTATGCTCGTCTCTCTTTCTCTTAATGATCGCAGCGGAGTTGTCGTACTCTTATCTGCACGCGGCTCCGATCCGCCACTGTATAGTCAGTAGTAAAGTAGCTTTCGATTACTTTCTTTTACAATCATATACGCGAATCGTGTACAATACGAACTCGAGTCAATAATTCCCGCGTCGATTAAATGTATCGAACCGCGCGCGTAAAACGTCGATATCGCGGTAGTGGCGCGCCTATACAAAACGTTATCAAGTACAACCTACCGATTGCGCTCGAGCTATACATAGGTATACGTACTTAGGACTACGCAATTACGAGCTTAATAATTGATCGTTTGTTTTTTCTTTGTCGTGATTTTGTATAGGACGTCGTGCTGTCGCTCATCAAAGAGCGCATCGACAAGGCCAAAGCCGAGGACCCGTGCTGCAAGGGCGTGCTCATCGACGGCTATCCGCGCGAGCTCGAGCAGGGCATACAGTTCGAGAAGGACGTAAGTGTACCCGATATCACGGCCGAGCTTTTTTCGTTCTCATTAATAAAATAAATAAATCGTTTTGCTGATACGGCCGTGTAGGTTTGTCCCGTGGACCTGATCGTCTTTTTCGACGTGAGGAACGAGACGCTGATCAGCCGCTTGTTGGGACGCGCCGCGGCTGCCGCTGTCAAGCGCGCCGACGACAACGAGGAAACTATCAAGAAACGCATCGAGATCTTTAACGAGAAGAACGGAAAGATCGTCGATCATTATACCAATAAGTGTCTCAGAGTGAGTACCCAAAGATAAAACGATTTCTCTAACCGATTTCAACTTTTCGCGATTTTTATCTTTTCTCGTTCCCCAGATTAACGCCGAAGGCGCCGTGGACGACATTTTTGCGCAAGTGGTCGAGGCCATCGACAAACTGCTCGCCTCGTAAAATCGACGTTGGTTCTTGTATGTTATATATAGTGTATATGTTAAAATGGGGACGGATGCGCCAACTCACCGAAGAAGTACAAAAAGAAAAAAAGCAGAAAAAATCTAATTCAATGTCACACAAATTAAAGCAAAAGCACAATAATAATAAAACACGCGTCTGCCTGACAGCTCTCGGAGAGTAGAGTGTGCAGTGGATCGCAAAAGTCGAGCCGTAATTCATTGTTATTATTATTATTAACTATCTTCTTGGCCTTTTTCTTTATTCTCAATGTACCTTGACAAATTCGAGCTTTCCGGCTCTGCAGTCAGTAACGCGATGATGCTCGCGGCGACGTTATTGTTTCTTTTGGCTGCGATCGCTGTCGACGGCTGTCCGACCACGGAGTCGAGATACTCGATCCGTTACGACCTGATCAAGCGTGACGTCAAATCGTCCGAATCGATAATCACCAGGAGGTGGGTCGCCGACGTAGACAAGTGTCGAAATTTCGCCGAGAGCAAGCAGGCTCTGGCTTTTAATTTCGTCGCGAGATCTACTGCCGCTGGTCGATCGTCGGCCAATTGTTTTCCCCTGCGTTGCCCGGAAATCGACGGTGAGCGTCGATTGTTGAACGCGACCGGTTGGGATTACTATAGCGCCTATCCGATTGGTGCCGGGACCAACGAGTCGTTCACAGGTAAGTTAATGAGGAAAAAATTAAAATCTTCCGACTCAAGGTTTATCTTGTCCACGACGATCCGAGTAGGAAACGGAACCGTATCTTGCGTCGAGCGCGTTGGACTTTTCGCTCTCTTCACGGAAGAACAAAATATAACCGACGCTCGCGAAACTTGTCGCGCCGCCACACCTCTGGGTGGCTACCTCGCGGACGTTACCAGCGAGCCTCGGACCCGCGGCATCTCCAAGCTCATCGGCGATCTGCTGGTCTACATCGGACTTACGAACGACGCTCAGCAGCGCAGGTGGAGAAACGAGCTGGACGACTATCTCTGGTGCTTCGATTATCGCGCCTGGGACGTCGGCGAGCCCTCGCACTCGCGGGGCTGCGTCGCTCTCTTTCGCCAAAATCCCAAGACCGATCCGGTCTGGAGGGTAGTAGCTTGTTCCAATCGACTCCCGTTCGTTTGCGAACTGCCTCGTACGGCTGGAAAGAAGGCGTACTCTTATGTGAATTTTCTCAGATCGAAAGACGTTATTTCGTGAACGAGAGAGACAATAAATACAACGTTGAATTTTTCATCAAATAGTGACTTTAATGTAATTTTGCTTTTGCGCGTACTTTTATATATATTTATATATATTTTTTCGTATTTATAATATATAATTCTGAATAAGAACTAGCCGCTTATGTACACATATGTACGAATAACATTCGTTACGAAAGAAGCGAGAAAAATATCTGTACTTTTAAATTCATTTTGAATATATATAATATTATCTTATCCGCACTTTTCACATTCAAACATAGGTTCACACGTCAGCAGTCATACAATCATTATTTACAAATCAATATTTCATATTATGCTTTACATCAATTTACTCGTGGAGAGCCGGTGATATCATTTACGCTTATCGCGAACTGCTTAATAATAAATAGTGTCGATTTCTTCCCCATAATTACAACGATTATTAAGTAAAAACTTTCGACAATGGCTTATTGTATCACACAAAAAAATGCAAATTAAAAATAATGTTTTCCTCTCTCTTTCAGTACATCATCGCTTCGATAATTTCATACACTTTCCTCATATCCGCAAAGTTCCTCTATATTTCTCGTCGCGTTGTGCGTTTTACGCGTTTTACAATATAATATCTCACAGCATACAACGGAAGCATCGACCTGCTTGCAACCTGGACATGATTGATTACAACTAATATCGTTTTATTACACTACTTAGAAAAGCTGCACGTTACTCGAGTTCAATTCATTTTATCTATATCATTCAAATAACTATAGATATAACCTTTATTTGCTGCGTTTAAAATACTTTACGTTTGTGACAACGATATCGAGCCAAGTTTTCTTATAAAAATAATCGAGTAAGTACCGTATTTGACATTGTGCTTTTTTATGCGCATTCTTGATATAATTTTCAATTATATTATTATCAGTCATTATTATCTCCTGCTAAATTGGACAATATTTGCATTTCAATCTTGTACAATAGTTTACAGTCAAAACACATCTTTCCGTTCAGCAGTCCTGAGTGACTCTACTATTTTTACAATTGTTTTTGTATGCTTGAACTTTGACAATAAGAAATCAGGCAAACAACAGTACAATTAATTTTTGTATAGAAAAGTACAAAATTGTGCTATAATACGCGTGTCTTTCGAGACATACTCATGTATTTATGCACAATCATTAATATTTCTTAGCATATTAAGTAGATTTTTTGATTGTATTCATTTCCATAACTCGAAACAATGCGTTTATATAACACCAATACCATCTTAACCCAAGCAAAGGCAATTTATAGTTATTACCATTGATTTTAAGTATTTTAAAAAAGCAAGTTTTTTGTGATAATTTTTATAGATCAATGATTTTGTAAGTACCTAGTTGCCCTACGAAGTACAATGCTATCAAGTCGTATTATTCAAATCGTGCAACAGTAGAAAACGATAATATTCTTTCTAAATAAAATTCATGTATCGAATTTTGTTTAAAAATGTAATTTAATAAAATGATTCATGTTATTTTATCTTAAAATCTAATCACTGGTTGATGCGATATCAGCAATACTGGATTTAAGAATGGTTAAAAGACTGTTGGCACGAATAGATAAAAATTGTATACTTTGTTTCACCTCATATGTAAGTACTTAAAAAAGACGAATCATTTTAAGGTAATAATTTAAGATGTATGACTCATCAATGGTAGGTAAATAATATGATCCTTACTATCAAATTATAATTCCTTAATTCATAGTTGAATTTTTATAAACCTATTAAATTTTAAGTGGAATGTGATGTTTATGTCGCTGTGATGTCTCAGTCTGTTAAATACTTGTCGGTGTGCTATTACATCATATACCTATGATTTACAAAATCTATTACTTACAAACCAATAAAATCTATTATACCTACAGCACAATCAATTATAATAATATCAATAAAATGCAGTATTGAAGTCTGTAAGTTGCAAATTAATATTAATCCCTAACTATTTTTTCTAACTGTTTAGTTAAATCACTCACTTGGTCCTGGAGACGCACAACTGTTCTCTCCAAGAATTTTACCTGAAAAATATGAAAGATTTTTATTAAAATTATTAAACTACTTTATTCATAATCCAGCATAAAAAATCTTATTTTCACTGACCTGATCTTTCAATTGCATATACAAATGGAATGGTACATAAGGCTGATTATCAAGTGGTAATGGTGATGATGGTGTTAACAACGATTGTTCGGATGATGAAGTAGTTTCTGATTTGTTTGATTTTCCTTTGTCTTTAAGTTTGCTACCTGCAGTATTTATTTCTAATTTCGGGGAAACATCTGGACTGCCTGCTGATTGTGACCTGGAATATTATTTGATTGTGTTATTATGAAACCTACAACATTAATTTATTGAACTGTAAATTTTTAATATTTGATCTGTGTACCATTCAAAACTTCTTTCTTTTTTTGATTCAATTTTACTATCTGAAAGATCACTATTTCCTTTTTTCCGTTCCATTTGATTTAACTTGAGTTCTTCCACCTGTAATTATTCAAGATGTTATTTTTTGAGTGAAATGAATTGATAATCACTAATGACTTACCCATGGTGCTTTTTTCCTAGTTTTGGCCACCTGTGTATCAATCACATCATTTTTTACATTGTCTTCCAATACTTCTGCATTGCCATTTGTAATATTATCCTCCTACACAGAAATAAAAATAAGTTCAAATATAGTCAATCAAAAATGAATGTTTAAAAGAAAATATTAATAAAATTTACCTTTATAGGAGAAATATTATTTGAAGTATTTTCATTGATTGTAGGATTATGATTTCTTAAATGCTGTGTAGTTGGTAGTCTTCTTCTTGGTGCCTTGGCTCTGGATGCAGTTAAATGTGATAAAGTACTACCTTCGCTCCTCTCCACTTCATCTAATTCTTCAACCAAATCACTACTCGTGGTATAAGAACCATTGCCATTGTTGGAAGTAGAAGTTCCATTATTATCTGAACCCACATCCATGAATGAACTGTCATTAGAGAGTTTCTTAACTTGTGTGTCTAAACTATTATTACCAACATTCAAAGAGTTTGAAGGTGGAGTGGGTGAATTCAACTTTTTGACAATTCCATCTGAATGTAAATTCTTTGGGTCCAAACTTCTTCTAACATTAGCAGTTTCCTTTTTTCTACCACCAGATTGATTTACCAATTTGATAGGTGAGATATCATTTGCATGTTCTTCTGTAGTTTGATTTTTAATTTTTGATGTCATCACTTGCACAAAGTTATCAGGAAACAGTCCAATTTGCCCTCGAAGTTCTCCTTTCCACCAGCCTTTGTCTGGAGCATCCCTGGATAAAAGTGTGATTATATCACCTTCCTTTAGAGTTAATTCATCCTCGTTTACTGCTTCATATGCAAATAAAGCTTTGCACAGCTCTTTCTTATTGTCTTTTATTCTCTCCTTCTTTTCTGGATATGGTGGAGCAACAAAATTTGAAGGAAAGACTCCTACCTTTCCTTTGATACGACCTTTCCACCATCCTTCTTCAACCTCACCCAAGTACTCTATGTGTTCATCGCGAATGAGTTTGAGCTCATCATCGTTGCAGGGATCATAACTGAACAAAACTCTGCAGAGCTTTCTACCACTGCCATTGCGCAAGGCAACTTCTTCCATTTCTGTTTTGTCTTCACTGTTTCTTGGTCCAGTTCCTTTAATAAGCTGCAGGAAAAAATTGAACGATAAATAAAAGAAATTAAAATTTTTGTGTTAAAAAAGATGAAAGAAATGAAGCTACGAACCGTGACAAAGTTGTCGGGAAACATGCCTCGCTTTTCCTTCAAAGTGCCTTCCCACCAGCCGCCGTGCAGCAGAGTGACATCCTTGATAACGTCGCCCTTTTTAATGGTGAGTTCGTCGGGTTGTCGGGCATCGTAGTTGAACTCGACTAGAGCCTCCATATTATTATTATCGAGTGCGTGCCAAAGCCGGAGTCGTGTTCAGCGATTGCCTGCGCGCGTATAAGTACTTGAGCCGCTGCAAAGAGAAGAAACGAGAAAAGAGCGGAGTCGATGAGTAAGTGACAGGCAATACGCACTCGACGAGATATAGGCTTTGATGCCTCTCTCGTATTATTATGTGCCGCGTTTAAAGTAGGAGGAGAGAACGCGGAGCAGGTAAGCGCACACGAGTGAGAGCCTATGAGGAGAGCTGCGCTCACCCGCGACTCTGGAAGTATGATTCACAGTGCAAATATAACCCCATTTTTGACACGGGGCACACAGGCTGACTAAAGGTATATAACGAATACACAACAGCACCAGCGGCGTATACGCGAAAACGCGACACGATGAAATATGAAGTGTTGTGTGTATATAGATACCGACTTCTCGGTAGCCAATGAAACGGGTGTCCCGCAATATACCATGCCTATTTTTGGGTACTTACTGATGTTACAACTCACCTCTGTGTATGAGCAACACACCGACGTACTAGAGAGAGCTCCGAAAAATTAATAACTTGTATATCTGCTGCTGATGCTACTGCTGGAGGTCCTTGAGTACGCGTGTGATAAATAATGATTCACTGCGGCTGACGAATGAGTTTTTACACTTGGCGCATTATTTTATCAGTGGCAGATAGGAGTTTTATAATATCTGTTCTCAACCATCAGCTCGCATCCCCGCGCGCATACAACAATAATATGTATAATATTATTATGGAGAGATCGAGGCCAAAACTGTCTCTCTTCCGAACAATCCGCTCTCTCTCGCGCGCGCGTGTACCGAATATCAACGAAACGTTGCTATCCTATACACGACGATAATAAATGTTTCTTCTTCTATTGAAAAGGCGTTTCCCCGGCGCTTTGAACTTGACAGCTCGCCAGAGAGGTAAACAGCTCGTCGCTGCGACAGTTGGCAGAGCGTGTAACGATTGATCCGACTCTGTTACAATCGTTTTCGGAGCAGGTATAAACAATGGGAAAACGTTGCTGCAGCAGCCGCGCGATATAGTAAATTTAGTACAGCACCTTCTATGCCTTACATATACCGTGTTGTGCGTTATACGCAACTCCGCGAAGCGACTCGAGGACTGTATATATATATATATATGTAGGCAAGGGTTCACGCACTGCGCTATATTACGCGAGAGCCTATCTATACACAACTGCCCTCCTCGCAGAGTGTGCACTGTATGGTATAAGAAGACTCCGCAGAGATGTATATCTGCACGCGCACTAACACACTGCAGCAGTGCAGAGCCTATAACAACGTTGCTGCTGCTGCGGCGCCATGTTTGATATATTCACGTTTATACACACTATCACTCCTATATGTGTGTGCACCCCACCTTTGCGAAAACTGCAGTCGCGTCGCGAACGAGTTGCACGTATACACACACTGAAAACACCACCACCGTCGTCGTCGTCGTCGTCACCGTGCGCCGCGCGTCCTATAAATGCAGCGCCACTGGTTTGATACGCGTTCGTTTCTGCGGCGGATACGGCGACGTACTAACAATTTGAAACTCCGAATCGTGCTGCGACGTAAGATAACACGCAGCACACGGTTGCTCTGCCCGAAATGGAGATTTTAGGCATCGTGTTTATCCTTTTTTGGGCATCGAGTTTGACTCCGTTTATATTTTGAAATAAAAAACGAGAAAGCAGCAGCTCGGTCTATACGGTTTTATCAGCTCCAATGATACTAGAACTTTCCCTATATGACGATCATTTTGGAGCTCTTAAAAAAGGCGTTCTATTTATGTTGAGAGCGTCAGCCGTCCACTTGATTCTAACAGGAGGAAGAACAGATGCTAAATTTTCCCAAATAGAATTTCCATTCCGGAAACTCTCGAGTCACTATACGAGACACCTGTCCCGCACGTTGAGTAATATTATAACTGCAGTAAGATATCGCGCCACTATGAGCAACGTTTGAAAACGTACACACAAGCACACAGGAATTCTGACAGCGCTCGGAAAATATTGACATTTCGAAGTCATCACTCCCGACCACGTGGTGATTTTCTAGCCGATCGAGTATCAGTGAAGCATGACAGTCGAGAAGGTATGCGACTGAGAGCGACTTTGTTGTATCGAGCTGTCAGCGGGTTGCACCGCATCAGGAGAGGATAGACAATATTTTTTTTCGCCCGAAAAAATAATTGGGCAACTTGTATCTGGGCGTTGTGCGGCCGGATGTCCATTTCCATATCAACGACAGAGTTTTAGCAAGAAACGATATATAAGTGATAATTGATGAGCAATTGTGAAATTTTTGCGATCGACTATGATTTTGCATGGATGCGTAACCTAAAAGTTGCCTTTTTTAGGCACTAGTGTCATAAAGTACGACTTCGCAACTTGAGCTTCAGCGCCTCTACACGTTTTTTCAATCTTACGATTTTAACCGATGCCTTGAAAAGAGAACGGGTAAAACGTTGAACTTTTCGATGCACCATGCGCGAATCTCAAGTTCAATGAACTCGGCGGATTGCGCACTGCCCCTGCGCACTGAAACTGATTTTGCGAAAATCACATAACCCTTAATCCAAGATTCGCATGGAGACATTAATTTTAATTATTTCTAAAACATCTCGAGTTTTTGTTCAAATCTGAGAGGTGTGCAATTTTCTTTGGAAAATGTGCAATATTTCTGACAAAACAGATAATCAAATAAGTCATTAATTAATTTTATACAGCCCGTTTAAACTTCGCCCATCCAATAATCTTTAATTACCGTTTCTCGCTCTATCAAGGGGTGTGCCGAGATCATCTCGATGATTTTCAAAATGTGCAATTGAAACTCTATCCGACCGTACGTCATTTCCATCGTAAAAACATAAAAACATCGTTCTCAACTTCTGGCCGTGAGGTTGACCATGTGCGGCGACTCTTTCCGGCGCACCTGCAGCTCTCATCGGATCGGGAGAGCAGGCAATTCGAGGAGGTGCGCATATTTCGAAGCTGTAATACGCATATACGTTCGGCGTGTGAGGCGTGTTTTTGCGGTGTCTTCTGCAATGTAACGTTGCAGCAGTGGCAACAGCATGACTAAGTTGTGTGTACAAGATTTATTTATTTTCGAAAGCGAATCGTAATAAATTGCGAAATTATTCGAAGGTCTTATAGTTTAGCATCGAATTTCGCTGAATAAAAATCATTCATTCTCATTGTGTAAAAAAAAAAAAAAACAAGTTAATTCATTATCTCGTAGCTCGCGTAATTTACTAATAAACATATTTGCATACGAGTATACAAAACACTCGAGTTGCACAACCATTTCTCAGTCGTACAATATTATATGAAAATAATTTGCATATTGATATTTGCATGTTTATTACTTTTTCACTCATGCGAGAGAATTACGTTTTGCAACGAACTTTTCATCAACTTGGTAAATATTAGTACCGATGAAGCGTGTAGCTTCATCTCGTAACGTTTTACTGCACTGCAGATATAAAAATATTACGTAACAAGGGCGAGATGCAATTTTTAGGTTAGCCAGATTGATATTTAATCAATCGACGTTGACACCTCGCCGGCGTAAACATTGAAAACTTGCAAAGACACGCCTGAAAGACAATGGCTCGCGACTGCACATATATCCTTGCCGTATGAATCCCCATTGCTCCCCGTATATATGGGGAAGAAAGAAGTCTCCTGTCGACGCGCAACCCGCCAAGCCATCGCCATGGCTTGTTTATCTATTCGCTTATGTACCACCTCTCGCGTTCTGGTCTCCTAATACTCGATCGGCAATTAGCCACGTGGTCGGCACTGCGTGCTGTCATCGTGCTGTGTAGCACAGCAGATGTTGGCCACGGCGTGACTTTCTTGTGCCTACTTCGAACTTTTTTGAAAATTAAGCCGCATTTCTAATTATTTTTGCTGCGGTTATTAGCGAGATTTGTTGTTTATTCTAGACATTGTTCTAGAAACTTAATGCATGTATTTCACTGAACAAATGTAGCCGCGAATCTATGCCAACGAATTTCAAGCTCATTGTAAGGCCTATTTATTTGAAAGATAAACTGCAAATATAATCAGTGTGGTCCAAGTAGTCGTTGTTGGCACTCGTTGAGCTGCCGTTCGATAATAATATAATACTTTGTTATCGGACACCGCCGCCGCGGACTCGTTGCAACGTAGGGTCGGTAAATAACATCATGTACGCGTACGTACTCGCGGCGTCGCGTCGCGTCAACTCGAGGATCTGCGTAACGACCAACGACGACGACTCGAGAAATAACGAAGACCAAAGGGTAAACGACAAAATGGCTGGGACGAGAATAATGAGTAAGAGTAGCAGCGCCGAGGAGGAGAAAGACTTCAATCGCACCGGACTCAAAGTGGATTATGACAAAGTAAGCAGCATAAGCACATCAATGTTTACACGACTTCCTGTGAATCGTTGACCCAAGTTTGTGGTTTTTTTTTTTTTTTTTTTTTAAATGGAGCTTTTGTTTGATTTGAATTCCAAAGTTATGTTCTCCTTGTTAATTAATTTTAATTGAAATCTAGCGCTTCAATTAATCAGTGTAATTTATCGCTATCTTGTAACAAATATATTTATATTTCCTCCTACCCCGACACATCGCGTTGAAACTTTTTGTCGCGCTGTACTTACGAGCATCGTTCAAAGCACAGTATGAAGAACAAGTCTTATTTCATTTAGGAATTCATCTTGTAGCAAATCTAAAACTACATGTTAATATTTTCGACATGTTATTTATTTCGCTTATATTCGTGCATTACCTTGTTTGGTACAATAAATTTTAACTTTGAATGCAATAATCTATTGCAAATGCGGTCACATAATTCTAATGAAATCAATAGTTCATTGAAATATTATTAATTAATTATTAGATTGAACAAGGTGCGTTGAAAAATAAAATTTTTTTTCAAAAAGACGTTTTTTATTATACTTCTATTTATTACACTTCTATTTTTTATAAATTTCTTTTTTCACAAAAAAAAAACTTGTTTTTTTTCAAACATTATTTTGATAACGCACGAGTGGAAAATCCTCATCTACTGCACAAAGTAGTAGTCACTTCAATAGTAATATTGCTTCTTGCATTATAACAGCTGCTGACTCAGTCAAAAACAACGTTGACCCCAACAATGTACAATAATAATATCTCTTTATAAGGCCAACAAATGCACATTAATAAAATGGGCCACAGGCTTGCAGTTATGAGACCAGCGAGATTTTTAGAGTATACAAAGAGTGTACAAAGCAACAGATAACATTTTTTATCAGCACGTGGTTCGACGATCGTATCAACAATAATGTACAGAAAGAAGATGATATATACAAATGAGAATTAAAAATGTACTACAGTTCTATCCCTGTAATACATAATTAAGCCTGAAAAGCATCTTTAACTTCTTCTTCAACTTCTTCGTCTTCATCTTCTTCGCCTTCGCTTTCAAAGGTATTGTCGGGGATGTCGTAGAGACGGATCATTGGCTTGTTGGGATCCTTCATGATCAAGTACTTGCCATCCTTCTGTTGCATCACGATGTCAATGATGCATCTGACAATACCCCAAGCGTTGTCCATGTTGAGGTTTATCTGATTGGCGAACTCGTTGGGTTTGTATTGCTGGGTCTCGAGGATTACGTGCTTGCTCGAGTCGCGAACACTGGCCCTGGACACGTATCCGAACTTGAGCTGATCGGAGCCAGCCAGCAGAGCCTGGACCGTCCACTTGGCCAGTTTGCATGCGTTGTTGCGCAGCTCGTTGGCGAGGACTGCACCTCGTTGGGTGTCGAGCTTGCGACGCCACTCGACGCCGTTGGCCAACTTCGAGTCCCACTCGTTGAGGGCCTTGATCGTCAAGAACTGTGTCTCGTTGTTGGGGCCTTGAGTCACAGCATCGTGTTCGCAACGGCAAATTAGCGTGATGTCGTTGCCCAGATCCCATTTTCGGTATCTGTAAGCAACGGAGGCGACTTCGCCTTCCTCCTCCTCCGACACGAACGGATTGGGCTCGTCGAATTTGTACTTCATGTCGGATTTCAAGACTTGTTGCGAGAAATTGTGATTGATGAAGGTGGCTTCGAGGGCCAGATTTCTTGGCGAGTTGAGCGAGTTTCCATCGTCCTGCGGTGGCTCTACACTCGTCTCGTTCACAGTGAGCAAGTCGAACTCGGTGTTGTCGCGCTTGTCGAAGAACAGCTTGTTGCCAATCTTCTCGATGACTATATCCCACGAGTAGTTACTGCGTGTGCTGCACATGATAGTGGCCAAAATAGCATCTGTTGCATACACGTTGCCTTCTGTCTTTGACAATTTGCGGATGACGGGGTCGTCGGTGGTTGTGACCGTATGGAAGATACGATCGATTCTTTGCAGGGGCTTCTCATTCTTGACATTAACTCTGTCGTATGTCTTGTCGTAGTACTCCAGGGCACCACAGCAGACAACATCTTGTGGATCTTTGACACCAGGAAGTGTCAATTTTGACAATCTTGGGAAGTCCATTTCTTCAATGGTAACCCATTCAGCTTTGACAGTGACTGAAGCATCACGAGTCTTGCCACGCATACCTTGCTGGCGTCCCCAACGTTTAGTCTGTCCTTTACGTTCTCTTTCTTTGAGTCTGAGTTTATTTAGAGACTGCATTTGACCACCAATGTTACCACCACGTCCGCCTCGACCACCACGCATACCACGTTGTTGCCTGAACTTTCCACGTTGATATGGTGGTTTCTGTACACGAGTATTATCAACAAGATGGAAGGAAGACTCATCCTCTTCATGATAATAAGCATATTGACTGCCAGAGCCAAATTGAGAGGCATATTTATCTAAAAAGTAAAATATTATTAAATTAAAATTTGTTTTATTAAATTATAGTGGTAAGAAATTTTAACGAATGCATGTCGAACTTTTAAAGTATTGAAAGTAGCAAGCGCAGTATGTTAGTAAATAAAAGTTGTATGTAAACAAACTTACTTTGATATTTCTTGTCGTGGGTAGCTTGAATTGACCAGTCAGCAATCTAGCAATGAAAATATGATCATATGTTCAGATGTTAATTTATGATATTTTTATAATTATGCTCTATGAGACCAACCTTGCCAATGCGGTCACTCTTGCAGAATGGCTGGTATGGGATATCTTTGAACTGATCCGGCAGTTCGCATGGACCCCAGCCGTCGGGGTTGTATGGTACAATCGGAGCAACAAAGTGAGCCTTCATCTCGCTGGAGTCGTTCAACAATTTACTGTCGTTTTGGAGTTCAGCCGAATCCTCGGCGTGTACGTCCATATTGATAGGTTAACCTAATCTACGAACAAAGAATTTTATCTATAAAACCGTGACGTCACTCACTCGTCTAAAATCTTTCGAGTACTCATAACTACAATAATTAGTTTTTAACATAAAGCTTACTGTAAAATAATTTACCTATGAACGGTGAACACAAAGGTATTGAAAAAAATTTAGGTTACAACTCGTGGGTCGGACTCGTGGATCTTGCGGCCGGAAGGTTTCGCACTTCGTGCGCACGACACGTTGCACAGTATGCGCGGCAAGCCGCGTCTGCTGCCGCAGAGGCGCACCAACTATTAAAAACCGAACTAGTCGATCTGATGCGGGATATTCAAATTTCAAATTAAAATTTTTTTATGCACTCTCGTTTGCTCGCAAATACATTTACTATTGTTGATTGATTTTGACAGGCTTGCTACACTAGCCAACGAGCCCAAAAAGTCCCAGCTGGTCTGATCAATGTCGTCGGTCACAATTGCAAGAGCCTCGATTTGTCGTTCAACGAGCTCAGCTCGCTCGGCGCGCTACGAGATTTCATCGACCTGCAGCAACTCGTGCTCGACAACAATTGCCTGAGAAATCTTCGTAGTCTGCCTCCCTTGCCAAATGTCACGACGCTCAGTCTCAACAATAATAAAGTAATAATAAATTAAATGAATCAAAATTACAATCCATAAGCTACATAAGATATAACTTGTAATATTTTTTTTTAAGATAATCGACGTAGAATCGGCTCTCGAGCACATCGCCCGTTGCTGTCCGAAGCTCGGTTACCTCAGCCTCCTGGGCAATCCCGGGTATCCAGCGGCTCTGACATCGGCCGCCTGGGACGAAGCGGATTACGAGCGATTTCGCCTCTACGTAATTCACACGCTGCCAGCTTGTCTGCGCTTTCTTGACTCGCGAGCCGTGACGCCGGAGGAGCGGCTTCGAGCCCGCGAACGAGGCCATCTGTCGAGGACGGTGAGGCCGAGCGCCAACAAGACGTTCTCCTGTCGAAGCAAAGCCGAGGAGTTCGACGAGATTTACTTTCGAGTGCATTACACGCCGTTGCCTACTCAAACGAGAGATGCTGGCGATCTCAGAAGTAAGTACTATTGTTTCGTTGTTGCGAGTGTTATACTCATTCTTCCCTTTATTGCAGGTACCTTCGGCAAGTGTCACTATCGTTACTCGGGTAAACACTCGGAGGGCAATCGTTACATCCTCAACAGCGACTTGTGAACAAAAAATAATAAAGCAGCGTATGAAGGTAGAAAAGTTTTTATTTTCTTTTATATCATGAATAATTACGTATAATATTTAGAAATATATTTTTATATATTTATCTCTTCTTTTTTTCTTTTCTTATTTATTTTTTTTAACTCGTACTTTTTTTGCAGGGAAAGAACGAGAACGATACAATTGCACTTTGATTCGATCTTCTATCGTGTGGTACCGAGGAATACCTTCGCTCGGTATTCTTTTCATTACTTTTTTATTTCAAATAAATCTTCATCCCAATTCACACTTGGTACATTATTATTATTACTTCATACAAATATACTTATAATCTATATTGCACATACGCGCGCTCGATCGCCGCGTACGAGAGAAACATGCATGCCGCATTCACATTCATTTAATTACATAATCACGACGTTTATTCATTTAAGACTAATACCAATAATAATAAATCGAATTTGTTACATGATCCTTAGCTAATCTGACAAATACTAAGTGGACGAAAATGCTTCTGTTCTATAAACCCTGTTATAATAATTTTTTACAAACTGATATGTCATTTTTCACATCTGAAATCCATAAGTACATCAGCCTTTGGAATAGCCACAAAAAAATACTTTTGCACTTCGACACTTCCTCATTTATCATTTATTTATTTACATTGATTTACGGACGCACACATAATTAATTTACCTAATTAAGCGCGAAATTAGTGATACTCAAATTCCGCATTATAATATCTGAAACGCGCGCGCGCTATTCCCAAACGTTGGCTTGCGTTTAAGTCTTGTTATAAAAAGAACCAGTTTTCGGAATGAAGCCTATTATTTTACGTGCATTTTAAATAACGACACAACACATAAGTACATACTGGAAGCACTTCTTCGTACCGCTGATCATCTATTACAAATATATCTTTTGGCCACAGAGAATAAGTATAAAAACGAAGTGGATGATTTTTTTTACCAAAAAACATATAAATTACAAACATTCATCTTTGATCGTTCGAGGAGCTACACCTATATACGATACGCTCGATTTAAGCAGGCTAAAGATTGAATAGAGTTTATATGAAAATAAACAATTAATGCTGTAACGAGCACGGGCAGAGAGAGAGAGACATCGATCATTATGAAAAACATCACATTAATACGTATAAAAGAGCCATTGCATCTCACGTAATGGACAATATATACTCGATGCACAATCTGGCTGGTATTTCAAGACAAACATTTTCTTTTAAGACAACACGTTTTCTTTGATATTACTAAGGCACATTATTACTTGTCAAGTTGCATATATAGTACTATAGCTTTGGAAAAATGATGAGGCAGATTCTATGAAGCGCCAGTCTTATGATTGTGCAAATTCGGCCTCAGAGTGACGGCTCCTTCCACCCAGAAGTTCGGGCGCTCTAGCATGCTCTGCCACAGAGACAGTTCGCGTCCCGTCGCATCCATCCAGTCGACAACTTTACCGTAATGTTTACCTTGAAAATATATTTCATTTACATTATTTGTCCAAGAAATTATAAAACGTTATATTGATAAAATTGGAAACTTACTTGTGCCAAGATTGAAACGTACTCCTCCGAGAAATTCGTTGCTTCCTATTCTGTCGTGATCCCAGACGGTAAGTTCGAGGCCACGATCGGCCAGTTCTTGCAGGCTTATGTCCTTGTAGACGAACGTGTGATTCCAGACAGGCGAGCCAGCCGATCGCCTGACTACACCGGTTTTTTGTTTGCCGGATCGACCCTTATCCGGTAGCAAATAGCTAAGGAGAAAAAATTACGTTAAAGTAATCTTATAAAAGGAATTGTGAAGTATAAACAAGCTAATATACCTTTTACAAAATGGATCACAGGTACCACCGTGTTTGGTACGGGTCTGTAAGTTTCTTGCCTCTTTGACAAGCACGTGCAGCGAGCCTTTGCTCCAGGTCTTTTTGAATTTGCTCAAAAGTTCGTTGGAGTCGCGGTCTCTGTCTAAGCTGGACGGATCCGGTGGTACGAATTTCAGGCCCACTATGACTTCACCCTTGTAGACCACCGGATCATCGAATGGCTCGGTCTGAAAAGTTTAACACACATATTTAAGTAAAAATCGATTTCGAGAAGCAAGTAAAGCGAAGTGTGCTGCGATGCTTACCCTCTCTTGCAGCGGATACCATTGAGGTCGGGGATCGTCGAAGATTTTGTTCTCTAGCGGCATGCGCACCTCGCCCAGAAAGTCGTTGCGCCCGAACATGTCCGAGTGCCAAACAGTCAACCACAGCGTTCTCGACTCGAGACCATTGAGGCTAGTGGTAAACTGTAGATGAGACAAAATTAGATGCATTAGAATCTGCGTGCGTTGAGCGTCATAGACTTGAGTATATGACAGCTTACCTTGAGCGTTTCGTCGAATACCGGATTGAGGGTGTGCTTTTTGACTTTGGTTTTGCGTTTGCCACTCTTCGATTTGTCAGGCAGCAGATAAACTTTGACGTATCTGCAGATGCAAAATAAAAATAATCGATCGATCGATCCATCAAACGAAGAAGACAAAGTGTATACTCACGGATCGGATCTGTTGCGCTTGACGTCGACGGGCGCCAGGTCCCGGCACTGCGTGACGTGCACCTCGAGATTGAGCTGCTTGTAGTCGTACTGCAGGGAGAACTCGACCTCGCCGCGCACGGCAACGGATCCGCACCAGCGTCCCTCGCCGGCGCCGCTGTAGACCGAGGCCATCGAGTCCGAGCGGGCCTGCAAATTTTTTCCGCCTGCGTTACGATCCCTCCATCCCTCGTTAACGTTCGGAGAACTCGAAGCGAGAAAACTTACGCCTAAGCTCGACAGGGAGGCTCGGGTGGTGTTGAAGCTGCGCTCGACCTCGTCCAGCTCCTGGCTGCTGTTCATCATGCTGCTGTTGTTGTGCAGTTTCTGCTGATACGGCGATTGGTGGTGGCTGCGCCGCGAGCCCGAGCCGATTATGGGCGTGCTGCAGGCTTCCGACAGACTGCTGGCCTCGTCTGTAAATGAGCAAGAAAGAAAAAGATGTTTAATACGATTCGAACCGATGAGGCAAAGAAAAGAAACGAAGAGAAGCTGAGACGTCTCGAGAGTAAAAGTGCGAGTGCGGAACTGCATCAACGACAACGACGACGACGACGACAATCGAGCGAAAAGGAAAGTTTTTTTATTATTATTTTTAAATGCAGTCTATCATCATGTTGGCCAGTGCTCTCGGTGACAGCTGATTACACACACGCATGAGTCAAATGCCCCCGTGCATTACAGTAATGATTCATTCTCGCTTTTTCTTATACGTGTATCTTCTCTGCAACAGCTGCTGCTGCTGCTGCAGGCCAACGTTGTTTATGGAATAATGGTAAAAGTGCGCACGTATGCGGAAAAACATTTACGCGGTCGTAGCGTCTATGATTATCATAAATTTTATCGCTAATCGCCCCCTCGCGCGCTGTGCTTCCTTTCGCGCGGTTTCGCGTTACATTACAACGACAACGACGACGACGACGCATCATGCACGGAGATTACGCTTTCTCGCGTTGCAGTACGCGCGCAGCGAACTCTCTCATTTTCATATCAGCATGTATATATGTACGACGACGACGCGAGCTTATAGTTCGTTGAATCGTGTCGCGATAATTTGTGCACGATCGCTGCGGGGCAATATTAGCCGCCGCCGCCGTCGCGTGCGAGTATAACACTGCAATTATTATGTATCGGAAGAAGTGAAACGAGACAACGACTGCTATCTCTTGTTCGTTCGAGTCCTTATTACATCCTAGTACAAGAAAATGTGTGTCAAGGTGTACGTATGTACGTGTTTGTAGTTTGTGCACAATTACCAGACGCACATTGCTGTAGCTAAGTCATGCGCGAAGCCAATATAATATAGAAAAATATACGTAATGATCGTATGTTTAAATTATTGAATCTCCGAAATAAATATCTCAACACTGGTAGATTTATGTCAGAGTTTATGAAGATGGAAAGTGATGTACGAACGAATAAATGTTCTGTAAAAATATCATTTATAATTTCAAGTTTTCATTGAGTATTACATTAACAAGATTTCATGGAACATCAAGTCTCTCAATCAGTTTGTCGTAGCCGCTCGACACAAACACAAAATATCCTCGTTGCTCAGGTACTTGATTATTTTCTCCAAACATTTCTCGGACAAATTGTCCCGAGTCAACGACTTCAAGTGCCTCGAGCCAACGTCGGTAAAATACTTTCTAGTCAAGCTCTTCGTCATGTGTCCTCCGATCACCGCGAATGTTTCGTGAATTTTGAATCTATAATCGTCGGAAATCATAGCCGACCAGTATTCCGAATCTTTCAGCAGCTCGTACGCCTTTTCCGGACTGGATATCCAGACGTCGTAAACGGAGACACCATCTTTCAGCTCGATCGTTTTCATATCTTCGATTTCTCGCTCGATACTGTCCTTCGTGGCTTCCAGCTCGAATGGATAGGTGAGTTTGGATTTTAAAAATGATTGCCACTGCTCGAGACAATCTTTCATTTCTTTCGTTGCGAACATTTCGCCTATCGTTGCACTCAGAAGATATTGACTGACGAGCTCGTAACATTGTCCCAGCAAACAATCGTGATTTTCATCTGCCTCGAGTGCCTCCTTCAATCGATCAAAATATTTATTGACTTGCGTCAAAGAACCAGTAACTATCGTGGACACAGAAACTCGTGGATGACTCGATTCTTCGGGGTCGTATAAATGTTTCAACACAGGATAATCATCCGACTCCTTCATCTCGAATCCTTTGCTCTTTAAAAATTCGAGTATACGTAAAAATTGAAACGTTGCATCCACCGAGACGAGGCAATCCGTGTCTTTCCCCAGTTCCCTGGAAAAACGAATGCTTCGCCCATCGGCACCTCCGTCCCAAAGTATCTTCACCATCTCTAAATTGTAACGAAACACAGCCAAATGTAGCGGGGAGTCACCGTCGTCGTCTCGAGCATTAACGTCGACTCCGTACTTCAAAAGTGTCTCGGCGATGGTGATACCTCGTTGAGTTCGATTTTCGGGCGCAGTCATGTCGCCATGCCAATTACCGTAATTACCACTAAAGTTCGCACGAATCAACAAGTGCAGTATCGTCTGTCCTTTAGCAAAAACCTCGTTGACCGCGGCGCCGTTTCGAAGCAAAATTTCCAATCTGTCGCGTTCCTCGCTCATTTTTTTCACGGCGATATCCGTATCACATTCGTGGTGGTAAAAACTGGAGCAAAATTCGAGCATCAGACACAATGGATTGCGTCCGCGATCGTCCTTAGCATTGACGTCGCACTTGTACTTTATGAGTAATTCGAAAATTCCCGATTCGCGATGGTTGCGATCCTTCAGCGGAAAGCCGGGCTCGTCCAAGACGATGTGCAGAGGCGTTTTTCCCGATACTTTTACGTCGGGATCGGCGCCGTTTTTCAATAGTAATTCTACCGCATCCGCTTGATCGTATTCGATGGCCAGAGTCAAGAGAGATCGTTCATGCTCGTCTTTTATAAATACACGATCGAGTTTGACACCACCCTGATCTATAAATTTCTGTAATAATTGAACATTGCCGGACATGCAGGCTGAGTGTAGATATGTGCATTCTTCGTCGTCGTTGAGTTCCGCGTCTCTCAAGCATTGGAATAGAAAATTAACTGCTTTGAAATATTGACGTTTAGCCAATGCACGAATGATCGTTCTACTAAATTCATCGTGGGGCATAGTTTGATCGTGTTTTACGAGTTGCTTGGAATGGTAATTGGCAAAGTGCTCGACGATTTTGGACGGATACTTTCCATAAAATTCTTCATTTTCTATTAATTCTTGTAGAAAATTTCTACCCCAGTGTTCTCTGTCCTCGGGATCGGCGCCGCTCTCCAAAAGTAATTTCACCACCTTCTCTCGCTCGAATACAATGGCCAAGGTCAATGGCGATTCACTGCGTTCGTCGTAAGGGCACGCTTGATTGAGATCCGCGCCTTGATCTATGAATTTCTGCACTATCTCCGCGTGACCTGAAATGCAGGCGGCGTGTAAATACGTCAATCCCTCGTTGTCACTGAGATTTTCCTCTATGGAGCCGTATTGGAAAAGATAATCGAGGGCCATGAATTGGCGTTGTTTCGCCGCGATATGGATCGCCGTTTGGCCCGACGAATCGTCGAGTACCCGCAAGCCCGTGTCGAGTTTCATCACCTGTTCGATGACATAAGGTTTGCGTTCTTGCAGGGCTGTTTTTAAAACCCAGTCGATGTCCTCGTTGCTGCCGGCGAAATTTTCGACGATGTACGTGAACGCATCTTCCCAATAACCATAGATGGTGAGAAAATTATCCACGAAATGCTTGCGTTTTTTTACTCCATCTTCATCTACGCCTAATCCCTTTTCACAAGCCATTATGAAAGAAAATAACTTTGTTTCGACGTATAACCTTCGTTGACATATGATCGTGTGTTTACTAAAGTCTTTATCACTTAACGTCAGTTACTCGCCAAACTCTTATCACACGATCGATTCGAAGGGACGACTAACACGACGATTTACAATTTACAACTTCGCACGCACGCTTCGGTTTTCACTAATATACTCGAGAAATGATATATTTTTTTTCTCAGCGAGTGATGAGTCAGTCGTATACTCACAGTAGAACTATACTCGGTCGCCATCTCCCGGTTTGAGTACCGATAAAAAAAGAGCAAAAAGTATAAGAGCTGCTGGACAATGACTGCCACGGGCGCATGCGCAGTCTCGCAGTCCACTCCACTAATTTAAAACTCAAAGTATGAATTTACAAATATACCAAAACATAACGTAAACTCAAGAATGACCATTTCATTATACTTCAGTAATAATGACAGTAGCTCGGAAATACATATCTTACTCGATACTATTTATCTGTATCGTGTTCAGTTTTTATTAATATTTAATATCGCCGTTCATTCTTAAATATCTTATTTTACATTGAGCGCTCCGAAAACTCCGTAATTCACTTGAATTTTACGGCTCACGCGTTGCACGCGCGTACAGCACCCCAAGGTGTAGCATTGAATAGGTGACCGACCGACTTTTTTCGACGAAATTTGGCACGTGCACGAGTGTCGTCGTCGTTCGCGCGCGCATATTTGCTCAGGCAAGCGCAAAATAATATATGTCTCTCCTCGAATATATTCATACGTATATAGTATATACACGCGAGCAAAAGGATGCGATGGTGACGGATCTACGCGAAATTCAATTATGCAGCCCGAATAAATATTAATTTATATTGACGCAGGCTTCTTCTGAAACTCTCGGGCCAAGGCCACGATATACGAGATACTTGAGTCATTTCTTTTCCGTATCGTATGAGTAAAACTCAAAAAATTTCCTCTCTCTTTCTCTATTCCAGAAAAATATTATTTTCGTTGTAAAATATCGCGTTGGAAAAGCTCGTAAGAAACTAATCGCATATATATAAGAACCGCATATATATAAGAATCGCATATATATACGATATTCAAGCCGTTAATTCTCACACACAAATATAAAAGTTATATACCACGAGAGATTTACCTCTATGTCGAGGTGCGATGTAAATGTGGAATTCGCTTCTCGTGCGTGCCGCGAGATGTGTCTAATGGCGAGCGTAAAGGCGTGCCCCCGTCGTCGTCGTCGTAGCGTCTCGCGTAGAAAGTCTCGCTCGCGGAACGAAACAACTCCCATATAGATACACGGCTCCTTTCTATTATGTGTAGCATACTAGGCGAGGATGTAACCGCGCGCGTCTCTGCGCGAGGAGGCATTTTTTTACACACATAATAAGTGTATATCCGACTGCTGTCTTGTATGTATACGTTTCGCTCTGACTTGCTCGTGCGCCGCTTCGTGTGCCAAGTTTGCGCGAGTATTACTTACTATACGTGAGCTCATTCATCGCGACGAAACGAAACGAAACGAAAAAAGAGAAAAATAATAATGATAAAAAGAGCCGAGTCAGGATTTTGAGTCGCGGCGATACACACGTACACGTATATACAATTGTTTTAGCGTTTTTCTATACACGAATCCAATAAGACACACGCGAGCAAGAGAGAGAGACTATTATAGTTACGTGGATGCATCGTTGCGACATGTCCGCGCTAACGGGTCACACATACACACACACACACACACACATACATTATATACGTGAGCTGTTTCGAAGCTCGCCTCGCGTACATACAGCTAAGCAAAGAGACCAGCGGAAATCGCCTTCTCCAATTTCCACCGCATACTTTTCTCTCTCCCTGTGTCTTTGCTCTGCAGCAGTCGTGTGCACTGTATAATAATAGGCTCACCGGCGCTGCAATGCAATATACATATACATATAGATACCGCTATCGAACCGAGAGAGGTAAAGCTATGCTGCTGCAACATTGCAGTGTCGCAGCATCTCACGGACGCGAAATAATAATATAAAATCTACGTCGTCGTCGCATCAGCGAAACGCGTCTGCATTTTAGGGAGCCAAAAAAAGATGCAGCAGCAGCAGCAGCAGCACCGGGGGTGGTAGTATCGTAGTTGGCCGTGAGCCAAGTCCCCCGACAGAGAGACGAGCTGGAGCTGCTGGATTCACCTGGTTTTTTTTTTACTTATTTTTTTTTACCTTCAAAGGCGTCAAAAGGATCGATACACAACGAGTATGCGGAATGTGTGTTTCACGTATGCTAGTCGCGGACGCGCCCTTTTTCCTTAATTCGCAACGTGCGATATAGCCCTCGCTAAATAATGACTCATTGGTCAGCGGCACGATTAAGGCCAGGCCTTTATTTTTTCGCTAGCCAATTTCCTCTAAGTAAGCTCGAGCCAATACTACTGCACGATATAAATTCTACGCGCGGGTTCAGCGATCGATCGACACATAGTTTGTGTAATTTTTCTTCTTTTTTTTTTCAATTCACGTGGCTGCTCGGGAGCGAGCACGCGAGCGCAATTGACCGAGATAGAGCTTGATTGAGCCTGATTCGCGAGTCGTACTAGAGCTGGCACCACGAATGTGTCGCAATTAGCGCAGCAGCAGCGCCTGCTATATACGCAGCATATTGATATGTAACATGCATCGACTCGAATTAATATATCTACGCGCGTGTATCGATATAATATCGCGTCGAGCTTACAGATCTGCTCTTTCTCTTTCTCTCTCCGCGAGCTCAACTAGCTTCATGCACACGCTAAGCACGAGAGTTGTTTTATCCTGCGTACAAGTATGTGCACACACACACACACCGTACACATGTGTAACGTGCATGGAGCGAGACGCGCTTCCACTGCGCTATGCAGCTGCGTCGACGCGTGTGTCTATTGGTGTGTGTGCGTATGCACTCGCGCGAGTGAGTAGTCCGCTTTACTCACTTTCTATGCCCTCCTTAGTATATACTCCCGCGTTCTGCAGGCTCGCGGTGCGGTGTGTTGCACTACAGCAAAAACGGAGCGCGAGATCTATATACACGATCGAACGCGCGCACTGCTGCGCTTGGTAGAAGAAATTGCAGCAACAGCACGTATACACGAGAGAAGACGGAAGCGCCGCAGACGCGATATTCGTAATATATAGAGTATATGGTGTATAAGCAAACTCGAGCCCGAGCGATGTTTTTCACACACTGACCTGAAATCGATGCGTTGGCCGAGATATTGGCGCTCGAGGAGGCGTTGCCCGCCGGCGAATGGAGACCCTGTTGATGCTGCTGCTGTTGATGCTGTCTGCGCGACCTCGCCGTCGGGCCCTGGACCTGCAGTCCCGGAGCGCTGAAGGCGCGTTTCGGGCCCAAGCCCGCGGACGGACTCGTCCGACTGAAGCCGGGTGGTCGGTAGCGCGCCGATTTCACGGTGTTGTGCTGCTGCAGGAAGTGATAGTTGCCGGAGCCAGCGACCGTTGGACTGCTCTTGTTCGGCGAGGCCGACGACGAGATGCCCTGGCGCGGCAGCGAGTTGCTGGTGCCGTTGCCGGGACTCGCGACGGAGGCCGCGGCCGCTTGCACGTCCCTCGGCAGGGTCATCGCTCGAGAATCGCCGCTTTGATGCTGATGGTAATTGAGCTCGTGATCGTCGTCGGTGTCGTCGTCACCTGTACGAGGAGGAGCATTCGCCGCTGTAGTACCAGTGTCACTACCACCTCCACTCTCCTCGATCGTCGAGCTCGTCGTCGACTTACCGGACTCGACGCGGTTGTCGGGCACCGATGATCGTCTCCGCTTGCTCCAGATCTTCTCCTCGATCGAGCCACCCGGAGTCGTGGAATTTGCCTGAGTGACGCTGCCCCCACCGATCGAGCCACAGCTGCGTACACGATCCAGCTGCTCGCGCGAGCAGCTCTTGGGGTTGAAGAGCAGATCGCCGGCGCTGCGTCGCTTGGCGGCCATGGCCAGTGCGGCGGACTGCGAGCAGTTGGACATGTCGCCGCCCGACGAGCCGGCCAAGAGGCTTAGCTTGGTGCGCGAGTCGGCGGCCATGAGGGCCGACTCGAAGCTACCTCTCCACGAGAAACGCTCGTAGTCGCTGGCCTCGCGTTCTTCCGCTTCGGCTGGTGGCATGCTGGCGGCACCCCCGGAGTAGACGCTGCTACCACCGTTGTTCGCGTGGCCGTTGATGAGTATGAGGGGGTCGTGCGATTTGGATCGAGGTAGATGCTGCAAAAATCATTTCAATTGAGATTTAACCTCCGCATTTGGTACTGAATGAAATTGATACAAAACTACGAGACTTACACTAGGTGCACAAGCCGAATCGGAAGTCGAGTCGTCGTCCTCGGTGGTCGATGCCGACGACGAAGCGACTCTATTGTGAAGATTGGCAGCGTGATGAGATCTCCTGTGCGACGAGCCATGGCTGCTCGGGACATTGCTCTCGGTGACCTGGTGCATCAGGGCGACCAGACGGCTACCGATGTGATGCATCACCTTGGCTATGAGAGGCGGACTCGAGCTCGGTACCGAGCCGCTGTCCGAGGACTTGTTGGCCACGCTGCTGTTCTCGTTGTTGCTCATCTTCGTGAAGCTCGCCACCAGCTTCTGATACACGAAGGCCGTGTCGCGACCCATGCCCGCTGCTGCTCCTTGCTGCTGCTGTTGTTGCAGCAGCTGCGTGGGTTGATCGATCGGCGCAGCAGCGGCGTTGGTCATGTGGCTGCCAACGACGCGTCGATGATCGTCCGTGCCGTCGAACTTGTTGATGATCTGTTGACAGCTCTGGGATATCTGTTCGCGCAGCGCCGAGCGTCTGCCACCCACTGCGGCACCCTCGAGATCCGAGCTCGTGTAGTCGGAGCTGTCGTACGAATCCGACCAGGTGTCTTCGCTGCTCAGATACTCGACTATCTCGCGCACCTGCTCGTCGCGTATACCCGGCACAGTCTTCATCAGGCGCGTGAGCTCGTTCTCGAAGTAGACGAGCTGCGGCGGTTTCGCGCGCTGCTGCTGTTCGCTTCCTCGTCCCGAGTGACGATTGTTCAGATGATGCCGATTCGCCGACGAGAGGCGAGGACTGGGGCTAGGCGCGGGCGAGGCGGCGCTCGACGTCGTACTACCACCACCACTTGGCTCATTCTTGTTATTGGCTAAACTATTTCCATTGGCAGAGTTGGCCACCATGCTCTTGAAAAATTGACGCATTTTGGACATCATGAGGTTGGTCTCCTCGTCGCTCGACCAGTTGTTGAAGCTGTCCTTGCGCGTCAGTCCGCTAAGCGGTGCGGACGACGCGGTGGGCTGCTGCTGCTGCTGCTGCTGCTGTTGGTCTATGCTTATCAATCGCTCTCGCAGACGAGCACTACCAATGAGACGCTCGTGGAAATTATTTCTCTGATCTCTGGGGCTTCGGCCATTGTTGGCAGATTCTTGATCGCGTGCCTCATCAGTAGAAGATTTCGATGCGGACTCTGGTAGTGCTGCGGCTCCCGAAGCAGTAGAAACAGAAGCAGCAGCTGCAACAGCTGCAGCGTTGGCATTTCGTTGCTGGGGCGTGCTGTGCAGAAGATCGTCGCAGCTTCCCACAAAGCCCGAGTCGCGCGACTGCTGTCGAGCTCTGGTATCGATGGAAGAAGCGTCCTCCTCGGGCTGCGGCGAGCCTGACTGCAGTACGTTCTCCGCGCGCGGTGTCTTGGCCCCGTCTTCCTCGGACGCGTTGTCGGCGAGCTCGTCGGGCTCGGCCAGGATGACTATGGGCGGCGACGAGGTGGTGCTGCTCGCGCGAGGCGGCTCCGGCGTGCGATTCTCGACGATTCGCGGCGACTGAGCTCCGCCGTGGCTGCGCTGCGGTGGCTTCTTTTTCTGCTTGACGAGCGAGTTGTTCGCGGATATCTCCTCGGCACCGTCGGTCTCGGTGCTCGAGCCCTCCGAGGGCGAATCGGGACCGTCGGTGCCCGTGGCCAGACCCTCCTGCAACGAGCCCTGATGAGAGCCACCGCTCTGATGCGCCAGAGCCAGCAAGTTGTCTAAAGATGAACTATGTGAGCGACCAGTGCCACGAGCTCGAACGAGCTTCTTCCTTCTCTGTGCCTCCGGGCTCGGTCTGCCTTCGCTATCGCTTCCCACAGATCCATCGGAATCTCTTCTATCCTGACCCGATCCAACACGATCCGACAGATAGTAATCTTTATCCTTATCGAGGCTCGCCGATTTCGTCTGGCCTCCCACCATATCCTCGCGCGTCAGCGAATCCAAGCCCTCGGACATGATGGACGACGCGTCCGACAAACTATCTAGCTCCGGCGCGGATCTCGAGGCAAGCGCGTGTCGCCTCCAGCTGGCTGTGTTGTGCTCGGGCTCGCTCTCCTCGCACGACTCCTCGACGATGGTGTGCAGCGTAAAGTCGATGGCCTGACGATGATAGCCGCGCAGCTCCTCCTCGCGGTCGCCGAGGTTGTTGGCGGCCTCGTCCTCGCTGCTCTCCTGATCGGTGGCGGTCGAGGCGCTCTGTGCGTCATCCTCGTCGTGGGAGATCTCCTCGACCCACGAGTCATCGTCGGCGAGTCCCTCTTCGAGAATGAGCGGGCCGGGCTTTTCCCGCCCGTCGTTGAATCGATCGGAGTCGCTGTCGGCAGCCGCATCGTCGTCGTTTTCGCGCTGTCTGAAGGCACTACCGTCGTCGTCGTCTCGGCTGTCGGCTCGAATGCAGTACAATCCGCTGTTGATGTCGGGCTCGTACGGAGGCAGCAATCGTCTGCACGGCAGTGGCTTCTTGCCGACGTTTCTTCTGAAAAAAATTAAAAACGAATTATGGATTTTTGTGCGAATCTTTGCACACCTGTGTGCCTGACGAAATATTGACGAAAAAGTTTACGATCTTCTAACGCAGCATTAAAGCAACAAGTGCAACAGCAACGAGTATATACTACACCATTAGCGTACATAAACCGTAATTTGAATCTTAAACGAGCTTTTGACGTTGGTATATATACGCTGGTGTTCCGTAATCACGCGAGAAGTGTCATAACACACTGCGCGATATTATAGACGCGCGTGCACACGTTACGATCCTCGGAATCGTAAAGACGCTTTTAATATTTCGTGCAAAACCGGTCTATATGAAAAAAAAAAAAAATTGTCTATGCAAACACATTGTGCACTGAAATAAAAAAAAGAGCTCTCGTGCGGCGGCAACAGCATCGATCTAGATTTCCGCCGCGCGCGTCGACTGTCTAATGACACAGAAGACAGCGCGGCACGCGTGCTCGTGTTCCGCGATCGCGAAGAACATCGCTCTAAATTGCTGAGCTATTGCCGTGCTGTGCTCACTTCGCACAAAAATTACTTTCTACGCAGCGCGCGAAACCGGGGAAATCTGCTTGCTGCTGCTGCTTGAGGCGCGCGCACTACACTACACCAACACGTCGTGCACTTGTTGCAGCAGCGAAGTAAAGAACAAGACGAAGAAGAACTAAATAAACGCGAACTTTCTATTGCTTGCTCCAAGTGTGTGTGCGTTTACCTGACTGCGGCTTCGGGACCCGAGCTTGAGTTATTGGCTTGACGATAGAACGGAGCCGGAGAGTCTTGATGTACGAGCATCGTCGTGTCGCTGGTCACGACATTGACCATGGACTGGTACGGTTTCTGATTGATCATCACCAGACTCTTGTATTTGTTGTTGTACTGGTCGTCGGCTGCGTTAGTCGATGTTGGTATCCAGTCTCGATTCTGAGCAGCAGCAGAAACCAGACTCGACCGGCCGGTCGGGAAGGGGGAGTTGGTCATTCCGTTAACGGCATCCTGCGTGAGCTGCTCGCCACGCTCGAGTGACTCTTGGCTATTGCTGCCTGCTACTGCTGCTGCTGTACATACACTTCCACTAGGCACTTGTGGTGGACAGATACCCGCTACACTATTGCTGCCACTACTGCTTGAACCAGCAGCCACTACGTCGTCGAGCGCTACACCCGTTATCACGATGTACTCCTTGTCGTCGTCGTCGTCGACGTACACGGCCGTTTCCTCGTAGCTGACCTCGTCGTCGACTTCGATGAGCGGCGACGGAGGAATTTCGAGCATCGTAGCCTGGGGCGCGGCGTCAGCAGCAGCAGCAGTAGAAGCAGCGACGCCTGCTCCTGCTCCAAGCTCCACGCCGACTTGCTCCTCTTCCAGCTCGGCGGTGATGTTGTTTACGTTGCTGCTGCCGCCGCTGTCATCGTTGTTTTCGTTCTGCTCCTCATCCTCGTTATTCTCGTCGTCGTTGCGCGCGTCGATCTGCAGCACGGGGCTCGGTAGAAAGTGCGTCGTCGGCAGCCCCTTGATGTCGAGGCTCGCGGGTATCTGCCATTTTTTGCGCGACTTGGCCATCGAATTGTTGTCCAGCTGTTCGACGGCTGTTGTTGTGGCGGCGGCGGGGGCAACGACGGGGGCGCGAGGCGCAGCCGTGGCATACTCGCGTGGCTCTCGGGCGCTACTATCGCCGTAAGCGCCGCTGCTCGTTGCTGCTGTGCTGCTCTCTCCGTAGCCTGCCAGGCTCCCCTCCATTGGCGACTGCTGCTGCTGCCGTTGCTCTCTCACCTCTCTCGCACTCGCTATTCCTCCTTGCACCTGCGGCGGGCAAGAAGTACTTTGCCCCTCCACAGGCGAGGAGGTGGCAAGCGCGGAGCCCAAACCGTCGACGACTCGCATGTGAAATTCCGATTCATGCAGCAGATCGCGCTCGTCGATCTCGATGCTGTCGTTCAGTCGATTATCCTGCTGCTGTGGCTGGTACTGATGGTGCTGCAGACTCACCTCCAACGAGTCAGGCATCACCGCCGAGTCGTTGGACGAGTCGTCGTAGTCCTTGTCGAACGAGTCCTTCTCCAATGCGGCGATCACGGGTTGTTGTTGTTGCGCGACAAATTGTTGCATCCGATACGACGATTTCGACGACGGTGAATCATTATTGGCGGACTCGACGACGGAGCGTTGATAGTTATTATTCGAATTCGGTCTGGGGGTGCTTTCCGCTGTCGGTGGCAGTTCGTCCGGATCGATCGATCGAACAGATTTGAGCAGCACCGATTCGGCCGAGTCGTCTTTATTGCTTGCCAAATAGATCTCATCGTAGCTAGCGATCTCTTGATGGCTGTCGGCGTGCTGTTGCGGCCGATCGAGCACGGGCTGCTTCTTCTTCGGCTTCTTCTCCTTCTCATCCTCGTCGTCGTCGTCCTCTTCCTCTTTTTTGTCAAGCTCATCCAGCTGAGCATCGGCATCTATGCGTCTTATCCTTCTCAACACCACCGAGTCATCCGCTGCCGACTCTTTTTCCGCCAGCTCGTTTGGCTCCACCCGCTCCAACACGATATTGTGTCCCGAGTCGCTGTCATCGTTGTCCTCGATGTCATTGTCGCTAGTCAGCGAATCGTCGTCGCCACCCGGATTGACAACGAGCACGCGCGAGAAGCGAGAATGATGATGATGCGTCGCGGAGGAGTTATCCTCGTCCTCGAGATCGCTGCTGTCCGCCGAGGAGCGCCCGGACGAGCAACTGCTGCGAGAGTCCTGCTCTTGCGATGAATCACGACGATTGAACATCCTCTGCTCTTGGCCGCTATCTTCGGTAGCGGGCTCGGGCGTAGTCTCGTTGGTCGTTTCGATCTCTTCCTCGTCACGCGATTCGATATCGTTGTTGCCTACCACCACTCCTCCTGCTATTTCAAGCTTTTCATTCTGTGGCAATAAAAAAGATTAACGGTTAGTATTATATAGTTTATCTACTACGATTCAGCGAATAAAATTTTACACGCTCGCCTCACCTGATGCTGATGATGATGTTGCTGATGCTGATGCTGCTGCTGTCTCGTCGCTTCCAGAGCCTGAGAAGACACGATCTGATCGGACTTGACGGCATTGAAGATGGGCGTCTGATGGGGCGGAAACATGAGATTGGGCGCCGAGTCGAAGCGCGGATTCCAAGAGAACCAAGAGCCCGCCGACTGCTCGCACGGTCGCAAGCTCAGGCTGAGCGAGCGCTCGAGCCTGGCGGCCTCCCTCGGACTGATGATCGGATTGGCATTGTCGATGATGCCGCCGCCGCTCGACTGCCAGAGCGAGGCGGGCACGGGATAAGGCACGGGTACTGGCACTGGTATTGGCACTGGAACGGGCAGGACCTTGGCGCTCGCGGATGCGCCGCAGGCCTGGCAGCAGCCACCCGGTCGGCCGGGACAGCAGCTGGTCCAGTCAGCTTTTGAAGCCGCTGCTGCTGCTGTACCACTGGCTGCCGCTGCAGTGGCGGCACTGGGAGCCGGGGGCGGAGGTAGGGGCGGCAGCTTGAGCGAGTTGCTCTCGAAGTAGTCCCAGTCGCAGTCGTCGAGGCCGCTGCTGCTCGCCGTCGTCGTCGGATTATTGTTCTGACTACTGGCGGTGGCTGTAGCTAGCGTAGCCGCTGTGAGATACAAGGAAGAACTGCCGGAGCAGCTGCTGTCGGCATCGTCCTCCTCGCGGCCGGACGACGAGTCCGAGCTGATGAAGACGAGTCGACGGTAGTCGGCCGCGGCGGCCTCTTCCTCGCTCAACGTTTGGCCCTGCTGCTGCTGCTGCTGCTGCTGTTGTTGTTGTTGCAGCGATTGTTGTTGAGCTTGACGATTCGATCCTTGAGCTGCAGCGGCTGCGGCAGCTGTGGCGCAAGCTCGATTGGCCGACGATGCCAGATGAAGATTCGGTCTGCCGCGTCTTCGGGCTCCTGCGTGAAACGTAAGAAATTCAAAGATTAGTCAAGTGTACATTAGATCTTATCGATAAATAAATTGGATCAATCTCGAGTGCTGTATACTCTTATCTTCCCGATCGTCCAAGACCCAATGCAGTTTGAGGTCATTGTTATATACATTACGCGCTCGATAGCTTTATAGCAATAAAAATAGAAACAGCGATTAAGAACTTATGTCATATAAAAAAAAAAGGAAAAGAAACGTTGGAAAGAGCTGCCTTATAAATATAATACCTACAACGCCTTTTATCGTTTTATATATAAAAAGAAGTTAACGGACGCGATAATTGCGAATAGACTTTTATTGTCTGGAAACAACGCGTCTATTACAGCTTATACCCGAGCAGAGTATGTGTGTGTGTGTATCGGCAGTTTGGTGTGCTCAGCCAACGATGCAAAATCGTTGGAGGAAAGTCTCTATAGTCGGCGATGGCGTCCTCCAATTATATAGACGCGGCGTCATAGATCGAGGGTTCGCATAATTTACGCAAAGGAAAATCCAATCGTTTCGAATGCAGATCATTATATACGGCACGCAGAGGGGGTGTCTGGCATGAGGAGGTACGAAAATTATCGTCGTCTTCGTCATCGGGCGTACGAAGCTTTTTCGAATTTCATTGCGCGCGGGGTTAAATACACGTGCACTTTCTCCTCCGCGCGAATGTCAAAGCCACCGCCGTAGCAAAGTGTGTGCGTGTAAAAGAAGTCGAAACTCTGTCATTGCCGGAGTAAATTGAGCGATGCGCTACCACCACCACCACTATAGGCCTGTACTTTTACTATATACCAAGGATGTTTCAAACGTTTCTGCAAACGGAGCGCGAAGAGCTGAGCGGCGCATCTAACGCCCTCCGTATAGCGAGCGTGCGTGCGTATACATACATTACGACGAGAGAAAAAAAGAAGCGAAAGATAAGCGCACGCGATAAGATAGATAGATTATGGGTAAACAAACGGAGCGTTTCGACGAGTGCGTATAGTACTATATACATGCGAGAGTATAAGTGCACCGCGCTTGGGAACCTGCGGAACTGTATACCCTATATCTCGTCGTAGATCGTTTACATCGTCGTGATAATTGTCAAATATCAAAGAGCTGCTCTGCGCTCGGGGTATATTGTAAACCGTGCAGCTGTATATTAACGATTCGTACCTGTGCCTCTCTATATCGCCGTTGCTTACGAGTAAAAACACAGTGAAAAACGCTACGAAAAAAAACATACTGATAAAATGCCCCGAAAAAAAACACAGCTCATTGAATGCTGTGAAAAAAAACACACCTCATCGGAGCGCCACGAAAAAAAACACACCTCATTGAATGCCATGAAAAAAAACACAGCACATTGGATACCGTGAAAAAAAACACAGCTCATTGGATGCCGCGAAAAAAAACACACCTCATTGGATGCCGCGAAAAAAAACACAGCAGAATAAAAACGCAACAAATTTCGATTCGGTGTGTTTTTTTTTCGCGGCATCCAGTGAGCTGTGTTTTTTTTCGCGGCATCCAATGAGCTGTGTTTTTTTTCGTGGCATCCAATGTGCTGTGTTTTTTTTCATGGCATTGTATGAGGTGTGTTTTTTTTCGCAGCGCTCCGATGAGGTGTGTTTTTTTTCATGGTATCCAAAGAGGTGTGTTTTTTTCACGGCGCTTCGATGATGTGTGTTTTTACTCGTAAGCAACGGCGATATATGCGCTCGTTACGCTTGGGTTAATTTTTTCAACCTTGGATTTTTGCCACGCACCTCGCCAAGTTATGTATTGTGTTCGTGTACCAACTGATTCACCGAGTGCAGTTGCGATACGACACACTGCGTACGAGCACGCGTTGAAGTACCTGGTTCCTGTGCTGCTGCTTTATGGCTGCTTTACGGACGATTATATATCCGGACTACACCATAAACTGGCTATAGTTTTGAAAAAAACTGCACAGTACGATTCACAATTTCTTTCTTTAGCGCGCACAAGTACACCAAGGACATACGCACGGTCGTGTAAGCGTCACGATCGCACGTCGAAAGTCGAGACACTGCTGCTTCGGACTAGCCGATCGCAATTTATATCACAACACTATACCCAGTCAGAGGTAGGTATAACGACGAACTAACTAACTATAACTATACTAATATTAAGTACGGAGTCGTGCTTGGATGGCGTTGTGCGGCGCGTCGCAGCGGAGCGGTGGCCGGCGAATGACGGTCTACGATATCTACCAAGATATACACAACGAACGCGCTGCGCGACCACTCGCGACTACATGTTATATTTACACTACGATACGTACACTACGTAGAAATATATGTACACACAAGCGCGCGGGTATATGTATACTTTCGGAGTCGAGAGGTTTTGTTTGCAAATGTGTGTGTGTGTGTGTGTGTGTGTGTCACTATGCTATACTATACTACTCCCGCGATAACCCGCGAATCGTGTATATACTATATAGCTTTATAATGTACAGTCTCGCGACGTACTCGCGCACATGTGTAGTGCTCTGCTCGATATATGCCTGTACAGTGAACGAGCGACGAGTCGACTGCTCTGTGCACGATATTATACAGCCTATAGCACATGTGTGCGGTCTCGCGGTGCCCACCACACCGCACCACACCACACTGCTGCACGCCAGAGAACCAAGAGAGTCAGTCAGCTCGCACACTGACACACAATAGGTATATAAGGTACCCGAGGTTAGTGTGAGTGAACTGTATATATAATACGGCACGACGGAAAGGTGGAAAGGTATAACAACGGGCAGAGAGAGAACAGAAGAGAGGAAGGTACATTATAATGGAATTGGCGATCTGCTGCACGCCTGTGTGCCTTCGGCTCGTTCGTTCGTTCGTTCGTTCGTTGGCGGGGCAGTGGTGTATCGTTAGCTTGGGGGAGCCCTATATATAGTGCAGTAAAAGCAGTCATTGGCGGCCAAGCGTGAAGCCCAAAGTCTACTTTATAATGTCCATTTCGCAAATATACACGGCTCGAACTACAGGTAAAAGAACTCGGTAAATATTTTCAAATATTCGACTCGCGCGGCTAAATCGAATATGTTAATACTATGCTGAGCGAGCTTTACGAGGTAAATCCTCCGCAACGAGCTTGCGACAGATATCAATCATCCTGCTATATCACCCATTGTGTATTATGCGAACAAACAAAAACTCGAAGGAGAGAAAGCGCAGCTCTCGTGCGAATATATAATACAAGTATAATAAAGGTGAATCGTCGAGAAAGAAGCGAGAGTATGTATATAAATGTGGCTTGCGTCGCGATCAGTATAAAAGGCGATGGATCGGCGAGACAGCATCGACGGCGGTGGGCGGACATCGCCGAGCCCACAATGTTGCGCGCAAAGGAAGTTTCTCTCTCCTACTCTCTTTAAATATCTTTCGCTCTTTCGTACTTAACAATTTGCGGATGTGCGCCCATTATAGACGCAGTTTACATTATATGCTATACATCGAGCGGTGGAGGGTGGAAACAGCAGCAGGTGAGACGCATAATAGTTCGTGAGCAACGATAATCATGCATGCCTGTGCGGCGCCAACATATACTGTCTATAATACAACGCTCGTTGTTACAAAGTTAGCCACAACAACAAACGAACGAAGAGCGCAGCCCGGCGCACACGTGCGCGAGCTCTGTTAGTTGCTCTCTTGCCTGTCCATAATATTCGACTACCTCCCTCGGGCTCGCGCGGCTTTCACCTTATTCGACGCGCGCACCGATCAATGTGATATACATAAAATAATGATAAGAACGTGCAGAATCCGTACGCTGAGTAAATCGGAGCAACTTGCAACCACCCCCTGTTTGACTTTCGCTCTGTATATATCCGCGATGTCGATTTTTACCGATCTCTAAACACGATCCACGCGAGTAGAATGAAAGAAGGCGCATGATTTTAAATCATTCCGATATCCTGTCAGTTGCCGGCACACAGTAGACGTCGTCGTCGTCGTCGTGAATGGCCACTTCTCGTTCTGCTCCTTTGCTTTAAAAAGCGATCGAGACTCGTGACATCATTTCGCGCAAATACACTCACACATGCAGAGCAGATACATACGCTTTTATATCCCTCTGTTCGTGTACAAGCAGATATACCGCCACCGCGTGCGCGCGGGCGAAAGTGAGCGGAGGCGTGAATATATCCTACATGTAGCATATATTATATGCACGCACACAAACACACACAAACTTGCATACATAAGATAGCCACAGGCACATACACACTGCATCTCTCCTCGCGCGCCCGATATAGCCCGATGGCCGATTATAAATCGATATATACGCGCTTATACCTGTCTATATAGCTATGTGTTTGTATTATATACGCGTAGTCGCATTAATATTATATCATGTGTCTGTGTGCGAGTGAGTTTACTATGCAACGCAACCTCGACAAATCGGCACGTAACGCGTAATAGATGTGGTTTTGAATCGGAGGAAAAAAAATTGAGCCAAGTTTCGTTACCTCTGTGCACGATTGGTAAACTATATTTCGAGCAGTACTGCACTTTTTCTCTCTTTCTTTCTCAATAGCCACGAAACCAGGCCAGAAAGACGACGATGCAGGAGGCCGAGTAGAGCAGCAGAAAGTACAGGGCTATGAGGCCGGTGAGAAACAATTGGAGTACGCGACGCCACTCGACCCCGAAAACCGTCAAGCCCAGTTCCGGATCCATGATACTCGCGCGTGCGAAAAACGTGCGAACAACGCGCGTCAACGATGTACACCAAAAAAACGAAAAATATCGTCGTTATCGCGACTCGTCGTAGTCGAGACGACGTCTACCGTGCACTTTCTGTGCCGTGAGTCGCGCGCGAATCGGACCGCGAGAGTCGATGCGTTGCGTCTGTCTTTTTTTTTACCGAAGAGCTTCGAAAATCGATAATCGCTGCACCGTCGACAGCGGCGAAGCGAGCTTAACGTAGCGCACAACCCCCGTATACATCCGCAGCAATGCCAGACAGTTGGCGCTTGCATATATAAACGGGTCAAGCCGATCGCGTCGTATCGTCTCGCGCACTCGTTACTCTCTGCTATATCGCTAACTGCGCGCTGCTCACCTTGTGCATCGAGCTGGCGGCGTCTCCTGAGCATGACCCTGCCCTGCGGGGCACCAAGTCCGGACGCTAGGCCGGCCCTCGAGTGCTCCTCGAACTCGTCCTCGCCGGCACTGGTCGTGCTGTCGACGCGTTGCTGCTGCTGATGCTGTTGCTGATGTTGCTGAGACAACGTAGACGTCGTCGTCCACGGCGTCTTCCCTGCCGCTGCTGCATTGACGGCATCCGTCGATCCAGCAACGCCGCCGGTCTGTGCCGCGGAATTGGCTTCGAAGAACTTGCAGCGTCGGGCGATGTCCACGTAGCTCGGCAGGCTCGGCTCCAATCTGAACACATACGATAATAATATTCAATTCGATTCGCTCTCTGGACGGAGCTCTGCGCGCGTGGGATCTCGCTACCGCTGATGGATGAGTGGGTGGGTGGGAGTCGTCAGACAGAGAGAGAGAGAGAGAGAGAGAGAAAAAAGAGAAAGAGAAAAGTCGACTCGCATTGCCTTATATTCATTATATGATATACCTGACACCCTCGCTGCCCGAGCTCTCGTACTTGGCGGCGTTGCTGCTGTTGGCGGAGGACTGTCTGCGGGTCCGACTGATGGTGTCGCGCACCCGCTGCGACGTGCCCGAGTGCGACGACGGCGCCCAGGTCGTGGGCTCGCTCTCGCTCTCGCGCGGACTGTACTTGGAGGAGCGGGTGCTCAGCGGACTGGCCTCCGGCGACAGGTACTGCTTGGCGAGCGGCAAAAAAGGCAAATTATTTCGCAAGTCACGAATTTATAATCAATGAGACCTCGATGTAAGAGAGTTATACTCACGCTCGAACATCGACGATTCTGTTGTGCATCGTCCGGTACGTCGTCGGACGACGCTGGCTCGCTTCGCGACAGCTTCCTTAGAACGGGGATCGGTTGTTGCTGTTTTTCCTCCTCTTGTTGCTGCTGCTGCTGCTGCTGCTGCTGCTCACCGCTGCTCGGCATCTCTTCGGCTCGATGATCCTCTCGACGTTTGGCCGCGAGGCCGTTGCTGCGAGGCTTGGGTATGCCACTTGGAGTCGAGTCTCTACTCGGCAGAGAACCACCACCACCACCAGCACCGCTGAGGTTGAGCGAACCGGTGGAACCGAGGAGGAGGTCGCCGCGCGAGCCGGCGCGACGCAATGGCACTGGTATGGCTGACTTGTGCAGGAGGAGGCTGTTGCTGCTCGCCGAGGTTTGCTTGCGCTCGAGCCTAGGCGACGCCGCTCCGACTCCTCCCGACGCCTGAGTCCGATGAAGCAGCTGCTGCTCGTGTAGTCTGCGGCTCTGCGGACCGGCGTGCGCTTGGCTGCTGCTGCCGCGTCGAGCCCATCTGCAGGCGTTGCTGGGCAGGCTCCGGTAGGGCCGGAACTCGCTGCTCGATCGGCGAGGCTGCCGAGGCAGCGGCCTCGCCGAGTGTATCGTCCAGGCCCTGCGGAGCTTGCCGCGAAGTCGTCTGAGTAGGTCGGCCGCCGCTTGGATGTCGGCTCTGCGTCTCTGCTGCTGCTTTACACTGCAACGAAACGATTACGAGCGAAATAAGCGATTTAATAACGAAATTTCTACAAGATATTCTGCAATTTTGACAAGTTACGCGCATAAAACCGCGAGAACCCCAGCTGCAATTTATAATATGTCGTATACCTATGCGAGTCGGCACCGATCCCGAGAGACTACTGGCGCGCGAGAGCTGCCGAGGACTCGCGAGCGCGCGCTCGAGACTTGGAAGGCGATCGAATCGAAGGAGAAAGGATATAGCACAATACTAAGGATTATGCATGTATTCGTGCATGTGTATATGTTACGGTGTACGTGTGCTCGGCGAAGGTTTGGCCGCGCCACCGTCGCTTTCGCGCGCGAGATTTCGGACGTGCAATGCAGCCGCCGATTCGATACACTGCAGCTGTAGGTAGGTATAATGTGCAGCACGTATCTCCGAGGCTCTATGCAGCTGCCCATTAAATCTGGGGCTTATACACGTATTATATCGTATACCTGTGTAGTAGGGTATAGGTGCAGTACACACAACGTCGCAGAAGCATAGTTAAGGTAGACACCGCACATACACAGTCACATATAAGTGGGTCAGAGCGCACGATAGTATATAGAGAGAGAGAGCGAGATGCTTTGCGGCTTTTGTTCTCTCTTTCTATGCCAAGCGCGCGATACATAAATTGGTTGCTGAGGCGATTTTATAATCTCGTGTGCGCGAACTCGCTCGCTGCCCTGCTCCAAAGATCGCCTCGCGGAGAAGAAAAGTACGTGATTCGCACTCGGCATGCAGAGTCGCCGAGGTTTAAAAACAGGATTTTTAAACGAGCGTCGAAACAAACACATTTAAAATCACTTCTGCGGCGAAGAGCACATGGGGGCTCGCTCGCGCGCCTGGTAAACAATCGATGTTTATCGCCTCGGAACAGCTGCGCTATACAGCGAGGTGCATCATCGTCGTCGGAATCTCTTTTCTCGCGCGCGAGCATACATAGAGATCGTAGAGGCCCGATAAGCGAGCGCATTAAAATGCCACATATTTTATATACACTTATATATAAATATAAAATAACATTTGCTACAAACAGGCTGCGCCGCTGCAGAGAGACGTTTTTAGTTCATTCGTCACTGGAGATCGCGAGTAGCTTTTCACTCGCAATACTCGTTCCTTGCTTATACGCGTCATTTTTTTTTTCTTTCGATTCGGATACAGAAATCGAAGCAGCGACGGTCGTGTATTAAATACGTGCTACTGTATACGGCATGATGCGCGCACGTGAAGCGAGCCTTCGATTCACATATCGGATAAATAGATCGTATAATATATAAGTCGTCGGTGAGCGAGAGTCGCCGGTGACTACTCGTGACGTGTGCCAACACAGCACACGTAGTATATATACATAGGCCTCGCCTTAATTAAGCTACTACTTCTTGATAAGCCGATACATATAAAGTCGAGTGAAATTTTTTGGATTAAAGATTATAAGAGAGAGAGAGAGAGAGAGAGAGAGATCAGCTGAGAGACGTGGCCGCGTTACACTTTTAATGAACTTCCGGAAGAGCGCAGAGCAGCGTAAAGCGTAATAAAAGCGAACGTATAAACTACATAATATACGAAGCGTAATGCTAATTTTTCGGTAAATCGCACGTGCGTTACCATATATATACCGGCCTGCAAATATCGCCTCGGCTCTCGGCTCTTTTTATATAATACACACTGCTACACATCCTGCTCTCTGAAATCTCGCGCGCGAACAGGATAAGACGGACTCCGCAACTTCTGTCTGTCTCTCTCCCCCCCCCCCCCNNNNCCCCCCCCCCCTCTCCCGATTTTTATATTCACTGTCTGCAACCGCGAGTCCTCTCGTGTATATGCACACAGAGTACACATTAGTATAATGATATGTATGCGCGGCTATACATAGGTCCTGCTGTGTGCATAAAGAGATCGATGCATCGACGATAAAAAGGGCAGTGTCGTGGTCGTCGTCTTTACTTGTATGCTTGGCGACACTGTGCAGTGCCGAGTCGCTGCTGCAACCGGACACGAGAAGACAACGCACACTTGCACGGCACAGAACACACAAATGTGCATTATATAGTAGTATATAACTATCTATAGTTATGTGCATGCACAGACATACTACACACCATGTCGTGCTGCAGTTGAGCAGCAGCAACAGGTGCCCATGCTATTATATACGAAATCGGTGTGTGTATGTCTGTGCGTGTATCTATATGCCCCCCGAGTAGAGACTTTAAAACGCCATATCAGCTCACAATTAAAAGGGCTGATGCGCGCACTACAGCCGGGACGAAAAGATATAAATATTATGATATCGTATGTCTACGCGTAAACTCACCCGGTGCCCAAGTCGGGATCGGAGTTGTTTTGTTGCATTGTTGTTGTCTGTGCTCAGCGGCACAGAACGTGCTAGCTCCGATTTGTTGTTGTCGTATAAACTGGCGGACTGCTGCTCGGCTTCTCGGCCGTGTATCTCTCCACGGACATCCCGCACCCGAGGAGAAGATACGGTATTTCTTCGGAGTCGATAGTCGGCGTCGGCAACGATTCTATTTTACATTAGCACGTCGGCAGCAGCAACAACACAGCACCAACTGTCGCGAAATAATAATAATCACCGTTGCACGCGCGCACGACACGGCACAAACTCACACTGGACAGGCACTTTTGATGGCACGCACGTACGTATCGAAAGGAACTTTGCAGCGACGACCACTTGTTGCTCACCACCTGCTGCTGGAGCTGCTGTTGCAGCAGCTGAGTATCGCGTTTTGTTGCACACACACGCACACACACACACACCTGTGAGCAAATTTAACGCGCGTTGAGAGCTAGCCGTCGTCGTCGCGATGCGGCTGTTGCGTTACGGCGGGAGGCTCACTCGCTGCTCGCGCGCGCGAGACCTGCGATATTTTAGTATTATGCTATATAGGCGAGCGAGCTCCGAGTTGTGTTGAGGCTCTCTCGGAGAGCAGCTCGATTCCTCCTCGAGACTCTGCTGCCTGCTGCTGGATCGAGACACACAGAGCTCCCTTCACCTCTTCTCTCTCTCTCTCTCTCTTTCTTGTGCTATACGCGCCTCGCAGGCAATAAAACGGCAAAAGGAGTCTGAGCGCGGACTCTACGCACTCATCTTTCTCTCTCTCTCTTTCGTTCGATATGTGTGTAGTACGGACTTCTCGGGTTATATTATATATGTTTCGATTTCGCCGTACACACGCAGCAGCGAACAGTCACGCACACACATAGATAATAAGCGCTGCTGGCTGAGCTGCTTACCTGCGTGTTCTTATAGGTATATCGTGTGCTCGCAGGCAGCGGCGATCGAGTCGAACGCGGCGAGGAGATCGAGATTGGCCAGTAAAAACACGTTGCCGCGGAGCGGCAGCACCGTAGATGAGAACGAGCGTTTCTCTGATTTTGCTTCGCTGCGCCTGAAGTCGTGCTATCGTTGCAGCTCCTCTGTGGAGTCCAGATTCTGGACACTAAGGAAGCTTTCGTATACGATTGAGATCCACACGAACGAACAATTAATTTCCGTCGTATTTTGATCACCGAATTCGAATGTAAAACTCGTTAAAAAAGGTTCGAAAACAAATTATGATCAAATTTATTGTTAACAACTTATAAAATCATTTTCGAAAAATCTGGAAAAATTCATAATCTTTGAATAATTCTAAAACTTTATTGTGCTTTGCATTTTTTTCTTTTAAGAGGTTCCTCTTAAAGATAGAAAACCTCAAAAATGTTTTTTTGCGCTATAAATTTTTTCTTAGAAACCATTAAATTCTAAATCTTTGCGATTTTTAAAATCGAAAAAGAATGCCTTAAACGTAAAGCAGCAAAGAACCACACATTTTTTAAATTAGTCAAAGAATAGGTACGAACTGTTTAAAAAATTTTTAAAACAATTTCTTGAGTTATAAACAATTTATTGTTTTAAAAACTTTTCTTGGGTTCTTTTTTGGGAAACCGAGTTTCGTTTCTGTCATTAGCGGAAAAAATACGTTGATGCTCATTGTTCGTTCGTGTGAATCCCACAAAAACATGCAAATGTATTTATTTATTCAAACTCCGCGGCTACCATATATAGACACTACTGACTAGTCCGCATCTGGAGCGCATGTCTGCGCTCTCAGCTCGTGTTTTCATAGCACACACACACACACACACACACACACACACACACACACACACACACAATCGCTATCTATGCAGGCGTTGTGTCGGCACTCGACAGTCGGCAGTTCGGCAGTTTGGTTATAGGCGACTCGTGCTAGTGTCACATCCCATCCAGCCAAGTGTATCCGATCGGTGTTTGTTTTCCCAACAACATAGACACACGCGTTGACTGAGACCCATCGCCATTGGTGCTTTCGAAGCTCGTCTTCCGTTTTTCCCTGCTCCTCGTGTTAGCGATACAAAACAACACAAAAACACACGATGTCCGCCGCTGACGTTCAAATCCTCATGGACATGGGCTTCAGCAAGGATCACGTGGAACGAGCCTTGAATGCGACCGGACACAAGGGCGTCGAGCCCGCGATGGACTGGCTGCTGTCCCACGGTCCGGAGATTGAGGAAGAGTCCAGGTCGGCCGTAGCAGCCACTGCCACCTCCGAACCTAGGCTCGACTTAACGGCTGCGACTGGCACCCCGGCGGCGGCAACGGCGACGGTGACCGACAACGGCGGAAGCGAAGAACAGGCCGGCAAACCGGGGGACGACCAGGAGCAGACGGCCAAGTCCATCAAGTGCGACGTCTGTGGCAAACTCTTCCAGAGCAATCTCGAGGTGGAGTTCCACGCGACCAAATCCGGCCACGATCAGTTCAGCGAGAGCAGCGAGGAGAAGAAGCCCCTCACCGAGGAGCAGAAGCGCCAGCAGCTGCAGCTGATCGAGGACAAATTGAAGCAGAAGCGAGCCGAGCGCGAGGAGAAGGAAAAACAGGAGGCACTGGAGCGCGAACGCGACCGCATCCGCTCGGGCAAGGAGATGGCCGAGGCCCGGAAAAAGCTCGAGGAGCTCGAGATGAAGAAGATCCTGGAGCAGCGGCGCCGCGAGAAGGAGGAGGATCGCATGGCGCGCCAGAGGATTCGCGAACAGATCGAGGCCGACAGAGCAGCTCGACGATTGAAGGCACAAGGCAGCAGCGAGGCAGCCGCTCAGGCGCCAGTAGCTCCGGCGCCAGTGGCCAAGCCCCCGCTAGCACAAAACACCAACAACAGCAGCCAAAACTATACCGAGACGAGGCTCCAGATAAGACTTACGGACGGCAAGTCGCTCACCCAAAGCTTCGGCTGCAAAGAGCAGCTCGCCGCCGTCCGACTGTACGTCGAGATGCATCGCACCGACGGCGCCGAGCCGTTCGACCTCATGACGACTTTCCCGCGCAAAGTGTTCGCCGAGAACGAGTACGACATGCCGCTGGACCTGCTCGGCCTGGTGCCCTCGGCCGTCGTTATTGTACAGAAAAAGAGCGTTGTTTGAAGTTAGAATTAACAATAATACTTTAAGCTCTCTCTCTCTCTCTACCTGTTCACTTAAGTCAAGATAACAAAAATTGAATTTAAGAGAATAATTGAGAAAAAGTGAACATACTGTGTAATATGATTGATTAGTCGATAATGGATACCAGATTTTTTGGACAAGGAATATATATCAAGCTTAATTTGTTCTATTTTTACAAATAAAAACCAAATCAGTGTCTATTCATACATTTTAAGCGTAGTATTTATTTTTATTTCCTAATATAATTTTTAAATATACAATAATTGCCACAAGTATAAAATAAAGCAAGTCTTTTGTTTTTGTAAAAAAAATTAATCGTTAAACTATAGATTAATCAAGAATGTCCTTTGTCTGTTTAACATTCTTCTGTATTTAATTCTTTTATTACATTTATTGAGTTTAATTTTTTTTTACACATACTAATGAAGTATAGTAGTAACACTTTTAACTTTTGTTAGATATATAAAATCATTCTTAAAGTATATGATACATTTACACGTTGATCTTTTTTTTTGCCAGACAGGCTTAAATTGCGACATTCGAGTCTGTTGACCATTAAAATTTATTATGTATAAAATGAGTAGTTTACTTTCTCTTTGTCAGTTTTGCAGTTTCTCGTTTGGAACTTGGATTTATAGAAGAAAAAAAAATACAGTGTTGATCCATTTCGAAATCCAATATTAATTCATTTGTACGTTGCAGAAAGGAAAGTAAATTACAACCCTAGATAATGAAAACTATTGATTCATAGAATTATAGGCGAGATTCTGCCTTTGTTTTTGGTGGTTTGAATGTCTTCATTTTTTTCTCTTTCTTTTTTTTAGAAGAACCACCCGATTGGAAAGTTTTCCAACTTTCTACCCTTGATTGTCGCGACTCCTCGAAATTTTTTTGCCATTCACGTTCCATTTGTGCCTGTGTTTCTGCTGAGATTTCTTCTTCTCTTTTTCGTTTTCTTTGTTCTGCGTCGCGCATTGCTAGATCTCGTCTGTAATTAAAAAAAGGTCATTTAATTTTTACATTCATAATTTTTAAAATGTGATTTAAAAACAGAATTGGAAGATATTATTAACCTTTTCCTCTCCATATCTGCAAAGAGTTTCATTGTCATTACATAAACTGCATGCTTATATCCATTTTCGGTTTCTTCCTCCAACTTTGTGTCACCTTTTCCTTCTTTTTTTGCCTTCTTTTTCTTTTCAGCAATCTAAAAGTAACAAATGTTATGGTTAGTTTTCACTTATTACCATATTATTATTTCATGTATTAAACCTAATTACCATGTGATCAGTTCTAGCTTTTGCCTCCTCTATGACATCCATACATTTGGCTCTAGTGTCTTCATTTTCCAAAGTTTTCCAAGCTTTGTTCACAACTGTAAAAAATTTGAAAGATTAGTTTAAGACGTCACATGCAATATATTTACAGAACTCTATATTACTTACTTTCAAATGCTTGTTGTGCCCTGTCTGCGTCGTCTTGATTTTTATCTGGATGAACAAGAATAGACATCTAAAATAATCGTGAAAATTTTTATTTAGAAATTCTCAATATTTATAGCATGCGCATACCATGACGCTAATTCAAAATAGTACATGGGACTAGTAGCCCTGGAATTAAAACTAAAAATACTTACACGTCGATAAGTCTTCTTGATATCATCCACATTTGTCGTGGGATCAATGTTAAGTACTTCAAAAGGATTTAAATTAAAGTACGTTGATCCTGGACGCAACAGTCTATCAATTTGTTGTTTAGGAGTTAAAACAGAGTCTCTCTTTTCAATTTCTTTTACCTAAAAACACAAATAATTATTAATATATAAACAAGCGATTGGCTGTCCATTTGAATCCACATAAATTCATGAATTTATCATATTTAATTGTCCTACAATTTAGGCAACGGTAATATAAGCTCAATAAAAAACACAGATATTAAAATCCTAGAAAAAGGCTTATGGTGCATAGATAAGGCATCATAACAGCACAGGTAACTGGAGATAAGGTTATGTAATGGCATTGACAGCTTCATTACTTTAGAAAATCAAAGTAAATATACTTTAAAACTTGTCAAAATGACACAAGGACGACTTACCTCGGTGTAAAATTCATTGAAAACTTCGTCTTTTTTGACAACTGGGGCCTGAGAATTTGTTGCTGCCATTTTGTCGATGCACTACAATTAATACAATTAATTAGACTAGGTAGCGTGTACACGCTCAACCGTTAGGTCTAAAAAACAACTATATATAAATAACTATATATGTCAACGGTGCCTAACGAACAACAAGGAGCGACTAACACACGGTTGCACTATTAACACCTCGCAGAGCACTGGGCAAACCGCGTCTAGTCTCTCACGACGACTCTCAGACTTTCGAGGTATCGCTCACCGTCAGTTGCGATGACACTGTGCAGAAATATACACAGAAAATAAGGTGCTTTCGTATTTCTGCACAGTACGTGCGAATACTCCGAATTACGACTTGCGAGCTGTTTCCAATTGATAAATCAGCTGCCTTGCTTATCAACGGTTTCGATTATAATTGTAAATCACGTGTTAATCATTTAAAACTTTTACAGTCATTTTGTATTTTTATCAGAAATTGATTGTAGAAAATTAGTTATCTTTTAATATTTTTAATTGTTTATATGACTTTTGTCAGATTACTTCAAAACGATTTGATGATTTCGAAAGCGTTTGACATTTAGTTTTGTCGGCTGCTACTTCGTGTTGACACATGAAAAGGCACATGTACGTTTTAACTACTGAATCTGTTGATTTACGGACTGAGTTAGTTCATTTTTTTTTGGTTTTGAGTTTTCCTGCAGGTACTCAAGTAAGTTAATTTATAAACGAATAAGAGTATTACAAACTTTCTAACCAATTTTGAATTCACCTTATAAATTTTTCTGATGAAACCAACCTATTTTGAATAAAAATGTCACTTTCTTGATTAATAAGTAAGAATTATATTTCTTATTATTCAAGCACACATTTTTTAATGAATTAAACTTTATTGACAAGACTTCATGCATTTATTAAATATTTTTTGGATGATTATGATTAAAGATGCTAATGTTACAAAAAGTCTGAAAAGGATAAAATAGGTTTTATTGATCTCATGAATTACAAATTATTTTACTGTTGTCTTGTTCAGTATTCAATTGAAAGTATAAAAAATTTTCTATTATTTCTTCTTGAATTAAACTTAACTAAGCGGTGCTCTGCTAACAAGAACTAGTAATCAGCAATGCATCCTTTTTTCTAATTAATTAACAGTAAAACATGTACTATCTTGCTACGCTACTGAGGAAGTTTGAAATAAAAAATATTCAAGACTTGAGAGAGCAGAGATTTAATAGCAGAGTTCAAGACTTTGCTATTAAATTGTATAATTGTGAACATCAAGTAATTCAAGTTGATTTTTAATAATGAGCATATTCAGAAATAATCAAAAGTTTAAGTGAAAAGAAAATGAGCTTCCAAAGACTTCATATTGACTGAAAAGTATTCTGTTTGATTGTTTTAAACGAAATAGTGCTCGGAAACTAAAATCTGTGGTGGAAAGGGAGAACCGACCAACTCCATTATTCGTGTTTTCGAGAAAAACGTGTTTGAAGTTGCGTTTGAGTGCGTAGCTAGACGAATATAACTCTTTCTTTCGAACATCGCACATTTACAAGTGCCCTAACAGTTGCAGGGATCTGGCAGCATCCAATGATGCGAGAGTTGTATATACAACGTTCCAATATTATATTCCATCATTTTTAAACCAAAGTTGATTCGATATCGCGTTGAAGGTTTCGCTGAGATGGACTTGGTCGGTTTGGCCGGTCACTGTTTGTCTCGTAATGGACTTAGTCGGTTTGGCATTGTGCTGTACCAAACGATAGACGCAATTTCCGGTCATTCAGACACTTGCACATCAAAGTTGACACTAAATGTAGGTGTTTAACGTCATAAACTCGATTTCGAAAAAACTGGAGTTGGTCGGTTCTCCCTTTCCACCACAGAAATATTTGCAGTTTCTTTCTAAACAGTTAATATTTACAATCCATTAAAATAAGTACCAACTAATTTTTTTTTCAATCAAACTCAATCAGAAATTCCAACAAATAATATTTTTATTATGAGCGTAAACGAATTTACTAACTAATATAATGTCTCAACTTGTTCGTTTTATGTTTGGGTTTAAAGTTAGCCATCTCACGGCTTTCCTTTGCAACATAACAATAGTACTAGTGTTTTATTGCTCTGCTGATCTACAAAAAAGGATTATTTTTGAAAAAATGTTATTCTACATACTTTAATTGGTTTATTGCTCAGACATTCGATCAAACCACGAGTTTTTTTTTATGAAATCCACGTGCATTTTCAGGATCCTTTTAAGATTATCCACAGGGATATTCGATCCTACCATGACGTTTTCTTATAAAAACATTGTAGATTTTTTAATTATTTTCATGGATAAGTTCATGTCAAAAAGGTTTTCATATTTTTAAATCCGAGTCTCATTCACGTGGTATCGATTCGATTCCACGCTATTTTTTGTCAAAACGGATACTATAAGAATTTGAACTATAATTACTTTATCGTTGAACCATAAAATATCAATCTTAAACTTTGTTTCAGGTAATCAAATCGAATATGTTCAAGACCCTCCAGACCTTCGACACGGAGCTCTCGGCCGACTCGGTCGAGTGGTGTCCACACGAAAATTTCGCCGACCTCGTGGTCTGCGGCACGTACGAGCTCAAGGTCGAGGACGAGGGCAGCAGCAAGAGGGAGAGAATCGGCCGGATATACCTGATGAAGCTGAACGAGCAGCGCTGCGGCTTGGACGTGCTGCAAACGATCGAAGTGTCGGCGGTACTGGACATGAAGTGGTCGAGAACGTCGAGCAGTTCGCGAGTCATGCTGGGTGTCGCGAGTGCCGATGGCTGTTTGAGGATCTACGAATTGCAGCAGTTGGAGGAGGAGGAACCTCGGCTGAAACTGATCGGTCAAACTCGCCTCGGGGATGACGAAGAGGAGGAACGTCTGGCCTTGTCGCTGGACTGGGCCGCGGATCAGACGCGCCTGACACTGAGCGATTCCAAGGGATGCGTGTCTTGCTGGCAGCTCCAGGCGGACACGGGCAATTTCGAGCGGCTCGTCGAGTGGCCGGCCCACGACTTCGAGGCTTGGATCACTTGCTTCGATCTTCGCAACTCCGAGGTGGTCTACACCGGTGGCGACGATCTCAAGATGCGAAGCTTCGATCTTCGCTCCGGACCGATCGCGACCAACTCGCGATCCCACGGCGCCGGTGTCACCAGCTTGCAGTTCCATCCGACCAAGGAGCACAGCTTCGTGTCCGGCAGCTACGACGAGCAGCTCAGGCACTGGGACACGAGACAGCTGAAACGAGCCGTGCACGAGCTTCCACTGGGAGGAGGCCTCTGGAGGCTCAAGTACGAGCCGAGCCCGCGGCAGCCACCTCGTTACCTGCTGGCCGCGGGCATGTACGGGGGATTTTTCCTCGTTGACGTGCTTGACGAAGAGCAACCGAGGGTCGTCGAGAATTTTCAGGAGCACAAGAGCATCGCCTACGGATGTGATTGGTCGTATCGTACCCGTGCGGATGACGATCCACCTTTAGTGGCTACTTGCTCGTTTTACGATCACTGCCTCAAACTGTGCTCGATCAATACAGACGAGTGTTAAATTATAATATGTACATGCATATCGACTGTGTTAATATTGTTTTTGTAAATATATTTTTTTTTACATTCGTTTCTTACATCTGTGGGTATTCATTTAATTTTCTCACTCGTCAACCATGATTCAAATAGATTTCAAAAAATCCTATATTTGATGCAAATTTTGAATATTAAGTCAATAGTTCATTATAATTAATCAATTTATAAAATATTTGTGGTTTTTTAAATGAAAAGCATTAGAGATTTATTCAGCAGCAAAAATAAACGTTCAAAATTTAATGAATTACTCAATATCTATTATTTTCAAAATAAGCTCAATACGAACCAATACAAACTGGAACACTCACTTGATATCAATTTTTGAACCTTGAGAATTTTTCTTTTGTTATTCAATGGCTCAAATGCAAAAAAGAATGAAAAAAAAGTTTTGAATAATTTAAGTTATGTCGATTTTGGAATAAGTAGTCATATTTATAGAAAAATGCGATTTTTCTTCCTCTCGAATAAAAAAATAGCTAAAGAAATAACCAATCAATGTTTTCTCACGTTTCTTGGACCTCCAAAAACAGTTCGCAATGGTCCATAAACTTTTCAAGCGACAAAAATTTTAATCGTGATTTTGGCCTCGATTTTTAAAACATTTTTATGGAATTGCTCATATACGAAAAAAATAAGCATTTGATATATAACACAGTATAGAGAATCTGTTACCTGCCTTGTTTTTATCGACGGTCGAGAGTCAACTGTACGAGCTGTATCGAGCGAGCTAATCATCAGTTATAGAGTAGTCGCGAGAAGATAAAAAAAAACTTTATTCAAAAAAAAATCGACCGCGGGTAAAGCTAACCAATACTCAATAAAGATGACGAGCTCTAAAAAAGTTCACTCGTACGCGCGAAACGGATCTCGATTAATGTAATCGATGCGATCCAAAACGATCTCTGCGGCCGGGTGATCGTTCGCGCGTGCAATGATCGATACGACGACGTCCCCAATGTTGATGCCGTTGACCCGAAGATTATTATTTAAACAAAAACATAAATAAACAAATAGGAATATACCTCCGCGCTGAATTAGTTTGTCCGATTAACGCGCTCCAGGAGTTATATTTTGCAACTATGATTATTTCTTTCTTTCTTTCTCCACGCATCACGACAGTCGTCGACACGAGTTCATCGACTTTTTTTTGTCAATCGCATACCGCTCGTGTGTATGTCGATTGTGCGGCTTGTGAAATTTTCAAGTTCACCGATGAACTTGGCACATGGGTAATGATAAAACGCAACGAATGCAACACGAAAAAATATCGAAACTGCAGCATAGATAGAATATCTTGAGCGCGAGAAATAAAAATAAAATTAGTCTGAAATAGTTATCGTTGACGTGTGGCGATATGTACAATTGCGTTTTGCAACAATCGTGCGAGTTTTTTTGAAAGTGGAAAAATTCGGAGCTGATTTATGATGAACAATTTTTTCCCCTGATTTGGTTTTCTGTTTTAAAAATTTTCAGACACATTTACTTTGAACGAGAAATGAGTAAAAATCGTTCAACTTATATGTTTTAAAAGATAGACACGTGTCTACCAAAGGTCGCATTTTTTTTTACTTTATCAACTAAAAAAATGTTTTACTAAATTTACTGGATAAAGTCTCAAGGATTTTCTGCAAGAATTCTACATTATGATTCATATGTTTAAAAAATGCACTTAAAAATTCATTTGAAAATTATTTTTATTATAATAGTCAATTTGTCATACAAATAGTTATACTTATAATTCTAATACCTCATGGCAAGCTAAAAAAAAGAACCTATCGACGTCCTTCGGACGTATAGCGCAGCTTTAACAGGCAATCCAGAGGATGAGTCTACGTACATCTAACAATTGGAAACATCCTCTACTAGTAAACTAATTCGTCGATACATTAAAAACTAAATAATAACAGAAACGACCCCGTCATGAATTTTTTGTTTCGTTTTTTGTCACAGAGATATCTTAATAGTATATAAGACATGCCAGGTCTCGAAATCGCAAAATACTTTTTCGGTTACAACAACAAGTAATAATAAAATAAATAAAATATATAAATTAATTATTTACAGGCGCCTCTAATAGATAAAGTGGCATCGCGCGGTGGAAAAATGTGTCCGTCACGATCGTCTATCAGCAGTAGAGTCCGCTGCCTTGATTATCGATCACGTGCTTGCGCACGTACTGCAGGGCTTTGTCGCTGAGCTCGAGGCTCTTCACCTGCTCCTCGAACTCGCTCGGCGACACGGCCCCGGCGACGAAGCCGTTCAGCTTGGCGGCCAGCGGACTGGTCTGCAGCTCCACGGCGCTCTTGAGGCCCAGCGCCTCGACCAGGTAGGCGTGTCCCTGCAGCCGATACTTTTGATGATAGTCCTCGGCCGGGTAGAACTTGTCGAAGGGCGAGATCTCGGTGGCGAATCGCTCGTTGCGCAGTCGCTGCTGATGGTCGCGCGACGCCTCGGCCAGCTCCTTCTGCTCCTGATTGTGGTAGAGGATCAGCGAGAGGTACTGTCGCTTCACGTAGGCGGTCAGGCCGTACTCGTGATTGTTCCAGAAGAGGTCGAGCAGCTGCGAGTAGCTGATGCGCTCCGGGTCGTACTCGATGTGGATGACCTCGGTGTGGTCGCCGCTGTTGTAGAGAACAAAAAGAGAGAGAAAAATGAATTGATGCGATGTGCAACGATAGCTAAATAAAATACTCTCGGGACAGGATATAGAGTTAAATTAGTCGTAATCGGACTGTATTATATAGGCGGCACATGACGCGCAATCTAATCGACAACGAGGCGTACTTAAACGATCATATTATTATATTTGTAAACACGCACGAGAGAGAGAGAGAGAGAGAACAAATTCGCGCATGAATGAGACACAAGCGAGGCAAGTTCATTAACCAGCTGCTTGACCGATAAATTAATGTATAAAGATCGATAAATTAAGAGAGCCACAGAGGGAGAGAAAATTATCGATAGGATACAATGATGTACTTACAGATTTTTGTAGGCTGGATTTTCTTTGGTGCCGCCGGCGTAGCCGACTGCGGTGGTGACGACGCCGGGGGTGGCTCCGAACAGAGCGTCGCCGGCCCAGAAGCAGCCCATGCCGAATGTGGCGCGCACCGTCTTCACTTCGTTCACTGAGATAGGCATTTTGGAGTTCTGCAACAAGAAAGAGAGAGAAAAATTAACGAAATCGCTTAGAGATCGGTTATAAATTAATAAATGAATAAAGAAAGAAGCGTAAGAAAATGATCCGATTGTAAAGCAGACTTACGTGTTGGTTTTTTTTAAAGATGAAAAAAAAATCAAAGTCGAAAATCTTTCAGATTTTTCAAAGTCCAATTATGTAGCTAATAAGTAGCCGAGAGTTTATGGACGAACTAATAAACGTAGCGTCTTTTATATCGATGAGGCAAGAAGCGATGTTCTCACTGAGCGCGCCGAGCCGCAACTGATCCCTTGGCCGGCGTTGTACTCCAGTTTTTAAATGCTCACGGGCGGCCCCCTCTACTCCCGCGCGCCACAGCCGCGGTGCGATTCTTGCGCTCGCACTCGACCAACACAACGCTAATTTTTACGTGTACGTGTGCGCGACGAAAAAGAATGAATAGCTTCGATGCAGATATATGTGTACGCGCTTTGTACTTGTACGTAAATATAGAAAATAGGTAAAAAACAGAAAATAAATGAAACGAGAGATTTTTTATAATTAATAAATAAAAATGATAGAGAAATAATTAGTAATATTAACTGAAGGTGTTTGATGTTTAGCTATTACTTAAACTTTAATCTCATATAAAACATGAATTCAAAAGTTGAGCAAAATTAGTAGGGATAGGTCCCTTTACTTGTGTCTTACCTCGACGTGAGAAATGGACCTGGCCAGGCGCAGTCCACGATGACTCAGATGAAAGGGCAACGAGTGCTTCAAATAATGCAGGGCCATGTTAGCTACAATTAGAGGGAAAAAAATGACTTTCTCAAAAAATTTCACTTTCTCTAATCGTCTGATGCATTTTTTGGTCATCCTCCTTCGTTCTTTCATCATCTTTTTTATATTCTAGAAAAGAAGGAAAAAAGTCACGCGACTGCGTCAGAAAAAAATTTGTTCATCTCTCTCCCTCTCTCGTGCGACTCTTTTTCTTTTCGGTAGAATTAAATAAATAAAGACCCCCAGCATACATTAACTTTTACAACATTATTATATCTATATTTATCGTATAGATTCAGGTTCACGAGCACGTGGACTTGAAATCAGACGTAACTCGCGCGCCGCTCGGCTCTTCTCTGTCTGTGTGTGAGTGCGTGCATGTGTGCGTGTATACACGCGAGCGCGCGCCGCACAGCATGTGCTTTTCGAGCGACCAGACAACGTTTAAAATTTCTTAACTTTAGGGCCCGATTGCAAGCTCAATTTTGGGTATTTTTGAAAAATTCTTCCTGACCCTGGATCCTGAAATTTTCCTCTGCACGAATATGCCCGTCGATTTTCCAAAAATTAATTTCGAATTTTCGTCCTGATAATGATGCATGGGGAAGCACGCGCTCGATTCTGTCTCTCTGTCTGACTCCGATGCCAAGAGACCGGGATGAGAAAGCGGAAAGCTATCGTCGCATTTTTTTTTATTCGTCATAGGAAATCTTCTCGATCATCAACGATGAAACGGCAGATTTCTTGCGAAGGGACGCAATTATGTTATAAAGCGTTTGTTTATCAATGACGAATGTTTAAACAAAGCATATATGCATGCGTAAAGTACACACACGCCGCAGAAAAAAAGAGGCGATCGCGATAAAGAAGAAAAAAGCGAAATCTTGCAAAAAGCTGACATAATAATTGACACTTGCGATTACGGTACTATATATTTATTTATATGTACAATAAACACGCATGACGAGTGACGGCGGGGAGAGAGAGCGCATACAAATTTACCGTAACTCGGCGCGCGACTACTTGTTAAAGCCACGCTGGGAACTACGTTCTCACACATGCCAATAACACGGCGACTTTGGGCAGCGATTGCAAGCTCAATTTTTATTATTTTTGGGCGCAATTTTTTGTCCTGGACTCAGCTTCATGAGCTGAATGTCGAACTGTCGTTTAATTTTCGATCGGATCGGTAGTTACCGATTTGCCGAACCAATGGGTCGATCGGTTCAATTCGACTTGCAACGAAGGGCTATGGCGTTGGGCTGCGCTGTGGCAAAAGTTGTCGCAATTTGGACAATGGCTAGTTTAAAAAATCGGCGGCTTAATGTTCATAGAAATATATCTGTGGCCTATAGAGAATCGTCATAATCGCAAGAGACAACACAACACAACATTGAGTGGCGGTGCATGGCGAAAATGCGAGGTGGGGGCAAGGCCGGGCATCCACACACGCGGTAGAGCCATGCCTCATCTTTTTCGAGTGCTTATACATATTCGAACGCGTGTTCCCCCCGCGTGCCAGACTATATACACTTGATGCCTCGATAATCTCTTTTTCTCTCGCTCGCACACGAGCGATATTGCGGATGGCTTTTGAAAATTCTTGGACTTTAGCCCCCGATTGCAAGGGGTAAAATTGATCGATTTTGAAAATTTTTTTTTCCACCGAGATCAGCGAATTTTGCAGATTGACAATATGGAATTGTCATCTCAATATTGCAAAGTTGAATTTTTTGACATTCAAGACAACGACGCGCTGCAGACGCATAGACGAAAGTAAAAGTTCCGTCAAGAATTGCCGTAATCTCTGATTGTACATGAGTACTTACTTCATACTTTTTTACATAAAAAGTCTAGAAAAAATTGATACCCACTGTTAGGAATGTATTTTTCACAATATTTATCAAAAATTCAAACCCAAAAAGTGTCATTATTCCTTCATGGGTAGTAGAACAAATAAATTGTTCATTTCAATTTGCATTCTGCTCATGTTAAACTATGAGCAGAATTTTCAGTTTAGCCATATATTTCTGCTTAAGTTCATCTTTTTCGTTAATACTGTAGTACTTTTTTCACTTGTCAACTATTTAAAAACCAGGAAATCGTCTTTTATAAAACATAAGTAAAATACACGAAAAAATTTCTTTTGGAAACATAGAGTTCGTTTTGAAATTATCCTAGAAAGGTTGTATAAAATAATTACACCCTATTCTGAACTAAATTTTCTAGAAATACATAAAAAAAAGTACGATCTTTGAACATTTTTAGTCAATGCGATCGTTTTTTACAGCGAATAATAATTTGTTTTTAGAACCACGGTTTTGGTTTAAGGAGTATGATCAATTTTCAACTGCACTGCGCTCGGAAGACTAAACTTGAAGTTTTTCGATGTAAAAGTTACATGCCTAAAAATGTTAAATAAAGAATCTGATAAATTTTCAAAGGTGTCTGACATGAGCCGAGCTATACGATAATTTATCAAATTTTAAAAGTAGGAATGATTACTTATATACAAAAAATTTTTAATTTAGAATAACGAGCAAAAATTGTATCCAAAAACGATTGTGTCTACTTCAAAATACAGATTAAGGTCAGAGTTAATTATGTATAGGCGATAGTTTTTTTTTTTCGTCTGTGTGTATACGGTGCGATATCGGTGCGAGACGCCCGCCCGCTTGACAGAAAGAGAGAACAGCTGATCTCTCGACTCGAGACTTTTGAATGCTATATAGAGTCAATAAAACTTTTAACAAAACCCTGCCGATTTCTGCTTTATTTATAACGATTTTTTGAAAAGTTTTTTATATTTGTAACCAAATAATATAGTTGTTCACGAATATGTCAATGGATATTGTTTAAATTATTTATTTCACCTATTTTATTATTAACAAATCGTGGAAGCGAAAATAAATTTAAAAAACAAATTGCATATTCGGAAACTAGACATTTTTTCGAGCACGTTACAAAAAATTGCATTCAAAAATGAAAAAAATTGACAAAGTTATGGGAGCTGCAATTTGGAAAATAATAAAGTAAAGCAGGGTCAAAACATTGGAGCGCGCTCCGATATATCTATAATGATACATACACACAAAGCTAGTCTCTCTCGACGCGCGCCTAAACATCTGTGCGCCTCGCCTACATACTAACACACATATCACGTGCTGATGTGACTTTCTTCTTTCGCGTGGACGCACTCGAGAGACCGGTACCAAGAGATACTTCGTCGTATTCATTATGTACCTGCATAATTAATGCAGTGTCGCGAGATGTGAACGAATTTTTATTTTTTTTCTCCTCAATTTGTGATCGATGCTTCAGGATGCAGCACGTAATGCGTACGTCAATGAAAATACCACAACCGATTCATAGGCGTCTAAATCTAGATAGCAGGAAATAGGTTGAATTAATTAGGAAAAATTGAAAATTAATTTTCCGAAAAACTAAAGTCATATTCGTGATCCCTTAAATTTTCTCAATCCAGGGCAGAAAGAATTTTTCAAAAATTCGCAAAACTGAGCTTGCAATCGCACCCCCTTGGGCCAATGTTTTTGATCGCACAAAGCGTAACGTAATATAGTATACAAGCATCGAGTCAGTCGCACACGATGTCTCTCGGAAGTTGGAGCGTTTACGCATACACTTGAGCGGCGGCGGCCACATGTGAGCCAGCAGCAGCAACAGCAGCATTGAGATTTGAGAAGTGTACATATTATTAATGTAAACGACTTGTGTATATGTATAGCTCGCGCGACGCGACGTTCCCATCGGCGCATTTTTTATATTGATTGTAATCAGGGACTTTGGCTTTTTGAACGTTATATATAAACGTTGAAAAATCGTTTGTTTCGCGCCTATTTACAGCACAAATACCTGTCTTTCTTTTTCGAACGAGCACTCGAGTGTAAGATAAGAGTCAGAATTGTTCCTCGATCGTCGGAACGCGTGTCGCTGTATGTTATGTGGGTGCATTTTTTGAGTTTGTTCTCGACACTTCTCAAGCGCGGCCGCTCTCGAGTCATTTATTTCGTTTTTTTGCTCAATAATTTTTACGACAATTCCGTATTGTGCGAGTGTTTAATAAATACGACGTTCAAACATATTTATTAGTGTGATTTTTTATTTGTAACATCTCGCAATGGTAATCGAATCACCTCTTTCAATCGAACTGACAATTTATTGTTACATCGTAAGAGTCCAATAAAAAAAAAAGATACATTACTGGCGACATTGAACTTGGTGCTGGTAATAATGAACGACTCGCGTGACGTAAATATAAGAAAAAAAGTTTGTTTCATCAAAACATTTCTATTATCATCACTAAGACTAAATATTTCATCAGCCAAATTTTTTTCTCGAATTTGCGGTGAAATTTTAACTATTTTTGCTACAGGCCTTCGATCTCGACCGGTTTCTTCTGTCTCTATAACCCCTCTTTCTTTTTTTTTACTCTAGCTATTATTAATGTTGATTGAGCAATGATGCAAATTTACTCACGGTGTTCCAAAAATGGCAGACAACTTCATTTTTATGAGACACAGAGACAACGTATCTTTTTTTAAATTATCTAGTTTCCATAAAAAAATCTTCAATAAGAAAAATCAATTTCGTTAAAATTGTATGCAAAGGTAAAGTTACCCTTTGTAAAGCTGGATAAAACGATTCAAGGAAACGCCACCCCCGCGATAGGGTATAGTGCATGGCATTGAAATTGCTTCCACGGATCGATCCGCACGTGCGAGCGTAAACAATAACCAATCGAGAAAAAGCCATATATTACGTAATGTCACTGTGAAGTTACTTACGCAAAATCGATCAACTTTTATATTATTATAAAACGAGGTTGAAAAATGCGTGAAGTACCAATTTATTATCCGACTGACTTTTTACAATTCAATCGCGGTTCGACATCGCAGCGTCGTCTTTATCGTCGAGCACCTTTTTATTCTAGGTCAATGGCAACCGACTGCAGCAGTAGCAGCAGCGTCGAGTACTCCACGCCGCACGTGAACGAGGCAGACTTAATGCAATTACGTTTGTATGTACTATGTATGCATAGCCAGGAGTCAGACGCACATTGCGCCGCAAGTGCGCAATTCGGTGCAATTCGTTTTTCGCGCATAATCTCTGTACCACGTGGATCTCGTTTTAAAGGCACACGCGACCGAGCCAAAGATATATAGTAGGTGATTATAATGAAGAAGTCAGCTGGTTAAAATAATACAAATGAGATTTATTTCATACAATATGTATAAAAGAATATTTTTTATAATAAACTATGAAGTAAACAAAGGCTATTTTCACACGTCGTCATCGTTGCACTCTCTCGTAGGGACTTCTTTTCTGACACAATATTATTTTTTTCGCAGTTGTAAAAAAAAACGAGCAAAAATCTATTACACAGAGCAGATAGTATATTGACACTTATCGTACTGCTATTATTATATATAACGTACATTTAATGGCAAGCTAACATGGCATACCACTTGTGCCGGGCGAAAAAAGTGGTATCAATTATTGACAGAAAACAATAGGATTTTCATTTATTAAGTGTATACTGCTCTTGATTCGTTTTTTGTTGTTGTTTTACACGAGATAATATTGCGAGAAGAGGATGAACGATGACGTTTTTTAACATGGATATGTTGTATATAGGTGCAATTTTGTTATTAATAAGTCTTAACAGCAAAAGTAAGTAAGGCTTATATAACTTGTGTCGTAAATTTGCTCTTTAAAATTAAAATCCATTCATAAAAAATGTGTTGCGAAGAGTCAAGTATTTTAAATGTGATCGATTTTTAACAAGAAAATGAGAGATAATTCGATAGCTAAATCTTATGACTGGATTTATGAAATAAAATTGTATGTTACACGCACTTATGAGTCTGTACAATGCATCGAAAATTCCTATGAGAAAGAAAAGAACATAATTCTTCAAGAGATTTTCTTCGTAAGCAAATTTGACGAGTCTAAAAAGTAAAGTACAAATATTTACAGGAATATTAAAAACTAATTATCGATAGAAATATACTCTAACGTTTCTTAATGCATCTTGAATATTTTCATTATACTTTGTAAAATAGACGCTTTTGATTGCACGATAATTTAAAATAATTCGAACCATTGACTGATATATTTGTTTTTGTAAACTTTTGTATCTGTATCACAAATGCAACTCTCAATTTTTATTTAAAACTAATCCAAAGTTTTTATCTGAGTTTAAAGAGTATAATATTTTTTGTACATTCAATTAGTTTAGTACCAACTTCATAAAAAATGTTTCTAGAAAAATTTTTTCTCTGATTTTATCTCATTAATAAAAGATAAATCCTTGATGTATGTTGATATGTTTCTTATATATCAGTGACAAATGCAAATTATTAAAAATACAATACTATATAAAATGTATAATAGGCACCTTAACTACCAATTTCTTAGCTGCATTATACAAGTTCAGTGTTTTACATTGAAAAAAAAACATAAATAAAATATTTTGTTGTTATTTCACTTCATTTCGTACAAAGTATACATTTATTGTTGTTTTAAATATTATACATTTATGGATACACGCACAATAATTGAATTCAATACATTCATACAAAATATACATAAGGCAATTATATCAACCGTGTTGATTATTCTTCATTAATAAAGAGCAAAAAATCACTGGAAAATGATTTCCATTGATATTCAGCTCTACTACCTCATCAAATGCGTTTAAAAATTGAGAATGATGTATTTTTCAGATTTTCCATACAAATATGGAAAATTAACACGCTCTAAATTTTTATTTATCATAATTACATAGATATCATCTCTAATTGCGTGTAATAATAATATATAAAGTACTTTTCAGTTGTTTATAAATATTTAACAAAAATATATTAATAAAGTTGGGGAAGATAGAAAACATTATTTACACATTAGTAGTTCACCTATCTAATAAATACAAAGAAAAACAAAACATTGAACCCAAGACGTTGATACATACGCCATATTTGAAAATTTTCAATTGAGGACGGTGGGCTTTTTTTGCATATATCATTGTTCAAATATTGGCCAAATTTTCAATACACAAGGTCCAGATGAATTTCAAATACATTCAATATTTTTAATTTTACGACTCCATTCTTAAAAATATATATTACAAGCTTATCTTAATAACAGTACCTACAATAAGTCTTTTGAACTTCTTCAGTACAAGAAGGCTATTATTATAAATTCTTCAAAGTCGTAATGTGGGATTTTTTTTAATGCTAGCCTTGATTAAAATATTTATAGTAGTTTCTTTACGTCAATGCATCAACGAGTTTTTCTAGGAAAAAGTTTTAATTTTTAAAATTTGTTCATTTTTAAAAAAATGTTACTATTGCAAATTCTTAAGATAAAATTTGACTTATTAATGAAAAAAAAAAACAACAAAATCTAATGTTGAACTCGTCAAGTGCATCGAGCGATCTTTATGACTAGCTTAAGATTATTATGCGTGCACTTGTATTTTTTTCCATATGTTTCATCCCATTTCAGAGAATTAGATTTTAAAATAGACTGCGTTAAATCAAAAACTCAAAATAAAATAACCTTGTATCAAAAATTTCGTTCTGAACTTCAAACAACAATCTAGATCCACAAAAATAAACAAAAATTTAGAGAAAAAATTGAATCATGATAATATTTCTCAAATTGCATTAAAATAATGCGGTAATAATAGTCTTGTACAATCAAAAATTTCAGGCGCCACTGATTAACCAGCAATCCTTCTGAGAAGTACGTACTTTTTCTTAACTATTTAATCTTAACTTTACTCAGTGTTTAAAAAATTTGAAACACTGGAAGGACTTCTCCCCACATCTTAAATGTACAGTAATAGTAAAATATGTCTACTTAATACCTAGGTGTATATATAAATATTTTCACGATACAAAAGTAATTCGATTTGTACATAATTTTCAATCATCTCGCTTAAATATATAGTGGACTTAATGTTAATAGAATCAATTTATACATTTCACAATTTTACGAAGAATTGAAGAATAATTAATTTTCACTTTTAACTTATTTTTCATTCTTCATAGTCTTTTATAATTATTATTTATACGAGAAACTGAGTACAACCAACTTTTATCTGCTTGATTATTATTCACGTTAACACATTAAAATACATACAAAGTTTAAACGCTTGTTATTAGTATGATGCCAAACAGACAGAGTAATTAGTCATTTTCTTGTGAGTTCCATTTTAATGATCATACAATTGTTCAAAAACAACTACATTCAACTAGGACTCGAAACAATTGTATCTCAAAATAACGAATAAAAAATTATTTAAATTACTAAAATGGGACGCAAAATTGACTGTCATTAGCATCTACATGTCTATTGAAATATCTTGATTATTTACTTATTAATATGCACGATTCCACATTCAAAACAAACAAAAATGCTAAAAAAAAGTTGGTTTCTGAACAGTTTTGCCAATTCTTACTTCTAACGTTTAATTATGAATTTTGACTTTATATTGGTAATTCATACCAATAATTCAACAAATGACTTAACAAAAAATGCATAAACTATTCACTTTGATCTACTTTGATTCACAATTAGAAAAGCGACTTGCGTCCTCAATACAAAGAACCTCATTAGTTTTCAATCAACCATTGAACTTCGAATGTGTAAAATTTAATATACAAAAGTATCAATTTTTCAAGATAATAAGGCACTTTCTTAGTCTTTTTTAAAATGATCATGTCTTGAAAATTGACCCAATTTTGTAAAGCTTCGATCGTCTGATTATTTTCAAAAACTATGAATATGTAAGCTCATTCAAATTTTGCATGCTATATTACAACAAAATATTCGTTATAATATGCGCAAATGAACTGCGAATTTCATGTTCAAAAGTAAGCAACAGCTCATTGCTTCTCGAAGAAAAATTTACTCTTGATAAACCGAATTATGAACTGAAAAAAACATCTAACGATGTCTTCTTAAATTTGATTTTAATTGATTTTCAACTTTCTTAAGTTTGACATCTCATGAAAAACAGTTACTTTTAAGCAACGCAAAAATAGTCGAGTCAAAAGTGACTCAGTTTCTCGTATTTATAAATACCTAATTGTTTGCGGTTACACTATTTTACGTCCGAGGATAAATTAACATTCTGCTATATTTTTCATCGTTAGGATTAGGATTCACTAAGGCTGGTTTTTTTTTCGTTGTGGGCGCCGGTGTGTATACTGAGTCGTCACGTTCCGCCTCACACTTAGTCGTTATCAGTTGATCCTGTGAACTTAGTGATGATTTATTCATCTCGTCAGTCACATCATATAACGTCGATGAAGACGACAGCTTTGAAGACATCACCGGACTCGATATTTGTGAGTCATGCCGCGTGTAATCACTTTCTTTTTGTTGAGTTTTTTCTTGTACTTGTTTTGGTTGGCTAAGATTCGACAACACATTTACCGACACGTAAGGTTTGGGACTGTCGTTTTTCGCAGTCGTTGCATTTAAACTTTGGTTTTGAACGAAGTCCACACTGACGTAACCATCTTGTTTCATAGGGGTACTTGATAAAACATTGCCATTTACTTGAGGCTTTTGAACCGAAGCCTGAACTGGAGTTTGCGACGTAGCTTCAAGCTTATTTGTCAAATCCTTCGCAAGTTGCGGCTGTGGTTGATGATTCATAAATGTTGAATCTGCTTTTGGCTTCATCTCAAAGGGACAATCATTCATGGTACTAGGGATACTTGTCACAACATTGCCATTCACTTGAAACTTTTGTACCGGAGTCTGGACTGGAAATAGCGACGTAGCTTCAAGCTTATTCGTTAATTCCTTCGCAAGTTGCTGCTGTTGTTGTTGATTTATAAATGCTGAATCTGCTTTTGGCTTTATCTCAAAGGGACAATCATTCATGGTACTTGTGGTATTCACAATGGCACCACCATTCATAGTGCCTGAATTAATAGAGGCGTTCATCATTACCTGTCCTACTTGTACATAAGATTGTGATAATTGCTGCTGCTGATTATTTTGATTTGATTCAATCGGCTTTTGCAAATTCAAATTATAACGAGTAGCATCAATAGGTCCTGATTGCAACAAATCCTGAAATTGATAAACATTTAGTAACGACTCAATAATTTAATTTAATTATAATCATATTGTTATCTTTTATTATTCTTACCCCTGTAAAAGTGTCCATCAAACCAACTTGAACGTAGGGAACGGCGACTCCCAATGTTTCTTCGTTTTTAGCATTCATACTTTTATTAGTTAAAGACTTGGGAATCATTCCAACCGCACAATAAGGCGGCAATCCCAACGTCGGTGAAATCATTGAAATATGGCCATTAAGCATTTCAGTGGAGCGTGGCATACTTATGTAATCAGACGTTGACGATCCATTGAGTTTTGGGTAAACACCTTCACTCATGTCGGGCGAAGATTTGGTCAATGACAGAGTATCCGCCTGCGAAGGCGACACTGTTGTTTGCAGTGTTTCATTTGAACTCTTAGTCGTTTTACCACTATATACGTCCCAATCGCGTTTATTCAGGGTATCAACACTTCCAGGTTTGCTAACATTAGACACATTGCGCTGACGCAAATTTGGAGAACCCCATTTTTCAGATGCAATTTTTTCCGATTTTATTGCCATTTTCTCGGAATTCAAGATTGGCACTTCATCGTTACCACTGTCGTTTGACATATGGGTTTCTTCCGAGTTGAGAGATGCACTAGGTGATTCTTGACCAGTACTAGCATTCGCCGAGCTTGGTCTTGGTGGCAAGGGACGCTGTTTCTGTTCACCTTTGTTTAATAGTTTCACGTCAGGAGCCAATTCGGGAGCTAATCCTGGCGGTAAAGCAATATCAACATCTTGCATGTGTTTATATTTCTTCCAAGCTTTCCTAGATCCGTAAGCCAGAAGATACATGAAACCAATACCACAAGCAATACCAACAACCCAAATGATAACCATGACAGTGAACGATGGGCCACTGTTGTAACAATTTCCTTCGCCGGCTTCAGACCAATTACCATAGAGATATTCACCATCCGGCTTAACATTAACAGCTCTGACTTGGAATTTGTACAGCTTTTCATCGGTATCAGATTTACAATCAGGTATGGACAACAGTGCTTCTTGTTCAGTAGTCGTGAAAATTTCATCGTCGACTCCCTTGATTTGATAGAAGTTAAGAGGACCCGCTGCATGAGACGGAGCAGGCCACATAATTCTGACTTGACTGGAATTGACAAAACGCACAGTGGGCGGTATTATTTGATCGGGCACGCCGATATCCGTCAACACTTCAACCGGAGTAGTTGCAGTCAGGTTGCTGCAAGAAACGGTGCAAGCGGATACGTGTACGCTGTACTTTTGATACGGCACAAGTCCTGTAAGATTGAGAGTTTTAGCACGACCGGCCTTCATCGACAAGTCGTTATAGTGGACGATGTAGTAGCGCAGAACACCATTCATATGAACAGGATCCTCCCATTCAACAGTCATCGAGGTGTTGGTTACGCGAGTCACACTGATGTTCCTTGGAGACTCGGGACGAGCTTCGTACGTTGTATTGTACAATGGATCACTAGCGTGGCCCTCACCATTCTGCGAAAAAGAAAAGAATCAAGTTAAAATCCGTTTCTATGAATTTCTTACAATAACTCTAACTACAAACGAACTACTACCGAACTCAATGCACCCTTTATTCGTTTAATCTCAATATCGTATAACAATCAATTCCCCTTAGTCAAATTCACCCCCTTTTTAAACAAGTGCACCGACTACGATAAGTTCAATAACCCGTCAATTAGGTACCTTGGTAATAACGGCAACGCTGATCATGTAAGTTGTGTATGGCTTCAGTTCAGCGATTCTACCACCAATCGAATTGACATTATTATCGACCGTTTTGTTCATTTTTGGACTCCTGCAAGTGAGATTGTAGGGCGAAGTGATCGGACAGTAATAGATTCTGAATCCATCGACTATTCCGATGCGATCGCTGCAATCCAGCTTCCAGCCCACTTCGATTGCTTCCGACTCGACGCGGTTTATCCATACCGTTTTCATTTTTCCGACGACCTTGTTGTGTATAACGGTGCACGACGCCCACATCATTCCACTACTACCGTGATCCGTGTTCGCCGATATGGCAAACTGATAGACGCGCTTAGGATCTGGAACCGTGACGTTGTGAATCAGGGTGTCGCTTGAAACGTGTTTCCAATCGAGGTAGCCTTGACACTGGTAGGGCCTGTCGCGATCGTTCTCGCACCAGAATATCGTGTAGTTCTTGATATCCGCCAATCCTGACACTGGGGGTTTCCACGACAGTTCGTAAAGTCCATCATCAAAAGCTATCTTCGTAAAAGCCACTGGTTCTTTCGGCACTGAAGAGAATATCATTGATTTTTATCAATATACAATTTTAAGCAAATGTCAAGAACGTTATCTCAATATTTCGAGTGTCACGAGTTACGTTGCAATCGATATAAACAATCAAGATACTTACGATTTTCTTTACTAGGAACAAAAATGTTCGCCGGTATCTCGAGTGCACCCACAGCATTGGTAGAAACGATTTCAAAGTTGTAGTTGTTATTCATGGATAGGCCACGGAATTTGGCGTAGGTCCTTGTGGTCTCGTTAGGCACGAGATGGACTTTACGCTTGTTTTCCATGACATTGATGACTTGATAACGGAAATGGTCACCGTTCTCGAGATTTGGCGGTATCGATTGCCAGTACAGATAGATATCGCGACTGGCGTTATTCCCATCGGTCACTTCGAAGCTTCCGAAGTCTGTAATTGGTGGCTGTCCAGGTACTAATTAAACACAAAATAAATTTGATTAAAATCATGTTCGACAATGCGAGATATAGAGTGAAAAAAGGTAAAGTCTCATACCTGTTGCGGGAGTGCGGAAGGTAATACCACTGAAATTACTCCACATGTCGTCGCCCTCAGCGACGGCGCTTTTAACATAGACTCTTACGTCGTAAATGGAGTTGGCGTACTTCAAGCCCGTCAGATTGTAGTACCTATTTGGATTGTGCGGCTCATCGTTGATGTCAATTATCTGGAAATCAAATATAAAAATTAATAGTCGTAATTCAACAGTTATATGTGAAGTGGGTTTGAATTACATCGAAAAATCGATCGATATATAGTACTAGAAATGAACTTTCTTGATACATACCTGCCATTCATCTCTTTTTTCCCACTGGCTCTGGTGAGAGATGCGATGATGCAAACCAGGTGGAAAGTTTTGCATGGGGTAGCCAACGCTCCAGTACAGCGTGGCACTGTTGAGCGTCTTGTTTACGACCGTCAGATTTGATGGTCTTGCAGGAATCACATGAGCAAAATGGTGGAACTTGTAGGAACCGTTCCACGTACCGAGTACGTTCGTTCCGTTGATGTAGAAGGTGTAAAACTCGTAAGGCTGTCTGTAAATCGGATTGGTCTTCGGTTTCCAGGTGCAGCTGTTTCGGTTGAGTCGGACCTCGTCCTTGGCTGGCTCGGGGCATGGATAGAGCTTGCGACTGGCTGCGCGACCCGGCAGCTTGAACGTGATCTGATAGGTTGTGTCGACGAAGTTCTCCGGCGGCTCCCAGCTGCAGGTCAGGTTCTCCCAGTTCATGGAGTAACAGTTGAAGTTCTTGGGTTTTCTGGGTTTAACTGCGGAAAAAAAAACAAAAAAAAAACGTTCATAGGAATTTGTTCATTTCGTGTATCCTTGTGTACGTTAAGTATTTACTTAAGAGACGAGGTTTTTTTCGAGCGTTCATTTTTTCACGTGAATACGGAGTAGTGGGACTTATTTGTGTGTGTGTGTGTGCAAGCGATCGGTTTATTGTTGTGTGCGTGTGCGTGTGTATGAACTTTCGTTTCGCCAACGGAGACAGTTATATTCTAATTAGAAGCATTTACAGCACATACAAACGACGCAGAGAAGGAGTAGGTAAGTGAATGACAGAAGGGCCGAAATCAAATATACCATTGATCCTCTCCCGGTTTTCTCGTAAGACATTTCATTTGTTACTGTGAATTATATCAATCATTGAATTGAATTATTAACATCATGGTAAAACGTTGTAATGAGTGTGTGGATTTTATTTTTTTTTTAATGACGAATGTGAATGCGTTCAAGTTTCTTTTTTTTCTTCTCTTTTCTCTATCTCTTCCCTCTCCTCCCCAATAAAATTAAAAACTGCACGCAAAGATCCGTATCGGATCGTAACGAATGTCTTATATATTTACGAGGCATCGATGCATACATACGTACACATACACAGATACATGCACGTATAGTAGTACACGTATCGCGTACGAATTTATAATACATTCATCTATATCATGTACACGCGCGATACGTGTAATACATTCTCGAGGCTCTCGTTATTAATTCGAAGAATTACTATATACACACAGTGTATTTATATGTGTATGTGTCCGCATGTGTGTATGTATGTATGTACGCGTACGATCCTCGCACGTATCCTCTTTGAAGCTCACATATATATGTGTGTATTATATATAAGAACGAAGAAAAAAAACCTGTTCAAACGGCGATATAACGCGTAAAGTATAAAGTGTGTAAACTATATATCTTGCACGCACACATATGCGCTCGATTCGACGTCAGAGAGAGAGAGAAAGACGCGGCGTTATAAATTTTCATAAATTACACATCAACAATCGCAACTTTTTTATACAAGTATTATATCTTATCAACTTGAAAGAGAGAATGCCGAAAAGATCAACATTTTTCGCGCGCGCAGCATGACAAACTTCAGTGACAATTTCTCCGGTAAGTGCCGGTGTATAATACTTGAATTTTGAGAAAATCGATAAGAGATCTCGCCTCTCGCACCTTCAACAACGCGCATTCTCTATACGAACTTACATTAAAAAATGAAGGAAAAAAAAAGTAAAGAAGTCGAGAAAGCGCGTTTATATGTGTATTAAGCTTTCGGTAAATATATGTAAGTCGTAAGCACACATAACACAAACGCGCTGCTATAGTCGTCGTCGTGCGGCTAGTTTTAATTAATTTTTCATAAAAACGTTCCGAGAAACTCTCGATCGGAACAAAACAGCACTCATCTCTATTCGTGTGTGTGCGTTACGTGTGCGTGCGACGTACAATATCGTCTGAAGTGGCTCGAGGTGAGATCTCTCCCGTTCACCTGTGCTCTTATATAGATTTTTTTCGAGTCGATGTCTCTTTATATACTATATTAAAATATAATAGCCATCATAATTAATAATGGTACTCACATCCAACGGCGACCTTATTGAGGCAGACGGCCTCGTATTCCTTGTGATAGATCCTCTTGTCTAATCTCAGTTTGCAGTAGTACATCTCGTTCTCGGGCGGAGGATTCGTGATGTTGAGCATGATGCTGGTCTCGTTGAGCACGTGTATGTACTGGGAATCGACCTCATGCTGGCCCTTGAAGAAGACCAGATCTGCGGAGGTCTTGCCCGGGAAATTTCGATCGATGAAGGTCTCGTTGAGCACGCAGGTGATGTTGAGCGGCTTGCCGTGCTCCACGGCGATATCTCCCACTGGCCATGTTCCTGTTTTCAATTTAGGATTGGGTTTTTTGGTGAATACAGCATCGTAAATAGATAGATATAAATTCGATAAATTAATGGGCGATAGTTTGAAGTGCAAGAAAAAGAAGGAATCGAGCAGTTTTATAAATCCTAAATATCTTACGAAAATAAGAGAAGATGGTGTCGAGATAAGCGCGCGGCGATCATTTCGAGGTCTAGTCCCGATGTGTATAGCGAAAACAAAAAGAAGCAAGACAACATCTCTCCCGAGAGACTGAAAAATCCCAAATACACTTTGACTGCGAATAAACGGAGAGAGAGAGAGAGAGAGAGAGAGAGAGAGAGAGAGAGAGAGAGAGGAGAGTATACATATAGGAGCTGCAGCAACAGAGCTCTCCTCGGGCAAGAAGCCGTCAGAACGAACGCGGCATTTTAACCAATTCCGCGTATATAATAGCACACAGCAACGCAGCAAAGAGCCGTCTCTCTGTTTCTTCCTCCTCTTTCTCTCTTTCGCGCAGTTGCGTATATATAAATGTGTATAGGGTTGTGCGCGAGGCAAAGGAGTGAGAGAGAGAAGAAGCAAAAACGAGACTAACGAAACGTCTTAAAAGCGCGCGAACACGGCCGCGCACTCCTCATGGGCTTGCTTTTGCTTTTGCTCTCTCTCTCTCTCTCTTTCTCGCATTCGCTGCTGCTTTTGCAAGCGACATGTTTTATTTATAGGCGCGTGCATGTAGCGTATACACACACATACGTACATACATACATACACGCAGTGCAGAGCGCATGCAACTGCCTGCACACGCAGCAGAGTCGTAAAAATTTCCTTCTGCGTATAGAGCCAGAGAAACAGCAGAGAGAGAGAGAGAGAGAGAACTGCTGCAGCGATTTATCGATGCACATGCGTGTATGTACGTACGTTTTCTTTCTCTCTCCTCTCTTTCGCTTTTTCTCTCTCGTCAGTATCGTGTAATACCTATACACATGACTTGTAAGTTATACAGCCTCGAGGAGAGTTTGAAGCGCGAAATTGAAAGGGAGGGCACAGGCAGAAAGGGCCGAGAGAGAGAGACTTTCCGAAGGGAAATTCCAAACGGCGTGAAGATCTGCATCCCGAGGAGGAGATTCTAATCAGGCGTATGTTGCTGTTGCTGCTCATGTATGCTCAAACCGGAATTCCCTCGAAAATCAAATTAACGCACGTGTTCTTCCCGTCTGTTCCACACATACATACATGAGTGAATAATAGCGTCACTCGGTCGAAATACTCGGAGTACTCGGAATAAATCTGGATGACTTTTCGAACGCGCGGACAGAGAGAGGAAAATGGCAATAAAAAGCATAGAAGAGACATGTAATAAAAAAGGCGTGAAAAATGATCGTATGTACAGCAACGAGCTCGATAATATGGAAGTAGTATATGTATCAAATATCGACTTACGTCCAGGCGTGGTGAGGCCAACGGCGCACTGTTCGCCCAAGGAAACGAGCAGCGACAGAGCGGCGATAAACAAGAGGCCGCCAGCCAAGTCGACCGACGACGACGTTCGGCGACGACGGCTGCTGTGTTGTTGCTTGTGTCCTTCCTTCCTCGTCGACCAAGCCATTGCGATTTTTGACTGATGCTTCGACTATGCTCTCAATTCCGTGAAACGACGATCACGGCTCATACGGCGAGTGTCTGCTGAACGCTACTCAGGCGTCTGCTGCAGCTTCTGTTGCAATCTAGCGCTGCTCCTGCTGGTCCTGATGATATTGGCATTTTACTGCGGAGAACACAACAAAAACACGAGCACGGTCAATTAAATGTGTCAGATGGCTTGTACACTTTTCATTATTATTAACAGTCTCATATATGGTTTTTGGAGAGTTGTTATATTCCTTTCTAAATTTAATATAAAAACTCGTAATTCGCGTCACACAAGATTTTCCTCGATGCGGACGCGAGATAGAACACACTGCACACAGCAAAAAGTCACTGCGGGCTTTCGTCACACATCATATGTACAATCACATACATAAAACGCACCACATGCACACGGGAGCAGGAGTTATAAGCTGCATCAATCGCACACGGGACTTTCCCTTTTTTTAACTAATTCAGCGATTAAAAACGAGTTCTCTCGGGTTCGGCAATTATATCAACCGAGAGAGAGACTCGTACATACACAAAACAAAAAACAATAAACACCGACCAAAAAAATAACCAACAACGCACCAGTAAAACAAACTCCGTTTCTCAAATATTACACACTTCTTTTTCACCGTGCAGTCTCATAGGCCAGAGAATTAACACGAAAAAAAATTCGTTCGAGGTACACGGTAACGGTATAACGCGCGTGCAGCACGTGCTACTAGAAGACTGAAATCGGAGATCGCAGCGTGTATTACGCTCCATACATCTCAGAGAGTACTGCTGCGCGCGCTCGAGTATAGTAGTTTTTGGGAGTCGAGCGCAGCGCAGCGACTCCTAATATACCGAATATGTATGTATAGCAGCATCGTACCGACACACACACACCCCCACCAGCGCGTCCGGCTTTTCCAAGAGGCGCCTTCATGCTTTTCGGGCAATCGAAAGCCGTGCCGTAGTAAGTAATGTAGAATAGAAGAACACAACTCAATTGATGAGCTGACGGGGACGACGGCGACGACGACGACAACACTCGTTAAAGAGCGACTTTTCCAATGAACCGTTCACGCTGTGACTGCCCGTCGTATATTATAAGCATGCGCTTTTATCGATAAGCCAGCGCGCGATGATGCGCGATGCGAGTGATATAAATAAATATTTTTTCTAATTAATCTTCGGCTTTATGGTTTCCCGTGAACAAATAAAAATTAACAAGAAATAATATATCGTCGTCGTTTTGATCAATGAATGAAAAGTGCCAATGTTATATTATATGCACGTCGCGGATTTCGACGCAGTGTTCCGTGTGTGCATGTAAGCTGGGTAATCGATACGCAGTCGAGTCAGAAAGCGCAGCTTTGGCGCACCGCTGCAGGAGGCAGCAAACACAGAGAGAGAGAGAGAATCGATCGTTGAATTATTCATACGTATTTGTGTGTGTACACAACATAAACTAAAGAAAGAGAGAGCCAATATATAGGAGCTCGACTGAAAAGATGGAGAATATAATCGAAATTTAACCGGAAACTTGAGACAATGTAGCACCTTCCTGCAAAAGGGGCTCTCTCGTCGTAGAAACCGATGGGCCTGACATTATTGCATTATTGAATAATTCATTTGCGCGACAAGTTAATTTTCCGCTAAATTAAACGAGTGTACTGCGCTGTAAGCTAAATCAGCGGAGCTTGAAAAAAAATTGTTCATGCATTCGTTTTATTGTCAATCGATTCGTGGGATCTGATAACGAGTCGCGATGAAAGAAAATGTTTATTATATCTCAATGACAACTCCGCAAGTCCACGCCGAATAAATTCTCGCTAATCGATCATGTGCACGCGCGCACACACAAGCGTTAATTGCTGTTACTTTTTTTTTCGATGAAAAATCGCGCGCGACACATAGGCGATATTAAGACATAAAAAAGTGATTTATGTCGCCAGAGAGAAGTATTTGAAGAACTTCTTCGGACTAATGATGCACCCAATTGAAAATCTTCTAGAAAAAAGTCCTCGAGGAAAATTTAATTACGAATTCGAGTCAGTCGCACAGATGATCGACACGGAGATGTTTTCTTTTTGATTACTTTTATATTCCTCTTTTCGAAAACAGGAAGATGCTTCTCCGGTCGAATTATACCGATTATGAAACGACACTTTTTCTCCGAGGTGGCGATTGTTCCACCTTTCGAAACTGTCGATTTAATTGATTAATTTACCTGATCGAGGGCATGTCAGGTCGAGAAAGTGAATTTGATTCAAAGCTCGAAGTCGAATAATTTACGACAATTAGTATGCTTATGTATATTAGCTGTATTGCGGGCACGACATACCTACAACGCGCAACAATGAAGACGGATCATTATTCGTTACAGTGTCAAATGATAATAATAGACGACTAATAAATTCCATCGCGAGCAAAGAATTGCAGGGGGGCTCTCCCTCCTTACGACATGAAAATTTATCCGAAGCGATCGTGGGGCATTGTCGTCGAGGTGTGAACTAAACAAAGGATCGCCTCGCGGTAAACCGGGGAGACAATTAAAAAGTAGCATCGAGCTTTGAGGCTATAGGTTACATAGAAAAAATTCTCCGGTGTACGTGAAAAAAAGAAACGAGCTGACACAACAGGTCGATCGCTCGATGGATTTTTAGGAAGTCCGCGGTGACGCGAACGTTGCGCGATTTTATTTTCTTTCACTCTCTATACCAATATATGATATAAAAAAAAAATCGTCGTGCGACGACACCGAGAGATAGCTTCATTTCACTGATACAAAAATCGACCGGCTTATCTGTTAAAAAAAGTCGCGTATCACAAGCAGAGAGAACATTGTGTGATGTGTGTCTCGCACACGTATTAAAACATGCGTCGCCACGGCTTGGCTCAATAATCATCTCACGTTACCTTATAAGAGCGCTGCATCAGAAAGAGTCCGCAGCGACGACGACGCAACAGACTGATACCGATATTATAAATGATATAATATACAAGCGCGCATTTATAGATAGATAAAAGAAATTCTCTCGGCTTCTCTTTTTTTTCACCGCGCGCCCAACAACGGCTTCTCTCATTGCAACGCTGCTCGAGTCGTGTACTATACTATATAGAAAAAAAACGCATATAAACGCGGCAAGAGTATTTTACGCTTGGAAAAGTCGTATGATTAGACGTGTGGCGCGCGATGCGCGTTTGGATAGAGTGCATAGAGGATACGCGTCTGCGTATTTATGTATATAAAAGATGGGACACGACGACGCGACGACTTTGGTTGGCTTCTATGAATTCGGGAAAATAGGCAATTGCGAAAATCTCTCTGTCTCTGTCTCTCTCGCTCTCCCCTTTTTCCGAAGAAAAACGCGCGCTCTGCACGTATATATCATCGATGTGTGTAGCAGCACAGCACGCACACATGCGTGAGTGCAGATGGACAACACAGAGGCACTGCTGCACTATGCTGTTCGCAGCAGCAGACACATCGAGTTAAGAAAAAGAAAACCTCCCCTACTGTACCATAAATCTTTCTCTGCGCGTGCATGTATGCCTCTCTCGCAGTGCATACTGAGCACAGAGCAGCAGTGCAGCTCAAAGGCACAAGGAACAACAACACAGCAACTACGGCGCAGCAGCGCATGTGTATATATACTACAGCCGAGAAGTTGGTGCGAGAGAAAGAAAACGGCCACGGAGCGCATATAACTCCGAACTGTATACACGTATGCGCGTGTAGCTAGAGCTTCACGCACCGTGCGGAGAATAAAATGCAGGCGCGCATAAATATGTACGCAAGAGGGAAGCGGCGATAATGGTGGTAATAGTGCAGTGCCTCTCCTATGTATACACTCAGCATAGAGAGAGAGGCGATAGTATAGCGCCAACACAACAGCAGCAGCAATAGCAGTAGCAGCAGCCGTAGCCGCAGCAGCGATGGTAGGAAAATAACGAAGAGAGCAAGAAGAAGACGACGACGACGGCGAAAAACGAAGAAGGCAGGCAAGCCAGGCAGCAGTAGCATACAGCGCAGCAAAGAGAGAGAGAGGAGCAGTAGCAGCTATGCTGGCTTCTGATTCTCGGAACGCGTATACGAGCTCCCACCGGAGCAGTTATGTACAGAGGCTTGCCAGAGCGAGCTGTGCAGAAGAGATGTGCAACAAGCAAGAGGCTCGCAGAGAGCAGATATATAAACGGCGCGTATGCACACTTGCGTACACACATACGCGCACGCGTGTTCATTCGTCCTTAGCGATTTTGAGCAATTTTTTGTTGTCAGGAAGGAAGGAAGAAGAGAAAAAGTTCGGAGCAGCAGAAGCAGCAGCAGCGACGAGGCAGTTGACACGTAATGCGACAAGAGTCATCGGTTGCTGCTGCTACTCGTGTTGCTTACAGCTCGCGCTCGCGCGTCTGGAGGCCAAATGCTGCTGCTCTTGCGGACGGACGATGCGCACAGCATGCAATATACATATGCACGCAGCAGCATGGATTTAACATAATTTCAAGGAAAAATCTTGCCACGCGAGGGCGAGAAAAATTTCTTTGTAACGAAGGAAATTTAAGATTTTAACATGGGTACAATTTCAAGTATTATAATAATACCGAAAAATGCCAAATCACTGTCCCACCGAAATACTCAAAAATGTTTGAGAAAAGAATAATAAAAAAGTGGTGTGTTGATTTAGAACTTAACACGAATTTTTAATTTTTTTGATTTTTTAATGGGTTCGTTGTTGTGTACGCACTTGAAAAAACAGCAAGCGTGACATGCGCGACTTTTACGCGCGATAATCGTGAGAGATTATTTTCGGGACTCCGACTCAAGTTGGAAATAATAATACTCTTACGGCTCTGATACATAGAATTGGGTTATAGCGCGGGCAACTTTATTTTTAGTCATTGTTACACGGTCTAATGCCACACATATATATTTTATCGCGCGTAGATATATTTGTATAAGTGGACGCCGACGACGACGACGGCCACTTGGGGAAGGGAGGCGCAGCGGGTCCATCGTACTCGAGGTGATCGTTCAAGAATGTATTAAGAGTTGAGGTCGAGGAAGGCACCGGTGCTGCCGCCGTGTTACGCCAGCTTGAACAAAAAAACCTCGACCATTCGATTAAATCTCTACTCTGTCCATTG